GCAAGAGAAAAAAAAGAGAAGCCTTTGAAAAAGGGCCCTTCCTCGCGCGCGCTCCGTGACTTGGTTCGAATTGAAGGGAATTTTGCCTGGAAGAGAATCGGCGGGCAATCATTCATGGGTACTTACTGAGGTGTTGACCCTTATGTCCTTGTTTGGCCCGATTGTTGCTTTCGTCGTCGATTTGTGAAGCGAAACTTCTGATGCGAAATTCTAGGGTTTGGTGGTGTGTCCTCAGCGGGCTATTCCCGATTAGGTAAGTTGGGCAGGTTTGGTAGGAGGGAACATCATCTCGATTTCCCTCTCAAGTCCCAGAGCAGAGGAACATGACGACGTACATGAGCAGAGTACAGGAGACTTAAGGATTTACAAGTTTTATAACACTACTGAATTTCTTGGATCAAGAAATAATGCAAAAATGCTCCGAATGATTCTTTGGCAGTTCTATTTGAGTTTGGTACATATTTCTATCCATGCACAACAAATAAGCGCACGCACACATACACCCACACCCACATACACAACACGTCACAATCATTGGTTTCCCTTGCGTTGAATTCATTTTTTGGTATGTGGATTTCCGTCTTGACGCCATTCATCATGAAGATGAGAGATGTGACATACAGTCCCCCTGTTTTTGTTTTTTTGTTTTCATAAGGACGATATAGGAGAGAGGTGTTGTGTGTTCCAGGCGTGTTCATAACAGAATCGGCGGGTCGCTAAAGAAATATTGCTCTTCCGCCGATGCCTGTTTCCCGGATCCACCGAGGATGATGGTGATCCCCCTCCTCGCCTCTCTCCCACAATCTAATATGCCAGCTTCCAACTACCCATTTTGTGACTCCCAATAACAAGAAACCCATCAATTTATGCCGAGGCCTTGATCTTGGCCAGAGCCTTGCGCTCCTCGAAGCGCTGCTGCTTCTTGAGGCGCATGACCTTGAAGCGGTCAAAGTCGCTGAGGCCGTTCCTCCTGGCGATCTGGTCGCGCTTCTTGGCCCAGTTCGTCTCCTTCCACTTGGCGTCAATCTCGGACGACTCCCACTCCTTCTTGAGCTTGGCGTGGCGGGCGCCACGGGTCAGGCCTTCGACGACGAGGGGCGACAGGAGAGCCCTGGAGAGGCGGAGGGGCTGACGGGGGCAGGCGAGCTCGGGGTCGGAAGAGGGGCCCTCAACGAGAACCTGTTGCGAGAATCCTGTGTTAGTTCTTTTTGTTCCTGTTTCTCCTTGTCCGTCGCCTCTTGTGTCTGTTTTTTCATTTCCATCCACCCCCGTGGGTCCGGATCCGGAGACCAGTAACAGAAGGGATTCATAAGGTAGAGAAAGACGTACGCGCTTGTGGTCGATGATCTCGACGATGGCGGCAATCCTGCCAGCGTGGGGGTGGTCGTCACCGTTGATGGCGACGACGCGGCCAACCTCAACGAGGCGCCAGTTGGATCCCTCAATCAGCGCTTCACCCATTGTGTCGACGGCTTTCTGTTTGTCGGTGCGTCCTGCGTCAGCTTGCAGGTCCTTTTGTTTCAGGAAACAATACTTTCTGTGTCTTTTTGAAGAAAAACAGATTGTCGAGAATCTAGGCAAGGGTTTAGGGGTGCTTCGTACCAGTTATCGTGAATTGTCTACCGTTCGGAGGTCGGAGGTGGATGTTTTCTTGAGCCGATAAATCACTAATTACTTTTTGATGCACTTCAGGGCTATCTGCGTGTGCGGGCAGAAAATATTGAGTGCCCTAACCAAAATTATCGGAAGTCTGGTTTAGCCGATGTTCCGCAGATTGCACGTGCCACTTTATTTTCCTTGCCACGCCCGGGCCAAACCTCAGGCTAATATTATTGGTGGGGCTCTTCTGTCCAGGAAATTTTCCCTTCGCGATTTTTTCTTAGCCTTCCTCACAACATAAAAGAAGGCTGTCTCCGAAACTTCCTCCTTCTTCCTTCTTCCACTATTACCAGACACGGCCTTCAAAACCGTACTGGTAAAGTCTGAAATGTTCTGACCTCGCAAGGTAAGCTATATCACGATTTTTTTTTTTCTTTTCCTTTCTTGCCATACATCCTGTTCTTATGATGAGGTAATTTGCGTTTGATTTCTCCTGGTGGCACTCTTGCCGGAGTCGCTATACCAGGTGGATACGTGATATTCATTTCTTACATATTCTGAACTATTATCAGGATTCTACTGCAATCTATCAATGTCTTGATTCATTACGCTTGAGAGTCAGCGTGCTAATGCATTATACAATCTCTAGTTGTACTATCCTCTCAGCCCTCCGAGCTCGACGAAACAAAAGTTTCAATCCCGACCATACGTTCAATGCGATACCACTGCGATGCGTAGCAGCCAAGTCACGTAGTTTTGTAGTGTTTGGACACAGAGGTCTTCGTCCCTTTGTTGTTTCCTTGTGCTAAGGGTGGTTACCCATGACCCACCGTGCACGTTAACTTCCTTGAATCATTCCTGACCCTTTGTATAGAAGATGCTATAATACTAACTGTACAATATGTACAACATGACAACATGTCGCAACTTTTATTTCTTCTTGGCCATTATAGCTTCTTCCTCTTCTCGGAGCTCGGCATCTATCTTGGCACCCTTGGACGGCTCGTTGCCATGCATAACGGCCTGTGTCTGGTTAGCAACTGAAGATGGCCTTCCCATAATTCTGTTCTGTCTTGGGTTACCGACCGGAAGAGTGGGATCCTTCTTGGACATGGCAACCTCGGGGTCATCATGAGAGGACTTGTCCCTCTTCTGCAAGTTGTACATCAGCCCGATGTTGGAGAAATATGAAGCCATTCACGAGTACACATACCTCCTCTGCGGCTAGCCTGTTGGCGATGGAACGCTCATCCTCTGTTGCGTATGTCAGCACTCCGCAGGTCCCTGATAGATGGGCCTGCATGTCTGGCACTCACTCGAATCGATGTTGATGTGAGAGTTGGCCTGGCCTTCGGCATATGGGTTTGTCTCCTGCTTGTGGAGGTCACTGGTCTTGATGTTGCGCTGGTCGCCAGCCTCGTAGACACTCGATTGTCCGACGTTGGAGTATCCCGACATGATTGTGTTGTTCGGCGAAGTAAGAAGAAATCGATGAAGATGCAATATTTAGCATGAGAAGATATGGAGGATACAAGAACATTACAGTGCTCCTTCCTTCTTTTAAAGCTATGATGGGCTTTGCTGCCTTCCCACTGCTCTCCACGAGTTCATTACTTCATATCCTACGTCATATATGTTGCAGTGAGGCAAGCCGTGCCCACATACGGATGCAAACGAAAGACGTCATCAAGATTCCCTCACTTTGATTTCTAACAGGTTCTTTGGTCTGGAAGCCAAAGTTTGAGACCAGAGACAGTGCACACAACTATGGCCCGTATACTCGAGGCAGCAGCGCTGTAATCATAGCATTTTGTGGCTTGGTACAATCTTGTCCGTAGAGAGGAACAACGCTACCCAGCACACGTTTCCATCATACGGGTAAAGAGTATTCACTCCAGTGAATGGGTGGCGGTATGGCCACTCTTGGTGGAAACCTATGAAACCAAATGCAGGATTTTTTTTTTTTCTCGAAAGCCTTAACCGGCTCAACTAGTGGTCTTCTTTTTGTTTTCTTGTAACCGAAGACGTTCTTTGTGTCCGGAAACGTGTTCATATGCCATAGGAATATCAGATTGCCTTCACCGGTTGATGTTTACTTATCGTGGTCTACCCTATGCTCATGAATTGTCAAATCTGGAAGAGTACGAATGTTAGCTACAGTTTGTTGTCTAAATGTACACCTTATACATTTCGCAAGATTCATGGTTTCGATATTTAAGACGTTCCTGGAAGTCTCGCAATATAACTTCACCTGTCCACTATGCTAGTCAGTACCGACGACTAGTCATTCCTGCTCGTAGTAGAAACGGCCCAAACGTTAGTATACGTAATGACTATCAATACTCATCAAGGCCATTCCATCACGTATACGCTATCCGCTTTCTTTCTCTAAATATATCACTCAATCTACAATCCAGTCTCATGCCAAACAAGGTCAAGAATAATCTTTGCAAATTGAATATGCTATGACATATTATTGGTACATATAGCGACAATCGTCACCGCGCCTTCCGAATGCGGCATCTGCATGAGGTAACTGCATCGGCGAACACAATTCGTCCGATTTTTCTCTCCTCCTCTCTAAGCCTTGTAGGGCTTGGGTCCAACCATGAGCTCGGGCTTGACGAGCTCGTCAAACTCCTCCGAGGTCAGGGCCTTGAGTTCCATGGCGCTCTCCTTGAGAGTCAGACCCTTCTTGTGAGCGTTCTTGGCGACCTTGCTGGCCATGTCGTAGCCAATCTTGGGGTTAAGGCAGGTAACAAGCATGAGACTGCGCATTGTATCCAGTTGTTAGTTTTCATCAATATTTTCTTCCTTCTTCCTCTCCCCCAAAATGTGGGGGAGGGGTGGAGGGTTCAAGACTTACGACTCCTTCATGATGCTGGCAATCTTTTCCTCATTAGCCTGGAGACCGGCAACGAGGTTCTTCTCAAACGAGCGCATGCCGTCAGCGAGCAGGCGGGAGCTGTGGAGGAGGTTGCGGATGACGAGGGGCTTGTAGACGTTGAGCTCAAACTGGCCGTTCATGCCGCCAATGGTGGTGGCGACGTTGTTACCCATGACCTGGGCGCAGACCATGGTGAGGGCCTCGCACTGGGTGGGGTTGACCTTGCCGGGCATGATGCTGCTCCCGGGCTCGTTCTCGGGCAGGACCAGCTCGCCGAGGCCGCAGCGGGGGCCGCTGCCGAGGTAGCGGATGTCCTGGGCCAGCTTGGTGAGCGAGGTGGCAACGGTGTTGAGGCTGCCGTGGGCCTGGACGATGGCGTCATGGGCGGCCAGGGCCTCGAACTTGTTGGGCGCAGTCTTGAACTCGGTGCCCGTCATGCGCGTGACCTCCTCGGCGATACCCTCCGCGAAGCCGACAAAGGTGTTGATGCCGGTGCCAACGGCGGTACCACCCTGGGCCAGAAGGCGCAGGTCGGGGAGCGAAGACTCGACGCGCTTGATGCTAAAGTCGAGCTGGGCGACGTAGCCGGAGAACTCCTGAGCCAGGGTGAGGGGGGTGGCATCCTGAAGGTGGGTGCGGCCAATCTTGATGATCTTCTTGGCCTCGAACTCGTCAACCTTGGCCTGGAGAGCGGCGCGGAGGCTGTGCAGGGCGGGGAGCAGGTCGCCCTCGAGCTCGAGGACGGCGGCAATGTGCATGGCCGTGGGGAAGGTGTCGTTGGACGAGGCGCTGCGGTTGACGTGATCGTTGGGGTGGACGGGCTTCTTGCTGCCCATCTCGCCGCCGAGGATCTCGATGGCGCGGTTGGAGATGACCTCGTTGGCGTTCATGTTGGTCTGGGTGCCGGAGCCGGTCTGCCAGACGACCAGAGGGAAGTGGTCCATCAGCTTGCCGTCGGCAACCTCCTTGGCAGCCTGCTTGATGGCCTCGCCAATCTTGGGGTCTGTAATGAGAAGAAATCATGTTAGCGACGCAGGCCCCTCGGATATATATATATACACACATATATATATATACATATGTGTGTGTGTGTGTGTGTGTGTGCGTGTATGTGTACACTGGAAGTTCCAACAGTGTGAAGAGACAAGAGATCCTACATGAGGCCGGACATGATGTCAGAACATGATGGAAGAAGCAAGCATACCTAGGCCGTAGCGCATGTTGACAGTGGCGGCAGCACCCTTGAGGATACCAAAGGCCTTAATGATGGGAGGAGGCATGCGGTCCTGAGGCTGGTTGATCTTGAAATTCTCCAGCGAGCGCTCCGTCTGGGCGCCCCAGTACTTGTCACCGGGGACCTGAATCTCGCCAAAGGCATCGCTCTCAGTTCGGGTGTTGGCAGCCATGTTGGTGGTGGTGCTATGAAAGCTGCGGTAGCCGGGAGATCGCAGAGAAGAGGGGACGTGTGGGGTAGTAGTACGGCAAGCTGACGGGTTGTGGTATCGACGCTGCTGGCGGCATGTGAGCGCCGTCGCGACCGTTGTCCTCGGCACAGCCGAACCAGCTGCGCGAAGAGCTCCGGCGCTACCCGACGCCGACAGAGTTCGAAGCATTGTGTGTTATACCGGGTGGGGGGGGGGGGGGTTTCTCGTCAGGATATTACGGATCTGAGCACGAAATCTCTGCAATCAAGTGTATGTTGACAGAAGAGAAGAGAGCAAAGAGATTCGGAGTGGTTTTTCTTCCCACCCCCAGAAACTGGAGAGAGTGGCCCCTTCTGTGGCTCTCCGTATTATTCCGCGGCAATAGTTCCGCCCTCCCCACAGGAGCCACAGGTCAAGAGCCGCGGCAATGACCCATATCTATACAACAAAACCATCAATTGAATGCCACCGATTTCAATTGTACAGAAAGGGGGTTCATTATTTCTGCTACATCTCGTACGAGTACGAGTAGACGACTGACCGCATGGCCAGACGGCATGGTTCTTGGTCAGTTTGTATTATACACTGATTCTTGTACCTGGCATACCGGCTTAGTCATAATCTCTCAGGGCGCCCGACGAACCGTACGGAATATTCGTTGTTACAGAGGGCAGACATTCCCGCCAAGGAGCCCCATAGGCCCATCCATCCATAGCTGTCCGGGGAGCTCATGCGCTAAAATGCTTGCTTGCGTAGTTCCGTAGCTTGCCGTGATAATGACTATTGCTGTGGCCAAAACCGCACCGTGAATCAACTTGCACTACTCGTACATCATCATCGTCACCACAACGCACCAGCAACGGCCGCCCAGACACACGCAGTTGCCCAGCATGTTTCGCTTCGTATGTTGACCCCTCTGTGCTTTACTTTACCAGGTAACGCCCGTTTGCAGCCTTGTGGCGTGGTAGTCCCACCGGCTAACTCCCAGACACATCTACAGCATAAAACCCTCGACATCGTCACGCTCTTCCAGAAGACGGGCTCGCCGGCTTCAACGCGCATCGCCAATGCCCTGAAGCAGGCCTCGGCCAATGCCTCGACAGAGACCACCATCGACCAGGCCAGCAGCACTTCAGCCCAGGACGCTCCCAAGCGCGATCCCTTTGAGCTCAACATTACCGAGGAACCCCCCACCGAGGACCAGGTGCAGACCATTCTCGGATACGTTGGCCAGGGAGGTATCTCTCGCATCATCAAGGACGCACGAGATGAGCAGGATGCCCTCAAGAAGTTCAAGCTTAACAAGGACAGCCTCCTCAGGCCGCTGGTACGCCCCCTCGCTCCTATCCGCATGAGAGAGACGGAGAGACAGAGAGTCTCATCATCTTTCTGCTTCTACGAAAATGATGGCAATGTTAACAACTGTAACTCTGGTAGGTTGTCGACTGGAACCAGGGTAAGGCCATCTCTGGAGAAAACGAGTCAGAGATTCTGAAGCTGCTCAACTCCCAGAAGTAAGAGGGAGGGAAGCAGATGTACCATAGTATGTCGGACCGTTCTTTATATCTATATCTAGCCCTCTTCACTCTAAGAACAAAAAAGTCAAAGGAGAATTCATCGCTGATTACGTTTTGGGGAAACGACAGGTAAACACCTGGTGGAATAGAGCATAGCATTTATTCTAATTTAAATGCGAAGACATTGAACGTTCACAACTTTATATCTTCGGATGAAGGCAAATTTACCACTTCACAGAAGGAGGAATAGGGGACGAGTGCGAACCTATACTGAAAGGTTTTCCATCCCCTCTCCCCCATATTCTTCTGCCAGACACATCCTGTTCCCGTCCTTTGATCTTCCTCCCCCCACCCTCTTCATCCATCGTTGATACACACCAGCGAGTATAGCTTGTCAAGAGCCGCGACATTCTGTCCCCTCGACACCAGGATGAAATCCAGCTGGGTGATACCAGTTAGATTACTTTGCAACTAACTCCAAACCTGCCGGCACCCGCATAGACGAGAGATATCAAAGCTCGGTGATAATATTACCTCAGGGTTTGTATGCATCTAAATCTCCCCTCTGCCCCTTCATCTATTGAGAGAACGGGAGTTGCAGAGAGTTTTGTATATTGCCTGCTGATAACCCAGCCTCCGTTCCCGATGGACCCTCACGGGAACACTACGCGTCCTGAATGGATCACGACCACGCATTTCGGAGGGACCACATATCTCGGGACGGCAACGAGCCCTGATACCGAGACTTTCTTCTTCCCCTATGGCCAGTCATGCCGTACCCAGCAGGCCTTCATCAGGCTCTACCCGAATGGGCTACCCAGGTCCTACCACATGGCGCCAAGCACGGACGCCGACGGAGTGCCTCGGACGGTCATCGAGGACTGCATCAGACCAGACTTCTTCTCGACACCCAGGCTGATGAGCTCGCCGCCCATCTTTGGTGGCCTGGGACGGACGACGGCCATCCCGCTATACCCCCCGCCGTACGTCCGACAGGTCGAGCTGTGGAGTTGCGACAAGATCCAAAAGGTCTGCAACTCGCTCCGTCTGCAGTGCTACCCCCTGACGCTCGACATACCGGATTGCGTCGAAATAGAGCAGCTGTACTGCTTCTTCAGCGGACCTCAGCTGTGCCGTTACGGCGTCTGGAACCTTCGCAATGTCGTCCGCCGCCTGTTCAGCGAGAATCAAATCATGAAGAAGGATCCCAAGACCGCCTGGCGTGTCTCCTTCAATATCTTCATTCACTGGTGGCTCAGCGACCCCAGCAAAAGGGCCAGACTCATTCACTGGGATAAACGAGGGAGCCCCATCTTCAAGGTCGTGGACAAGAATTCAAGACGCGGTATAGGCCCCCTGGAGCAGTGGCAGAAGAACGACGTCACACATGCCCTTCATACCCGGCGCAGATCCCTATTGAATCCTGGCCAGCGACCGACACGTCCCAAGAGCTTGTCCAGCGCGTGGGAGGAGCAAGATGTCCACAACTGGCTTGGTAGGTTTTGACCACCCGATAGGTTAGCGCTGTAGTGTAGCATGGGCTTGGTGAATTGCTGACACGCGCTTTCTGCATTATAGCTAACGAGGAGATCCTCCCAGCGTCTGGCCTCCCTGCTGAAGATACTCCGTCGTCGCCAGCCACCGTGCCGGTCTACGTAAATGACGCCCGGCCCTCCACGGTGCCGCAGTACCAGCAGCCCATGACGCCGGCTTCCCGTCGTCACCCAAGCTGGCCCATTTCACCCCAGGGGTCCTCATCTCATCCTCAGCCGGCAAGCTATGGCACCGACAACATGACGCCCACGCATCAGCCAGGTGGCTCCCCAGCGGTTTCGACGGATTCCCAGCAGGCGGTGGAGGCGATAGTTGAGTCAATGGCGCTACTACTGTCTGGTGGAAATCAACCAAGCGGCCAAAGGCCCAACGGCAGCGCGCCCCCCATCACCGTCGCAGAGCTCGAGGCCACCGCCAACGGCCCTGCAGTGCCCGCGCAGGATTCGAGCTCTGGAGAGGAACCTGCTCCGAGCAGTACTCGCACACTCAACGATGAGGATATACTCGACGCTGAGGAAACGCCAGTCCCACAGACAAAGCCGAATTCGGAAGCAGTGCCGAGCCCTGGGACGTCATCAAAGCACGAGACAATGTCCCACCTAGAGGCAACGGCGGGCCCACGGACGACATCGAAGACCGAGACAATGTCAAACCCGTAGACAAAGCTGTATCGTCCGGGCCTCCCTTCCCAGACTGTTGAGGAAGCGGAAGAGAGTCAGCAGACTACTTCGGAAGAGGATCAACAGACTGCACCGGAGGAAGAGCAAAGGGCACGAACAGGCCAGTGACAGTTGGGCATTTGGCGGCAGCTCGAAGGCAAGGGCACACGCTTGGATGGTCGAGCAGATGAAGTATTAGAGGGGCAAGAGAAGGAAGCTCCCCTTCCTGATGGTTGATGGTCCATCTCGTTATTCATTGACCCTTACGATGAAGCTAGGGTATATTCCATCCGAGGTGAAGCAGTTGGTCGTACTACTTGAGGGTGGGGGTGGGGAGAGAGGTTGTGTGATTATGGTACAATTCTTCTTGTTGTCTTTTGCCGTGATCTCGAGAACCTTTGAATATATACATTTCGGCGTTAAAAAAACCCTCAAATAAGAGGTAAGGGTGTATCTCCTCAACCCCGTGTGAAACCAAAACCTATCGTGCCTTCTCTTCTCCCTTCCTCTCTCAAGGCTCGTTCTTGACGATGCCCGTCACCGTCTCCTCTATCTGTTTATCGCTGAGGCCCTCGAGACTGAGACCCTTTTCGTTTCCAAACTCTGTGATACACACACAAGAAGGGTTAACAATCTGTCATTTGCATAGTAAGACGAAGAAAGGGAGTGAGTTGTGGGTATCTTACCGTATCGCGCATAGACCTTGGGGAGGGTACCGGCAGCCTCGCGGATGAGGATGGGGATCTGGGGGTTGTTCTTCTTCATGGTCGGGTATGCCCTCGTGAGGAAGGATCTGGCCATTCTCGTCAGTATATTTGACACGGAGGCGTAGGGGGAGTTGGAGAAGATGATGAAGACAGCAGGAAAACGGAAGAAACACATTGGTACTTACCGGACTGCGGCGCTCTGCTCCGAGGTCTGACAGAAGAGGAAGCGGACTTCCTTGAGGGACTTTGTAAAAGCGTATCGGGAAGGCATTTTCGACGTCGTTGCCGTTTGCTGTATCTGGAAAGGGTGGTGGATGGAACGGAAGAAGAGAAAAAAGAAGGGAACCAAACAACAACTCAAATATACCGTCCCTTGGGGAGATGGAGAGAGAGAATGGAGAATGCGGAGGAGGAGTCTGGGGTTTGGAGCTGGCGTGATGGGGAATGCTGATGCGAGGGCAATTGGAAGGATTTAATTGGTCGGGTAGACCGAACTCCACAAGCATCACGGTTATGCAAGAATGAGAAATATTTATGCATATTTGCATAAATAAATTACGAAATAAAGGTGAAAACAAGAGTGAGAGAGAATGAACCGGGACCTGGCTCGACGCCGCTATCTCCGCGTCCCGGCATCGCATTTTATAGCTTCCTCCCTTCATCTTTGTCCCTCATCATCTTAAACCCTATACTATCACCCCTCCTCAACAGGTACGTCTGCACACACACGCACATGCGCACACACACACACACTCTCTCTGTCTCCTCTCCCTCCCTCCCTCTCTCTCGTCTTCCTTTTCTTCTCGTGCGACCAACGTGTCTGACTAAAACACACCATCGCAGATTGGCTTTGAGAGAATCGAAAACACAATGGCCTCGACAACCACCATGTTCCGCGCGGCGCGTCCCGCCTTCAACCAGACCGTGGTCCCTCGCCTCGTCATCCGCCATCAGGCGCGTCAGAACTTTTACCAGCAGGGAAGCCGTCGCTGGCAGAGCACCAACGGTGGCGCCGGCGCCGGCGCCCAGCAGGAGGCCGGTGGCAGCCAGCAGCAGCAGGCCAGCTGGTTCAAGAAGGCCTGGGAGAGCGAGGTTGGCATCAGGACCGTCCACTTTTGGTATGTTACTCTCAACCAGATCCCAGACTCCTACCCGATACATCCTAGGAAGGAACAGAAACAATAAGCTAACTCTTTTGAATAAGGGCTCCCGTCATGAAGGTTCGAACGCACACATCCCTCCCCCACTATCCCTCTCCCCCCGATCCCGATGACTCCCTTCTATACTTTCACGACCCCAAATACTTTGAAGACCATGGTATAGATGTACTGACCAAAAGAACACAACAGTGGGCTCTCGTCCTCGCCGGTATCTCCGACTTTGCCCGTCCCGCCGAGAACCTTTCCCTCACTCAAAACGCCGCCTTGACGGCCACTGGTGTCATCTGGACTCGCTGGTGCCTCATCATCAAGCCCAAGAACTACCTGTATGTTTTCTCCCCCTTCTCCTTCCTGCTCCTCTCTCCTCATCCCACTCCAGTCACTATGGCTATCTTCCATATGCTGACATCTCTACCCTTTGCCAAGCCTCGCCGCCGTCAACTTCTTCCTCGGTCTCGTCGGTGTCACCCAGGTCTCTCGTATCCTTCTCCACGAGTCTTCCAAGAAGCGGGAGGGGGCTGCCGCCGCTTCTACCAAGACCCCCGCTGCCGCTTCGTCCTAGAATCTCTCTTGGAGAAAGCCAAGAAATTAATCGAACGAAAGCCTAGAAACCTTTTTTGCTCGCTTTCGCTTTCTCTCTCTCTCTCTCCCTTTCTCTTTTCTATATTGAATACAAGTTTCGGGAAACAACAAGGTGAGGAAAGCTATGGGTCAGAAGCTTCTTCCTTATTTTCTTCCCCTAAAGAGAAGAAAGAAACCCTTCTATTGACTACAGCAAATAGAGAAGGAGATTCCCCTCTTGTCATTGTGTATATCTTGAAATGGGCCAAGGGTGGAAAGATCGTGTGTTAGGACCGATTGTAATTCCAATTTTTTAACAGCTGTCCGTGTACTGCTCGCCACTTTGCAACTTCAGTTGAATGACCTGCTGCTACTAACCCTACTGATATCCGCAAATCACTTTGTTATTATTAATACTTGATGTTGGTACAAACGTTGGAGTTTCATAGATATTCGTACAACTAGGGAAATGCATGACACTTCGTCATGTCGAGAATATATGTAACCTTCATCTTATGAACTTTGATGAAGAGTCTTTTCTCTCTCTCTTTATACAAGAAAAACGGGCAAAAGATTAAAAGGAAGATAATGACTAAATACAAAAAGAAAATCCATAGCGCCATGCCGTACGTACCATGAAAAGATCGGAGGGTGGGGACGCAATATTGCCCATCCATATCGACAACATCCAAATCACATCTCCATAGAAATGAAAAAGAAATCAAGCAAAACCATTGTCCAATGATATCCAGTAATATCCTCACGCCTAAACCCCATGTAAGTTTGGATAACCTCTTACTAACTCTCGCTGTGACCGTCGTTAAGGAGTATCTCCAAGACGATCTGTCGACCAGCAATCTCAGGATGGCACATGGCAATTTTGACGGTGCCCTTTGAGGCATCACCGACGTTTGGAAGGTGGCCATCATGACCCTGGAGGTGCTCCCAGGCAGCCGCGTTACCACCCGTAGGGCCCCTGATACCATAGTCGATGACGCGGACGTCGCGTCCGGCAATGATCTGGCGGAGCCGGCCATTCTCGGCGTTGCGCACCTCGACATAGTCGTCGTTGAAGAGCAAGAGGTACTGGCCGTACATTGTCGCGCCCTTGGCCTTCTTCTGCTTGCCCGTATACTCCATGATGAGGGTGCGGCTGACGTCACCGTGCTTGTCGACGTAGACGGCGCAGTCCTCGTACGTCAGGATAAACTCGTTCTCGTTGAGACGGAACATGCCCAGAGGCTTCTGGTCGCGGACGCGCCCTGCAATGTTGGCAATGGCCGGCGCCTTGAGGTCCGGGATCGACAGGGGCTGCTTCTTGTCCAGGGTGAGCATCTCGACGCCCTTGGACGTCGACACCGCAATGTACGTCTGGAACACGTTGAGCGAGTAGCACTCGGTGGGGAAGAAGAACTCATCAAAGTCGCGGTACGACTCGGTGCTCCCGGGAGCGCTCTTGCGCCCGCCAAAGAAGCGCTTCTTCTCTGTCGCCTTGTGGTAGATCGGCTCCAGCACCTTGAACGTCGTGTGCAGGCTTTCCTTCCTCTTGTAGAATATGAGGGTGCGCTCCTTCATGCGGGCTGTCGCGAAGTACGTCACATCCTTCGCCAGTCGCTGTGGAGCCCTGCGTGGGTTGTCATTGAGAGGCGGCGCAAAGTCGGACACGGGGGCCACCACGTCGAGGGGGTAAGAGATGAGTGCCCGGTCTGAGATGACGAGACAGACTGAGAACTCTTCGAGGACGGCGATCTGCGTCACACGTACCGCTGAGATCGTCCGGGTCCATCCGCGCGGGTTGGCAGGGTCCGAGATGTACACGCCAAAGTCAGTTCCGATAGCGATTAGGGACTTGCCAAAGGCCGAGAAGCCCGTGGCGCAGTTCACGTGTGACCGGCAGACAGGTGCTATTCCCTGAGCAGGCCCCAAGACGCTCTCCAGGTCGCAAATGGCCCGGTCTAGCGGGGTGCCCCTGACGGGGACGACAGTTGACTTCGAGTAGGCAGAAGACATCTCGTAGTGGAAGGCCGCGTCGGCGAGGACCCGGAGACGGAATGGCTCGGCATTCTGCGAGTGGAGAGCCTTGGCGTGGTTCGTCTTGGCCTCCATAATCATGTTGCACCAATCCATACGGTCCCGGGCCGAAGAAGCGTAGAGCACATAGACTTCGTGACCTAGATGCTTCACCTTGAAGGGATAGAGGATCTTGCCATCCGACTCGTTTGGAACCGGAGCCGAGAGCGTTGAGTTGAGCGAAGAGGATGTTGGCGTATGCTCCAACCCAGGCTTGCCGCCTGTTGTGGCGGAGAGCTTATTGAGCTGGGAGGTAGAAGCTGAGGGTGCCGCCGTGGACCGCCCTAGGGGAGTCGCGATTCCCTTTTGGCGCTGGATAGGCTCATCGTTGGTACTCTCGAGGAAAAGGAGTGGCATCGGAATGGGCTATCATTTCATGGGAAGTTAGCCATCGGGATAGAAGAGCAGAGGGAAACGCAGGGAGAAGAAGAAGGAGAAGGGGAGGAAACAGCGAGAGCCCTTACCTCTTTTGACACGTCGTACTTCTTGTCGCGGCCATCCCTGCTGGACACTGCCTTGGCTATGATCAGGTAATGGTCGAACAGTAAGGCGTGCACATCAACCCATCTAACTCCCTTGGAGCCCAGCCTGGTCAGCTCACCCTCCATGAGCAGTTGACGTCCCAGGTGGTCCAGGTTCAGCCTCGAGTGAAAGCCCGGGCGCAGAATCAGCATGCGATCCAACTCCATCATCTGCACTCTCTTGTTCGTCTCATCGACCTTGGAGTCGCACTCGAGTGTGACTACCTTGATCTCGGCGATTGCCTTCTGAAGGTTTATCCTCTCCTCCGAGTCACCCACCGTCTTCTTGTCAATGCTTTCCAGAAGAAGAATGTAACGCTGCAGGCGCTGCAGAGGTGTGATGAGGAAATGGGTCCAGTCCTGCTTGGACATGGACTTGTGCTTCTGCTTCTCCTCGAGGAAGTGCTTGAAGACCATGTTCCTCTCTGCCTCCTTACGAACCATGTACTGGGCGCGAGGGTAGCCTGTGGCGTACTCAATGTAGTCTGCCTTTGCCTTGCGGATCCACTCTCTGAAGATGTCGCTGAATCCGGTGATCCAGGGACCCTGTTCTTGCTGTCGGTACTTGAGCTGTGCCAAAAGATTGTCCTTGTTGATACTGAGAACAATGTCAAGCTTCCCAAACACAGAAGACAAGAACTTATCAAGCCTATCCGGTTTGAGTATCGGTGGCTGCCTCGCGCGCAAGTCATCTCGATACAGGGTCCGGAAGAGATCGAGCTGCTTGATGTATGTCTCTTCTCCCGTGACGATTTCATGGAGAATGTTTTGGCGCTCTACCTCCTTTTTGGGCTTGCTCTCCAGATCTTCCTTTGTGAGGCCGTAAAATACATGCCAGTCAATCGTCTTGGCCTTTTCGGGATCGAGGTCATCCAGATCAACCTTCTTAACAGTACGCGTGCAGTGGTACGAGTAACAACGCCCGCTCGAGTCTTGCTCGTGAAGCTTCGGGGCATAGCAGCCCAGACCAGTCATCTGCCACAATACTCCAGAGATGTGGCCGGTGCCGAACTTGACCCATTCCTCCTCGGGCAATAGCAGGTTGGATTCGAGCATGAGAGTGACGACATGGGTGCTCAGGGTCTCGGCGTCGGCGACATTCATTGTCGGGACCTTAAAGGTGAAGAGTTGGACCAGAGCCTCCTCGACGGTCTTCTCCCTCAGGTCGATCTCGCCGTCGGCCATGTCGCGTATCCAGGTTTCGATGCCGCTCAGGGCCCAAGGCTCGGTACAGCGCCGAAAGTCGCCCGAGCTGAGCTTGGATGGGACGAATCTCCTCTTCCTTCCGCTCGGCAGAGTGATGCTATCAAAGCCACCCACAGGTGCATCATCGGAACCGCCGGATATATACTCGGAAAGTGTCACGTCGATGGACTTGTCACCAAATTGGTGCATGCGGTTGGCCTTCTTGCGCTCTTCCGTCGCATCCGTCCTCGACCTGGCTGGGGCAAATACAGGGGGCGTGCTGCTCTGCCCTGAGGCGGAGAGGGAACGCTCTGGATATCGAGTGTGGACGCCGGCGTAGAAGTTTTCTGGGTTCTCTGGAAGTTGATATCTTGAGCCGGTGCTGTTTGAGTAGTTGTGCCGCAACTGGCCCTGACTGCCGGTGCCAACCGAGAGCAGAGAGCTGCTGTCGGAGCCAGGAGGCTCGGGGCCAGGGGGGACTGCGGGAAGTGGCCGGCTGGAGAGTCCTGGGTGATAGAAGAGGTCTTCGTACTCGTCCTTGGGAGGTGATTCAGCCCCAATCCTGTGTTCCGATAGCGAACCATTCTCGTCGCCCTCATCGAAACTCAAGCGGTGGGCCATGGGTGTCTGCAGGCCACCAGTATCGCCATAGTCCATCTGGGCGTCGTTATAGGTGGACGCGTTGCCATAGGTGTCGAAAGACTGAGCTGGATAGCCTGGTGACGGCAATGGGCGTGGAGCGCTTTGCGATGCGGGTATTGACCCGACGTCAGTCCCATATACAATGTTGCCAGCATGGCCTCCGCTGAGCATGCCTAGGTCAACCATACCACCCAGATCGCTATCGCTGCTGTCTCCATCCTGCTCCTCCGGAGCCGGTGGGAGAGTGTTGGAACTGGAAGGGGCTTCGTGGGTAGAGAATGTTGTTCCACTGAAGCGGCGGTCATCTAGCTCAGCCTGCTTCATGGCCAAAACACCAGCGGTTCCCTCGGGGTCGTCGTCATCGGCGTCTCCCATGCCGTTGGAGTAGGGGTCGGTGTATTGGCCATTAGAAGGCGGTGCAGCCGCATGCGTATCACGCGGCGCATACGCACCCAGCTCAGCTACTATGTCCTGCATGAGGCGATACTGGTCGTCAAAACTTCCGTTGTCGTCCTCCGGCGGTGCTTCCCAGGTAGTAATCTCAGAGGGCCTCCTGGGAAGTGGTGCATTCGTCGGATGTCTCTGGAGGCCTTGGGATGGCAACGCGGGCGATGGAGTGAACCGTGACGATTGTGACCCAGACCGGGCATCCCGGTTATACACGGGATCAGGATCATTGGCGGCGTAGTTGGGACCAGTGGGGATAAAATTAGATGGCGGATAGGATAGCTGGCCATACGGGGCACCATTTCCACTGGGGCTGCGACCGTGATACGGATCAGCAGCAAACTGGGATGGATCATATGTACTCGGGGTATTCGGGCTGAAGCTGCCGGTGAGAGATGGGCTGGTGGCGGAGTGCGTGAGCCCCGTGGCCGTATTGACGGCCAATGCGGACGCTTGCGAGGGGAAAGAAGCAGTATAGGATGCGGCCGGTGACTGTGTGTATGTGGGGGATCCATATACGCCAGCAGAAGGGCCTCCGTAGCCGTGATACGTAGGCTGTCTCTGCGGCGAGGTAGCACCGACATAAGCGGCGGGGTTGTACGTGGGCGGGGTAAAGCTGTTAGGCGGGGAGGTAAAGGACATGCGGTGCGGGTGTTGTTGGTGAGGCGAAGATGGTTGTCGGATGGGGAGACTGGTAGGAGGAGCCTGAGCGTACGAGCCCGAGGGCTGCTGCTGGTGAACAAAGCTCTGGGGGTTGTACGCCGAGGCAGACGTCGAAGGGGTCGGGTCCTGGTACTGGTGTTGGTAACCCGACAGGACGTTGTTGACAGCAGCCGGCCTGGTGTTTGTCGATGGACGGCTGGTCAAGAAGAGCTCGTCTTCCGCGATGTTGGAGGGGCTGCGGCCGTGAGGGCTCTTGTGGTACGCGGCATCGTCGCCGTCGTTGAAGCTCTGCCTCCTCCCAAGTCCGGCCATCTCATCCGTAGGCTGCGGCCTGCCGCTGACAGGATATTGGACGGGAGGGACATGTCCATACCTCCCTTGGCCGTCGGCGCGAAAAGACATGGCGCCTGATGTTTGTTCAGGTTCTCAGCATACAGGTACTCCTCTGGAGCTAGGCGCACACAAACTGCCTGAGGCGAACCTGACAATGATATCGTAGGTTGCGGCCAGAGCGCCAGCGACGCCAGCGCAAAAAAACAGGTGTCGTGTTGGTGATAATACCACGCCGTAATGCTCGTGATGTTATTATTCGGCGATACCCCGGGAGATTCGGGCCGGAAGCGAGTCCTAAGCGGCCCCAAGGGGGGTTTCAAACCACGTCGCGGGATCCCATGCGATTCTACGTCTCGGTTTCTCAGCACTAGGACGGTCAGGGCAGGACCTAGGACCGGGGTCTTGTGCTGGTGAGCGAACTGGCGAGCACCTGGGCGACAAAGAGGCGAGGTGGTATCCCAAAGCCCTGGGAAGGGGTTGTAGGTGGTGGCGCAGATGAAGTAGAAGAACGCGTTTCGGAATACGTCGTATGGGAATGATATCGGCGCTAGCAACACTCCGTACTCGACGATGTGAGGCAGCAATGACGGGGTATTTGGTGTGGTGGTGGTTAGATAACAATATGAGAGGGCAGCTACAACGTATTAGTGGGGTACAAGTTTTGACCAGGGGGGGGGGAGAGAACATAGAAGGAGGGGGGGGGCCTTTTGAGTTGTTCGCCTGTGTGAAGCCCGTGAGTAGTTCCTCTCTTGTGTGGCTTAGCAGAGCTTAGCAAAGCGATGCAGACAGCTCCTCATTACGTCGTTTGACGTCGGTATTAGTGGTTCGGGTCTGTGGCTGTTGACCTGTGGCTTCAACCTCACAAGTTGTGGCTCTATTCATCTTAGCTTGTGGTTGTGAGCTGATTGGTTCTTAGACATTGCGGCAGCTCTCTTCCACGTGACCGGTAACCTATTATTAGGTCACGTGATTAACCGAAAAAATATGTGGGCATATTGAGTCTCCAAGACACCTGTTCTCTATACCTGTGTGCATTTTTTTACTAACACCTGTACTAGTGGTAATATCCCATATACATTGTATTCCCTTCTGGAAACTAATGTGAGATGCGTTGAGTTTCGGTATGAGTTTGTGCGTATTCAATTGTATTCTTAAAAACAGGTTTTTGCGTGCAATCAACGTAGGGAAGGACGCGATGGAAGTAGCCATGACTCGGCCAGTGAGCGGTAAGTGCTTGTGCTTGGGATTCACTGGCGAGAGCTCCGTTCTGTACAGATTACACGTATTCATTCATCATTACTAGCAATAATACTAGCGGTATCATGACTTGGGGCGTCTCGCATACCAGTGGTCTATGACCGAGTGTTATTTATCCGTAGTGGCGGTGTGCGTTGGTTGGGCGTGGATATAGAGTAGTAATAGTTTGGTAACACTTGTAATAGTCAGCGGTATCACATCGTACGAGAACTGCCAATATCACGTCGTACAGGTGGGTAGAGCCCAGCTTTTGTCTTCCATTGCGATATCAGTATTTCTATGAAAGAGTAGGGTAGGGGGTCAGTTGTCGGGATGACGGTCCTCCTATGCTGCCTGTATCAGCGATAATACCCTTGATCATGGTGGTTGGCGGCACATACAGGTTGATTGATGCCATAGACGGATGTACTCATGCCGTACAGGCTTGAGGCTCTAAGCTACTATTATATGTACTGTATTCGATGCTCGTTCTCGTAATACTACAACACTACGTAAAAGAGAGCAAAACGAAAGAAGAAAACACAGGACGAGAGCATCCGGGGAGCTGAACCAGGGAACCATCTGGTAGTGGTATAAGAGTGGGTTTGATTCCCCAAGGACCACTCGTACGACTTGTAAGAGGAGGAGTATTAGTACACGCGCAGACACACACACACACACACACATAGAGCTGCGACCAAAAAGTGTTTTCCTTTCTTCTCATCTTTACTTGTGGAGTAATATTATTTCCTCTCTGCCGAGAACAGAGCCCAACTTCTTTGTTGGGGGTTATGCAGGCCCCTCACTCCCCCCTGGAGGCTGGGCCTGTCCTTCTCTGAGGCTTCTCAACTCGCTTTTTCTCTTTCTCGAACCAAGCTAATGCAAGATGCGTTAGATCTGTGTGGCGGTCGAGAAGGAAGAAAAATTGACATATTTTCTTTTTCTTGAAGAGTGCAACTGCAGGAGTACGAACGAAGACCCTTGTCTCTCCTTTTCCTCTCTCTCTTATTGCCTTATCCGAGGGATGCTGTGACAAGCATGTGACGCTATATATATTTATTTTTTTTGTTATCAACGAGGGCAGGAGGCAACCAGGTTGTCCCTTCCCTTCTAAAGGGCTTTCCACCTTCTTGGTCTCTTCGGCTCTCTGACCAACATGCACAGCTTGTACGCCATGTTTATTCCTGAGCTCGGACACTCATGTACCATGACTAGTATTACTCGTACTATCTCTCTTGCTAGTGAACAATTTGAACAACAATGTACTCCATATTAATACATGTAGAACAAGGACAGAAGCGAATACGATTCAGGCTCATTTGTAGTAGTATCATTTGCTGCTAGTATTACTCGTCGGTTCATACTTGTTGCACGAGTACGGGGTATTATTAGCACCTAATACCACTGCTAGGTGCAGGTAGTAATATACATGTACATATACGTAGCTGTTTGGAGACGGCCACCCCGTCCCATCTATTGCCCCCCTCCTCTCTTCCTCTCTCCCCTCCCCCAACCAAACCCCCAATCTCCCCTTTTTTTGTGGTTAGCACCAACTATTTAGAAAGAAAAAAAATCGACTCAGGGCCACCTGAGCACTAGAACCCTCTAACTCCCCCCCTGAAAGGCACGTGGGGCTACCTATCTTAGCACAATACAGCTCATCCCTCTTTTCCTCCAACAGAACGGTGTATGCATGTCAAGGTACCTCCAATTGGACCCTTATTATCACCTGTAAAGCAAAAGAGCGAGAAAAAAAAGTAAAAAATGGAGAAAAAAAAAGGCTCCATTGTTGGAGGGGGAAAGGGGGGGGGGGGGGGACCCTGGGGATCGCTCCCTTTGCTAATTTGCCCCGTATCAGTGGCATGAATAAATTGGGCGGGCTCCTCCCTAATCCCGCCGACTTGTAGGACCGGACTTGTTTTGCTTGTTCTTTCCTCTTATTTTTACCTTCTTGGTAAGAGGACAACGCACATACATTCACTTTGTCTTTTTCTTCTCCTTCTATTCTCCTCTATTCATAGAAGGGATTCGAAAGAACGAACCCAAAGGACCGACAATGGCTCCTAAATCCTCTATGGTGTCCGGCGGGAAACTGTAAGTTCGAGCCTGCTGCTCCCAAGAGGATAAGTCGTCAAGAAGTTCGATGAGACTGACATGTGAAATGAACATAGGCCTCGGGCGGACCGTGAGTTTCCCGACATCAACACGCTGAAGCAGGCCATCCCCAAGCACTGCTTCCAACCTCCGGCCCTGCGATCCATGTGGTACCTGGTCCGCGATGTCATTATGGCCCTCTCTCTAGGCTGGGCGGCCGTCCGCTTCATCCCCGAGATCCCCTCGCCCGCCGGCCGTGCGGCCGCCTGGATCATCTACGGCTTCGTCCAAGGTCTCGTCTGCACGGGCATCTGGATCCTGGGACACGAGGGTGGCCACGGAGCCTTCTCCATGTACCCTAAGCTCAACGACGCCGTCGGCTTCTTCGCCCACTCGGTCCTTCTGGTCCCCTACTTCTCGTGGAAGTTCTCGCACCACCGTCACCACCGCTACACCGGCCACATGGAGAAGGACATGGTGTTTGTGCCCCGCACCCGTACCGAGTACCTGAAGAGCAAGTTCCGTGTCGAGTACCTCGAGGACACGCCCGCCTACCAGGCCATCAAGCTCCTCTTCCACCAGACCTTGGGCTGGGGCTCCTACCTGTTCATCAACAGTACTGCCGGCCCGGACAGCCTCCAGCGTCCTTCCAAGAGTCTCTTCGACCTCAGCCACTTTGACCCTACCAGCGCCGTCTTCCGTCGCAGCGAGGGCCCTTACATTCTCCTGTCTGACCTTGGTATCGCCATGACCTTTGGTGCCCTCTACATTCTCTCGCGCTACGTTGGCACCTCGACGACTGTTCTTCTCTATGCTCAGGCCTACTTCTGGGTCCACCACTGGCTCGGTATGTTTATGTCCCCTCCACCTCCCCATTAGCACGAGGCCGAATCAGGCCCGACACGATGTAGCCAGCTAACCTCCTACCAGTCGCTATCACTTACCTCCACCACACCCACGTCGAGGTGCCCCACTACGACCGCGAGAACTGGACCTACGTTAAGGGTGCCCTGGCCACTGTCGACCGCGAGTTTGGCTTTGTCGGACGTCATCTCTTCCACGGCATCATTGAGCACCACGTCATCCACCACCTCTTCCCGTATGCTCTCCCACTCTTTCTTTTTTTTAACTGTTAAGAGACTAACACATACCGCCCAGTCGCATTCCCTTTTACTACGCCGAGGAGGCCACCGATGCCATCAAGCCCATCCTTGGCGACCTCTACTACCGCGACGACAGGAACTTCCTCGGTCAGCTCTGGTCCAACTTCACTAGCCTCAAGTTCGTCGAGCCCGATATGTCGGCCTCCCCTGGCGTCCTTAAGTGGGCCACCAAGACGGATTGATTGATAAGGAAGAATATTGTTCCACCCACCGCCTGCAACAATACACCAAGCATGTACCTGGATTATTTTCTTTTCTTTCTTTGCCTCTTTGCAGACCCCTCAAGGACCGAAAAAGCTCCACCCATTCACGCTTAGATGACACAAAGTGTTGGGCTCGACCCCACCCTCTTCCCCTCACCCTCAACAAGAGAAGACTCCATTTTTCTTACGGTGTAACTGTAGGTGTTTTTTTCATTATCATCTACGGGTATATGGCACCGATGGCGTTTTCCGACATATAACATATTTATTTTCCATCATACTACTACCTTTAGAGATTCCCAAAAAAGAATAGAATTTTGCTGCTGTTTTTCATCCGCGGAAGCTCCACCACATGTTTATTTGTCTATCGATGGCCTGAGTTGCGGACTCCAAGGTTTGTACGACTTTTGGACCCTGAATCCCTGACCAATGACTTTGACACGACACCCTCCATTAGGGCACATATTGGAGATATCTGCATGCGCCGCCTGTGCGTTGCCGATCTTCAATGAGATGTCCCTACGCTATGTTTGTGTATCATGGGTAGCATCACCAGATACTGCTTTACAATCCGAGACGATGGCCGGGCGTCTGACTGAGTTGGATCCAGGCCATCTGCATCTCGAAGAGAAATCATGCTAACAACTACTTCATTACGGGATGATGTCGGCCACGTTGTTTGCCAGAACGACTGAACTGGGTGGTAGCTCAACCTTTCTTTGCTTCTAACAAACGTCAATCATCGCAAAGACGTCGACTGGTTACGACAAAGGGAATGATTGCAGAAGGTATTGTGCTTGACATACTTGCATGTCTGCATGCCCGCATGTTTGTCTGTGCTCTTGTTCCCTGGAAACACCCAACACCTAGCACATGGCGTCTGAGATGATGGGACGATGCCACAGCATGGCAAAGGTGAAAGTGCTGACAAACAGCTGGTGGCAATTGGCGGAACACACATGGCACTTTGACGTGTAATCCTGAAATCGCGTGCTACCTTCTCACATGGAGTCCAACTCTGTTCTACGCGATGACTGCAGCATGAGTATTCATCTATAAGGACGGCTGAATTCATCAGTATCGTGGTCGACTCGATACATGCCGCCTGCCTACTCATCTCCCAAGCCGCTAAGCACCACCGGTATGGTGTCTATCAAGCTAGCAGAGATCTCCCGCTCAGATATCGTCGGCCTCACTTCAACCTCGGCCTCGGCAACTATCACCGACGCCGTCCCGCTCGCGTCGTACAAATGGGTCGAGCGCTAGACGCCAACGATCGTCGTCCCTGAATATCTAGCCGTATGGTCCGTCCCGTCGGTCCCGAGAACTAAGGACATCGGCTTCTGTTACAGTTCCCAGACTACCCCCTCTCTCCTCTCTTCCGCTCCGGCTGCATATCCAAGCCGGACTCTGACATTCGCCCTGTCGACCTCGTAACCGATCGAAACAACATGCGCAAGCTCTTGACATTTGCCAACCCAAACAGCTCAAACTTTGGCCACGAAGAGTTCACCCTCCAAGTTGAGATTGCCAACAAAACTGCCGTGTTCTGCCGTGATGTGGCCCGGATGTACCGTGTCGTTGGGCCCCAGGACTTCCTCGGGTACGGGCACGCGTTTGAGAAGAAATACACGCGGTAAACGATCGGGGGAAGTACGGGGCACCGCCGCATCATCTCATACTACTCTTGTGGGCTGAACCTTGTCGTCAGCCACGAGGCAGATGGATACGTGAAGGAAGGAGGTGCCGGCGCCCCCCTCTTGCGGGTATGGGGAACGATGACCTCCTTACCGAGGAAGATCACGACGATGCAACCACGGAGCCAGCATCCAGGGCAGATGAGGCCATCCCCGGGTCGAAGCCCAGGATCATACATACACTGTGGAGAGACCGTGCCTCTTGGGTCGACGCTGTGAATCAAGGTGCGATCCACCAAGAATCTCATCTCGTTTGACGACCTCGCGGCCCAGCTGTGGGTGTCCCAGACCACCAAGCTCGTGCAGGCGTACCGTAGGCAGGGCCTGTTTAGAGTACAGAGTGTAAGCCTCCCAAGATGTGGCTGGTGCTGTTTGGCGATGGAAGGCGGCCAGGTAGGACGATTTCATGAAACTGGGCCCCTTGGTCGAGAGGGTTATCACAGGGTGCGTGCCAGGAATGGGAGTACGTTGGTGATTGATCCCGCGACGGATATGAGAAAGATGTTTCCCGAGGACTTGTATACCGAGTGGAACAAGGATATTGAGATGTGATAATCACAGGTGAAAAATAGATTGACTGGAAAAAGACGTGGCTGATTCGAGACAGACTACCAAGATGGAATAAGAGCTGGTTCTATTCAAACCGACCGACCGACCCCCCCCCCCCCCCCCCCCTTTCCTCCATCGTTCTTTAGAAGAATGGGGAAATAGGAATTTTCACCGAGATTCCAGAGCTCTGCTAATAAGTTTCTCACTGAGTTCCCATAGCCTTCTCTGGCTCTTGACTCCCCACCCACAGCGTATAATAAACACTTAACACTGTTGAGGGGCAGAAAGGTATCGGCGGGTGGAGGAAGAGACGACGGCGACGTGCGAGTTGAGGTATGGCACGCAACTGGCCTGGAGGGGCAGGAGGAGCGTCGTTAGCAGCTGGTGGGCTAGGTAGTTCGCGTCGAATTGCTGCTCGATGCCGTCGCTTGTACGTGTGTCGGCGTCGGTGGAATACAGGTCAGCGTAGGGACGGAGGGGATTGGATCCTTCTTTTTGTTGGCTTTGGGGACTGCTAGAGAAGAGGAAGAATTCTGTCGTTAGCCTTCGTTATCATACCCTGATAAGAATGCAGCTGGTCTGAGTCAGTGCCCTGGATCAGAAGATGACCGGTCGTCGTTCAGCTCGAGCAGGGTCATCGACGGGTTCCATCGTGGGGAACAGCTTCTCGACGACACCAACGTCGCGACCCTTTGGGCCAACACCGATGATCAGGCCGGAGCACAGGATTCCAGTCACATTCTCCATCTTAGAGAGCAGCTCCGTGCTCAGCGACGATAATGCCCTGGCATCGGGACACCTGACACAAGAGACTGCACTCGCCCACCTTGAACCAGATCGCGCCGAAGTGGTAGATCAATATATCTTTCTACCATTCAGACATGATTTACCGTCATCGGCGCTTTCTGCACCACGACGTAGAGATACATCCGTCATACGACTCGGACGAGTGCGAGCCTCTCCTGCACGTGCGATCTCATATACGCAGACATACTAGTACTACTATCTGCTACCATCGTCTCGTACATGTACACCCTCGGTGTCATCGATATATCAGCGCTTACTTATGCCACACAATCCTTGAGACGGTCAAACTTGACCAGACATGTGTGTTCCTACGAGATCACCGATATTAGTCGACATGCGTTCACCGAACCTTCGACGGGAAAGCGCAGAACTAACCTTTATATTGGGGAACGAATCGTCGTAGAAGAGCTCAAAACGAGCGGTGATTCCCGGCGTAGTGTCATCGAGGCCTGGTGGCAGCGACGTCCGGTATTTCCTGTATATAGCAGCAGCCAGCGTTGTCATCTCAACCATGGCAAGACTGAGAAATCACATCATAGGTCAGCAAGATATGGCTTTTTTTCATCCAGAAGGAAAAAGAAATGAAAAACATAGAATTATGAGGATCAAACGTACTGTAAGCCAATGCACATCCTCCCTCCGCTGGAAAAAGCCCAGAACCAGCGATTCATCTCGGTCGTGTCCTGCCCCAGCCATCGATCCGGGTTGAAGTTTTGCGGGTCCTTGAACACGCCGGGGTTACGGTGCAGAGTGAAGGGCGACATGCCGACGATGGTGTTGGCCGGGATGGCGTACCCGTCCACGACGGAGTCGGCGGGGCACGAGCGGGGCTCAAAGGTCGGCAGCGGCGCGTACAGACGGAGGGTCTCCCTGATGACGGCAGCAAGGTACGTGCACCTGTCGCTCGCCTGGGCGGTGGGGTTGCCGTCGTCGTTGAGCTCGCCCTCGTCGATGCGGAGCAGCTCATCCCTCAGCCTGTCCTGGTACGACCTGTTCCTGACCTGCGAGAGGGACCAGATCAGGAACATGAGGGTGTCGCTAGTGGTGTCTATGCCCGCGAGGAAGTGGTCTGCGCACTCGGAGGCGATGTCTAGGTCTGAGAGGCCGCCTGGCTCGTTGCTCGTGTGGTGCGTCCACAGACGTTGCAAGACTGGCGGAGAATCTGCAAGGTTCGATTCGATCAGCTGTTGCTCAAAACGAGGAGGAAGAGGAGGAGGAGAAGAAGAAGAAGAAGAAGAAGAAGAGAGGAGGTAGAAAAAGAGGCAGAAGATTACCATTCGTCGCCGACACTTTTTCTGCCATGGCCTTGAAGCGATTCACAGCTAGCAGGGCATGCTCCCGTATACCGGTGTACGTGGCCGGTTTCTTCATGGGCAGGACGGGACGCACCATCCTCTCCACGGCGCCCGTCCGGGTGTACAGCCATCTGGTCAGGGCGGGTGCGTGCACGGCGCTCCACGAGAGGCTCCTGCGCGACGGGTCGAGCATGTCCCCGATGAGGGCGCGGTGGGCGACGTCTCCGCGGATGGCCTCGGTGGCGCCGTACCTCCCGTAGATGAAGGCCGTGATGCTGTCGAGCGAGTAGTAATGCAGGGTGGCGAAGATGTCGCTCGTGCGCTCGGGCTCCGACTCGATCAGGTCCAGGTACTCGCTCGTCCTGTCCTCGACCATGCGCGACGTCGACTCCTGGAGCACCGCCGACTTCGAGTAGGCGTGCGACAAGAGCTTCTTGCGCCGTCCGTGATCCGCAGCCGAGTGGAACGTGAACAGGTTCTGCCGCCCGTACACGTCGAACATGCGGTAGAAGGCCGTGCGGCCGTACCGGTTTCCGGGCCCGTAGATGCTCCGCAGCGCACTCATGCTGGCGAAGGAGACCTGGTTGGGCCCGATGCGCACCGCCGGACCATACTCGCGGTGCAGGCCGTCCAACGTCCGCGTGCTCGTGCCCTTCCAGTCTTCGTAGGCCAGCCGCCACTTCGTCAGGGCGTACCACCGCGGTCCCGGGATCTGGCTGAGCGGGCTTAGGTAGAGGGCGTCCAGGACGAGATACTTGGTCAGAAGCACTGCCAGAACCACAACGGCGACAATTGAGGGCATGGGGATCTCCATGATACTGGGGGTAAAAGCTTCTTCCATCTGAATACCCTGATCTTAGCTCTCATGGATCAAGTCGACCTTTTTTCCCGACAAGTTGCTGGGAAGATGCCGAGACTCTGGATGATCTTAGATGATGTCGTCGTGCCATGGCCGATAACCGGATAACTCATCAATACCCCAGGCATTATCTTGCTAGGCCCTTTGTTAATCATCCCAGCAATACGTCGTGTAACTTTGTAAGTGCGGGGGGGGGGGGGGGGGGGGGGAGTAGTGTGGGATTGCTCGTCGGACAGGCCGACGACACTGATATTGAATCATCGAATGACTGACAAGGACTGGGGCTCTCAGAGAGATGGAATGTCAGAGTGTATCCGTGTATCCACCCACATAAAAAGATGGCTATGATGTTTCCTTTTTTTTCCTCTCGTTGTTTTGAAATCCTCATGTATTACGTTTCAAATTTTTGTGGTTCTGTCAAGTGGATTATATGGCCGTTTATATTGGTCATTGGAAATGTCTGTTAATAGAACAATACCAAGAGTCTCCGGGTATCTCACGACAACCTGTACATATCTCTTTATGAAAACATATTCTCATCGCGTAGTCGAGTCGCGTAAGTCTTTATATCGTCTAGATATCTCCTCAATCATTCCCCGTATCTTATTTGCAGCGGGAAACTTCGTACCCAGCGTGTCAAATAATTCGATAGCCAAGTCAAGGTCGTCGATGGCCTTTGTCTCTTTGAGAATTATCACAAGATCATCCGGCTGCACAGTAGTCGAGTATATGAGAGATAGTGTGGCGGTAAATAGTGACAGGAGATTGAGCCAGTTGTACGACAGACGATGCTGGCGGTGCATGTTGAAGGCTTGGCGGAGAGACATCGAGGCCGCCTCCATGAGGGTCTTGACCCGCTCCTGGTCCATGGTGGGCAAGAGGGGAGACGGTCGGTACAGGAGGGCTAGGTGTGTGTAGAAGTTGAAGTCGAACCAGTTGGTCGTCAGGTGGGGAACGCGATCGTTGATGTCTGGAAGAGGGAAGGGCATGCTCCGCCGCCAATCGATGAGCTCCTGGTGCAGCGACCGGATTATACCGTTGCGCTGCTCCATGGTCAGGGAAGAGACCTGAGAGTTGGAATATACCTGCTTGGCAATCTTCCCGGCAATCCTTCTCAGCTGCACGATGTGCAGTGGAATGGCCATGAGGGAAGGCTGCAGCTCTCTTTGTGGAAGTATACCGTCTGGCCTGATGCAGTCGTCATCGACGGGAGCAAAAGGCTTTTTGAAGATGGGTTAGGAGGACTGTATACTTTTTGGAATGATATGGAGGACTCACCGTAGTGTCAATGTCATCATCATGGAGAGCAAAGGGGCGACCTAGGGCTGTTGAGACGACGCTGGTCCGAGTATGGCTTATTAGCACGTCTCATCCAAACGCTGAAAGAAAGAAAGAGGTCAGAAAGGGGGCCTAATAGCATACCGATCCATCATATAAATAGAAAAGAATATACGTTTTCTCCTCTGCACCATATCCACTGGCATTCCTACGTATATCCCAGACGTGTGCAGTCCCATGCCAAGTGCCAGGCGGGCAGCGAGACCAACCAGAAACCAAGTGTCTATGAGCAGAATTGTCAGGCATTGCGTAAGTTATCATCCGGACCTGGGCGAGACCAACTTGGACCTAGCTGATTGAAGAACGAGAACGATACTTGCAGCATGATGACCTCTAGTGTCGCCTTTAGATAGTCTGTCAGCGAATGGCAGCGTCCCTGCTCGGTATGACGGAAGTTCTCTACATACCATGTCACCGTATGCCGAAGCCTGCTCCAGGTATTCCAGGGCTTTATTATAGTACAGCCTGGCTTCAGATTCCTCGGACAAGGCGACCGAACAGTACGCAGTTGACCCGATGGCGAGAACCATCCATATCCTGAAGAGGGAGAGAGGTGGATGTGTCTCCGTGCCATCGGGACTCAAACGGATCTGTCTCAGACTCTCGACAATTTCGCTCCGGTACAAGATGGGATACAGGGTATTCGAGTGGGAAAAGTAGAAGTCCACCAGGCGGTCTACATGCGACTGGTCACTCGGCAGACACAGGTCGGCCACGGGATCGCTCGGATCGGGGACATCGTCGGCGAGGACGACGTCGCCAAACAGGGCTGGGTGGATGGATATGGACTTGTTGAGGCTCTCAAACAGAGAAGGGTGCATCAGATCCGAGGGCGAATCGAAGGCAAAGAGTCGGGACCCGCTGTAGTTCTCTTGATCATTGATAAACACGAAGTCGGCCCTGTCCGGGCTGAGACGGCGGAGGACGAGCTGCGTGAGGCGGGCAAAGGAGATGCCTGAAGTCGAGCCAAGATGGCGTTCAGCCGTGGCCTCGAGCGAGAGCGTCTCCAGCTCGCCGACAAAGGACGGCGGCACCGGCTCCTGGAATATGGAAGGATTGTTGACCTGTGATCGGGCCTGGGAAACAGGCCGTGCCTGCTGGGGCGAGCTGTCTGACGGCTCGGTGTTCTCAAGGGCACTGGGGAGTTCCTGCTGACTGAGGGTCGACACGTCGACTCCCAATGTCGACGTCTCTGTGCCGTAGATGGTGGAATCATCGGCCATGGCAGCAGACGGGGGATCAGTCGGCTGATCGCTGGCAAACCTTTGCTCCAATTCTCGAAGTCTCCTCTCCATATTGCGGACGTATCTACACGTTGAAGATTGCTAGTACACAGTAACCTCGGCTCAGCCCGACATCGGGCAGTCAGGGGAGGGGGAGGGGCAAATGAAATGTGACTTACGCTATAGGATATGATGCTGTCTGGCAGTCATCATCAAGAAAGCTGCATCTTACGTTGGCGTCGTGGCAGTTTGTGCAAAATGGTAGAGACCTGTCGCATCGCTTCTTTCTCTTGTGGCATCGATGACATGACGCTCGAGCCCTGGCAGTTGCCGTACGCGACGTCATGATGAAGGCATGAATTGTATATGAATGGTGTGTGATATTGTTGATAAGGGGGGGGGGGGGGGGGGGTTTGGGTTTCAGAGGGCTTCGTCCCTGTGTGTGTGTGTGAATGAGGAGAATGACGATGATTGAGTAATGGGACTTGAGTTAGCCAGGAGTGATTTGTGTACAGTAATAGTATATGTCTTGCAATGTAGTAATGCGTGTGTTGTGATTCACAATCAATCAGTGTGCGCGGGGGGGAGGAGCGATGCATCTACACTAAAATACCACTTGCCTCTTCATCATAATACGCGGCCAACCATTCTGCCGACTGTCAGCGAGCTTATCAAGCCGCCAATTGGTTACTCTCGATACGAGATGGCTTCTTATCAGCGGCAAGAAAGTCGTTGTTATCTTTCATTTGATACATTCGGTTATATGTGGAGTTGTCAGATTTCGTGGACTGTTCTACACATTAATCTTGGAATCTCTCAACAAGAGTTGTTGTTTATTAATTCTCTGTTGTTGGCAACCTGTTGCTGTTGTTGAATTATCATTCCCTTTATATGATTATCCATATGACGATGTAATTTGATTGGATGTCTAGGCCTCGACCACGGCAACAGCCTTAACTTCGACCAGCATCCTCGGATCAGGCAGCTCACGGACCCCAATAGTGGCTCTCGCCGGAGCACTGGCCCTTGTGGGGAAGATCTTGTTCCACTCTTCATTCATCCCAGCATACTGGCTCTTCATGTCGAGTATGTACACGACGGCGTCGATGACGTTGTGGATGCTGCCCTTCCCCTCCGACGCGCCCTTGATGATTCGGTCGACATTGGCCAGAACTGCGGCAGTCTGGGCTCGGATGTCGAGCGTCTGGGTCCCGTCGGCATTTTCTGTCACACCCTCCCAGGTGCCGTCTGGTCGGACACAGGCCGTACCGGAGATGTATATGGTCTTGTGAGGTGTCGTGGGGGCGATGCGCGCCTGGGGGAATATCGTGGCTCCCTCGGGCTGTTCCGGGTGGGCTAGGTACGCTTGCCCGTTTGGTGACATTTTTGGTAGGCAGTGATGAATGGACGGAACGATTGAATAGTATAGTATATGAGTCGTTGGATCAACAAAGTCTTGAGTGTCTGATGATCCGGGATAATAACGACAGCACCTCGGCTTCTTTTCTACGTACTATTTGTACCTCGAGTATACACTCTCAAGTCTGAATGCAATAGTTCCAGAACACTAATCTCTCTCACCTATCATGCGCAGATAGGTCATGGCCTGAACCCTCAAGGAGCCGGCGATGATATCGGTGCTATGTCGGGATTGCCGCTCTGCCGTCTTATCGGAGTACCCGACGCCACCCCTCTTTCAGTCAGTCGGCCACCCCGCACTTACATGCCAACACTGGAGCATGTCAGGTTATCACCATACTCATTCAACATGTGTGTAATGAGAAGAGGGGGGGGGGGGGGGGGGGGGGGGGGGGGGGGGGGGGGGGGGGGGGGGGGAGAGGATGATGAATTTCTTACTCGGATTCATTGCCAGCAGCTCGTAGATTTCTCCTCCAGTGCCATTTTCACATAGACGACCCTTTTCCCGCACAAGATGGATGACACAATCAAGTACCACGAGCTGCGAGACTTCTCATTCGGAGATGGCACAACACTCCCAACCGTCCGCCTAGCCTATCTCGACCTCAACCCTGGAGCATCGAAGAATGCGCTGGTGACGACTTGCTTCCGCGGTAGGCTCCGGGGCACATCGGCTTTCAACACGGGCGCACTCCGGAATTACCACGTCGTTGTCGTGGCGCTCTTTGGAAATGGAGAATCATCTAGCCCGTCCAACACGCCGGGGTTCCCCTCATCCATCGACTACCGCGACTGCGTCCGCGCGGAGCGACAGCTCCTGAGCCACCTCGGAATCGACTCCTTGGACGTGGTCATGGGCTTTTCGATGGGAGGGCAGACCGCCTACTACTGGTCTATCATGTACCCGGAACAGGTCAAGAATGCCGTCATCATATGCTCTGCTGCTCGCACGAGCCGCCACAACTACCAGTTCCTCGAGGGCCCCAAGGCGGCCCTGACAAACGCCGTCGACTACGTCAACAGAGACCTTGCACCCGCGAGCCCGAGCCCGAGCCGTGCCGTCCATGCCTTCGGCAAGGCTTACTCCGCCTGGCTCACGAGTGCCGAGTGGTTCGACCAGGAGGGCTACAAGACCCTCGGGTTCAACACCCTCAGCGACTGGGACCACGTCACCTGTCTTGCTGGCTACAAGGGTTGGCACCCTGACGACCTCCTCGCTAAGCTCCACATGTGGCAGAGGGGCGACATCACCCCGGTCGACCCCGCTGGCGATGGCTCGTTGGAGACGTCCCTGTCGCATATCAAGGCGCGCGTCCTGCTGCTGCCGTCCCGTACGGACCAGTACTTCCGCTGGGAAGCGAGCGAGAAGGAGTCGAAGAGTATCCCGAATGTCATGTTCAAGGTCATTCCCTCCATCTGGGGTCACCTGGCTGGACTCGGAATCAACCCAACAGATTCGGAGTTTATCGATGGGGCCATTAGTGAGTTCTTGTCAGCCTCCTAATAAGGGGGAAAGGGAGGAGAGGGAGGGGAGGATTCATGATCGTCATAGAAAGCATTGGGCTGTATTCATCGCAGTCATCTAGCTAGTAGAGATCATCTTCTGACCTTTATTAAACAAAGCTGCTGCCATGATGACTGTGTCATCACACCAACGTTGCCCAACAAGCTGCATACCAATCGGGAGTCGGGCATTAGGGTGTCCGGGAGGGCTGCTGAATCCACAAGGAACATTCATAGCCGGATGACCCGTAACATTGAATGGGCAGGTATTGCTTGTCACACCCACCGCGGCTTCGAGTCTCTTCATGATAGGGACCGGCTCGCCCTCACCGTCTACCCGCTGAGAGTTGGGCATGGCGATAGTGGGAGCGCATGGAGTGACGAGGACGTCGACATCCTTGAGAGCCTCGTCGTAAGCCGCACGCAGCTCAAAAACCTTGCGATGAGCCTTGGCTTCCAGTCCCGGCGGCGCAAACTTTTGGGCGAACTGCTCACTGAAAATGATGTTGGCCAGTGCGGGATTCGTCTCCGTGAGAGACTTGTACACTTCCTGCGACGGCGGCCACCGAGCCTCCAGGTGAGCCGGCACATATGACAGGTGCCCATCCGGCTTCCCCTGACACAGCCAACGGGACATGGACGGACGAGTAGCTGCCGTCCAGACGATGGGACCCTCGCGGTGCATGGGGACCGAGACATTGACTACTTCGGCCCCGGCAGCTTTGAAGGCCTCCGTTGCTGCCCTGCGAACCGTGGCGGCCACTTCATCGGAAACTCCGGCCACGCTGAAGGACTCTGTGAGGATTCCGACCCTCCAAGGCCGGTCTATATACGCATCGGAGACGAGCTGACTTTCAAAATCTTGGAGAATCTGCCTGTAGGGCTTGACCTGGCCGAGCAGGGGAGACTCGGGCGTCATCCGGGAGTCGATACCGTCGTATCCAGCCATAACCTCGAGAAGGGCCGCTACACCCCCCAGATCAGACGCAATAGGCCCGAGGTGGTCTATCATAGGGCTCATTGACGCCGCACCGGTATAAGGAACAAGGCCGAATGTCGGTTTGAGCCCGTAGACGCCGCAGTACGAGGCTGGGATCCGTACCGACCCGGCCTGATCACTCCCGATGGCCAGCTCAGCCGTATCGCCCCTTCCTGCCCCGGAAGGAGGCATGGAATGAGCGGCTACCAGGGTGCAGGAACCGCTACTGCTCCCACCAGAGGTGTACCCGTGGAGATGAGGGTTATGCACCGGCCCAGAGGCAGAGGTGAACGAGAGGGGCGATGCGCAGAAGCACTCACACGTCGAGGTTCCCTTTACGATACCCCCGGCGGCCAGAAGGCGGGACACAACAGTGGCATCGATTTGCGATATGGGGTAGGCAGATTTCTCCGACACCAACTCGGGAGGCGCACCGAGCGTGATGGGTAAGCCCCCAACGGAGATGTTGTCCTTGATGGCCAGGGTGCGTCCGGCTAGAATACCGCTGGTGGCATTCTGCGAGCGGAGGTCACACCTGTGGCTCCACGCGTTGAACGGATTGTCGCCTTCTGCCTCTGGCTTCCAGAAATGGCGACTGCCGTTTGTCACTGGCTGGGGAGTCAGCGCCGGGTGGGCGTAATCTGTGCCGTCACCGATGTGCTTCAGCACGCCCTCAAAGGACCAGAGGAGACGGACGTAGGCGTCAGAGTCTCCATCGTCAGACACGTGGATATTCAGCTCTGCTGCAAGACGCTTGAAGTTTTCAAAGTTGAAATCGGACCTGGTGTCACTTTCATGTTAGCGTCTAGTGCTTATGGTTTCGATGTGGCTGGGTGGTTTGTACGGTGATCCGCCGGATAGCGATATGATGGACATCACTGGAACTACGGATGAGTAGGTTTTTCATTCGAATTCGGCCTCTTTTTTACTTTCTTTTTTATGGGCAGAGTGAAGGAAGGATGAAAGGTATTTAAGAAGAGGGGGAGATATGCATGCTTTCAAATTGGGTGATGTCGGAACGGCCGACGTGTAATATAAGGACGCCAATAACGGAGTTGCATTTGGATCACAAACTCCCTCAGAGCATTAGCGACAAGGTCTATCGGATTCGCAAGCTGCAATGTCTCCCATTTTGACCATGATAGGTCCATCTTGAAGTTCAAGGTAGCATCAGAGCCGAGGAAGGAGGACTGCTGCCGAGCTATCTGAATTGATTACTCCTGTCCATTGGCAACAAGAACACGACCACCATCAACGCAGAGGGAAATCCCGTCCACATAGGCCTGTGCAGCCCATCCGTGTTAGAATGTATGTAGCATAGGCAATACAAAGCGGGATAATACAGGTCGGATTGGTACTTACACCGGCTCGACTGGCAAGATACAAGACTGTGCCAGCAATGTCTTCATCCCTGCCCGCCCTCTTAGCGGGGACCTTGTCGAACAATGCACTGAACATGTTTCCTTCTTGTCCCACCGGGTTCATGTTGCTCGGGACGACTTATTCGACTCCGTCAGTAAGATGCCTTAAAAACTACTTGCCTTCCCAGTTGGGAAGACTTACATCCAGGATTGATGCCCGCCACGCGCACGTAAAAGTTGCGAAACTTGGCGGCGAGCAGCTTTACAAGGTGATCTGTGGCAGCCTTGCTGCTAGCATAACTCGTCAAGTCGACGTTCGTGACATTGTGCATGCTGGCACAGGAGCTGGTGATGACGATCGCGCCGCGGCCCTCGTTTCTCCCCGATACCCCGCCACCGACATCGCGCTCCGACGCCGCTGCCAGGAGGGGCAGCATGGCCACCGAGAGGAAGTAGTGCGCCGTCGTGTTGACGCAGAACGTGTCGGCCCAGTCAGAGTGGCGCGATGACCACATAGATGCCTGGAGATCCTTCAGCGAGGCCGAAAGAACGTCACACGGTACCGGAGGGTCTCGCCTTATGCCAGCATTGGACACCAGTAGGTCGATGTGGCTCTCGCGGCCGCCGACGTACTCTGCCAGTCTGGCAATCGCATCCTTGTCCATGACATTGCAGGGATATCTACAGAACGGACGAGTATTATAGAGTGAAACCAAGAAGTGAGTCCCAAGAGTGGGCGTGGCAGCTTACCCATGTGCTGTACCGCCGCTCGATTTACCGATCTCATTCAGCTCTTCCACTCTCATCTCTATCGGCTCTGTCGGTAGAGCAACGAGATAGACCTTGGCACCATTTTCCACGAGACCCTGGAGGAGAGGTTGGGTTAGAACGAATTGTTGAGGAGCCCCGAGAAGGACCAGGATCAACTTACCTTGCTTATCATGAAACCCAACCCGCTGCTCCCACCCGTCACTACCGTCACGTAGTCTCTTACACCAAATAGTCTGTCGATGTTGAGAGACATGTTGTATGCAGGTAGGTATATAAGTTCAGTGAAATCCGTTATTATCATCAAAATCTTGAAAAGGTATCCACTGCGTATAAAGATGGAAACGAGCTCACATCTACTGAACTTCTCTTCCAACAATGGGATTTGTGATTAAATGGCAGAATTCCCAGGGATAACAGCACCATCGGACAGGACCGACAGGCTCAACATTGGCGTCGGACAGACCGTATGCAAGTATCGAGCCGACGGACCAGTCGGTGATATGCACTTATTAGAGAATTATTCTATTATCTAGCACATTATCCTTGATGATTGATTGTGAGTGATGTGGATATCATTGAATCCGTTGCTGCCAGCATCCGCGTCGAGCCATCGTCAGTCGGTATGATACAGCCATCAGCTTCAACATGGCACTTACTTGAAAGCCGGTAAGGTCGCTTTGCGGTCAGCAGCTGATGTGTTTCTATAATCCTCTTGGAGAGCCTGACGACATTTATCCGACTTTCCGATCCGATGGTGGCATACCTATGCGCGGGAACTTGAGACACAAATCTTCTACGGCATAAATACACGAGAGGTAGAGTCCTCTCGGAGACTTTATGCGGCAGACACGTCTGCTATCCCTGATAACCAAGCTACATGCAGCTCATCATCGTCATCATATCCGGGCAGACATTCGTTCAACATGTCTGATTGCATATCTCTCGTGCTTCCCTGCCACTTACACGTGTGACATCGCAAGGACCGCAATTCCATTCATTATCAAATCATAACCTCACTCCCTAAATGCAAGTCTTTCATCTGTACAGCATATGCATCGATGCAGCATAAACCAGCCTCTCACTCTTTGTAGTGCTCCTTGGTCCTCTGCTCAGCCGCGCTCAGACACTCGCTCAGGGCCGCCGGGTCTCGGGGAATGAGCTTGACCTTGAACTCCCTGGGAATGGCCACCAGCGCCGTCTTGAACTGATTGTAGTCGACGTAGTCGGTGTTGGGAGGGTGCGATTCGCTCGCAATGATCTTGTATGACGAGAGGATTCTGATGAGGGAAGAGTACAGAAGGCGCGATGCGATGTACTGGCCGGAGCAGGCGCGGGACCCGGTGCCGAAGCTGAGATGGCCGAGTCCACTGCCCTCCTGCTCGACGGGGGGGTCGATGCTCTTGAGCCATCTCTCCGGCCTGAACTTTCCGCCGTCGGGGCCGAAGTGGTCGACGTCTGGAACATGTTCAGTCAGCTTCAGTGCGGGTGGGAACCTCAAGATGGAGGGTTGGCGACTAGACCTACCGTGGTTGCCAGCCTGGGCGTTGATGAGGATCATGGTCTTGGGGGGGATTATGGCGCCGTTCCAGTTGACCTCGGTGACCGTCTTCCTCGGCAGGCTCATGGCGCTGACGGTGTAGTAGCGGCCCGCTTCCTTGACGATGGCGTTGACGTACGGGACCTTCTCTTCGACGTACGAGGCATCCCAGGCGTCCGACATGTCGGGATAGTGGCGCTTGATGTCCTCGTAGGCGCGGTCTTGCCACACCTGTCCCTCCTCTGTACAGAGAGAGCCGATGCAGGAGGTCAGAGTTCCGGGGATGGTCTCGAAGCCACCCGAGACCAGAGAGAGACAGATCGACGACACTTCGACGCCGCTGAGCTTGCTCTCCTCGTCCTTGAGGATGGCCGCCGAGATGCACGGCTTGTCGACGCCCCTCCTGATCATGTCGCGCACCTTGTCGAGGAGGAGGTTGAGGTAGGCGTCGCGACGCTCGCGGAGCTCCTTGGACCGAGCGTTCTTCTCGTTGTTGGGGAAATAGCGAAGAATGGGCACGTAGTCCTGCAGATTCTCAGACGCACTGCGGAGCAGGGAGATGGCCGAGCCGACGTGCAGGATCTCACGGAGGAGCTCGTCGTAGACCTCGTCCATGCGGATACCGTAACAGAGAGTCAAGGTCGTGTTGAGGGCATACCGCTGGATGTACGGGCGGACGTCGACCTCGATCTCGCCATCCTTGCTGTCCTTGTGCATGTCGCGCAGGATGCAGTAGCTCTCCAGGTCAAACATGGGGTAGTAGTTCTTGAGGGCGGGGCGACCGAGAGCAGTGCCGGCAGCCTTGCGCTTCTTCTTACAGGACTCGTCCCAGGGAGAGGAGCCGATCGTGAAGCCCTGTGTGCTGCTGATGACGCCGTGGAATGTGTAGAGCTTGGGACGGTCGATGACTGCGTTCTGGTGGCCTAGGAGCATCTTCTTGCAGTCGTCGAATGAGTTGACGACCACAGCCCGGGTGTTTCCCAGCTTGATCTGGAAGACGGAATGGTTGTACCGGCGCCACCATTTCTCACACGTGGTAGCATGATCCTCGCCAAGCTTCAGCAGGTGGCCAAATACCGGGACAGCTCCCGGGATTTCAGGCAGTCCCGATATGTAAGGGATATCAGTTGCGTAGGCGACCTGTGCCAGTGTCCACGGTCAGGCATGGCAGGATCGATGACGAGATCATTGTGAGGCTCTACTTACATTGTATATGAAATAGGCCAAGAGGACAAGAGAGGCTATGCCGACGATGGGCTTGAAATTGTCGTGTTGGCCCAGTTGGGCCGCTCGGTGGGTTAGCAGTCCGATAAACTCTTCGGCCTTGACGTCCATGGTGAAAGACTTGATGCGTTTGAACTTGACAGAAAGGTTGTGAGACGCCAAGGTGGACGAAGGATCTGGGTCTAGGTGTATATAATTCTGACTATCCCTTCGAGATGATGCTTGTCACATTTTGTGATCCAATGACCGAGAGGTCGTAGCAATAGCACCCAAGACAGTGGCGATCGGTACGTCCGACAGGGTTGCGGGGAACGTCAACACAGTCGACAGTCGATGTATCGATACCAGCGCCTGATAGCGAAGCTTTCGGGGATGCCGGAATATTCGGGCTCGCCATGTTAGAAGGGATGGCGGAGCTGACATGTATTGGCCGTCGGCCCTCCCGCCCGCTGATACTGGCGCCGCTTCATCCACGTGGGTACAGGCGCGAAGGTCGGGAGGTGCAGAGTCTGGGCAATAGTGAAATAACATGTATAAATCACGACTGGAGAGATCTCCTCTGTGTAGAGGGGTAAAAGTGGTTGAAGCCAAGGATACCCCATTAACCTAAACTCCTGCACAGCCCCCCCAGTCAAGATGGCCCCCTCAGCTACCGCTCCCATGGACGTTGCGTCGATTTCAGCCCCCGAGAAGGCGGTCGATGCCATGGCGGCGATGGCACACCAGGGAAAGAGACTTCAGGGAATCCCCAAGTTCTCTTCGCACGCCGAGAGGAGGCAGTGGCAGCTAGAGCACATGGCCGGAGCCTTCCGTGTCTTTTCGCGCGAGGGCTACACAGAGGGCATATCGGGACACATCAGCGTGCGCGACCCCGAGTTTGAGGACCGGTTCTGGATCAACCCCCTGGGTGTGCACTTCGGGCTCCTCAAGGCGAGCGACATGATCTGCGTCAACCTCGGGGGCGAGGTCGTGGGCGGCAACACCGAGGGCTCCATCAACGCCGCGGGCTTCCAGATCCACAGCGCGGTGCACAGGTCTCGCAACGACGTCCACGCCATATGCCACACGCACTCGGTCCACGGCCGCGCGTGGTCGGCCTTCGCAAAGCCCCTCGAGATGATCAACCAGGACGTCTGCTACTTCTACAAGGCCCACTCGGTGTACTCGAGCTACGGCGGCATCGCCAACGGGTCGGACGAGGGGGAGAGAATTGCGCGGAGCCTGGGCGACGGAAAGGCTGTCATACTCAAGAACCACGGCCTCCTCACCGTCGGGGAGACGGTCGATGAGGCCGCTTTCCTCTTCTGCCTCATGGAGCGCAGCTGCAAGGTCCAGCTGCTGGCTGACACGGCTGGGCATGAGAAGCACATTGTCAGTGACTCGGAGGCTGCCTACAACTTTGAAATGGCGAGTACGCCGGTGAGTCGCGATGCCGTCTGACCCGAGCAAGTTTCCAAATCCTGATCTTCAAATAGGAGACTCTGTATACCGAATTCCAGCCTCATTACCAATATGAAGAGGCCATGGCAAATATCAGCTTCAAGTCTTGAGGGTGTCGACGGGATATCTTCATGTGCGTGTACATGTGCATGTGCACGTGCATGCAGTGAACAGCTTGGAGAAGCTGGAAGATTCCACCTTCACCTCTCTTCCAATTGCCTCCGTGACTGTATATTCGCAGAGACAGCTCATCGCCAAGGTGATTGCGATCATCATATAGGCACACATGCGCCCAACTTAGACACCGTTCTGTCAACCATTGACGAAGCGCCCGATTAGGCTAAAAATGAGGCGTCAGCCCACAATAATTGTCCGATATATGAAAGAAAGCAAATACAAAAACTCTAGATATCAATTGCCATTTTGCCGCAATCTGAATCGTATAGCTCCAGATTGTACACGGTACAAGCGCCAGTGTTCCCGTCATAGCCGCTCGGTCAGAGGTGGCCGGAACGGAGCAAATCTTCAGTCGTTGACATCGCAACCGAATCGGATGTGCCTTATTAGTATCCGCCTGCGATTCTCTGGGCTGCTATCAGCGACTTGCGGGGTCGGTGCCGCGGCATGGCGGTGTCTGTGTCGGTCCTCCCGATCTCATGATAGCGGGATCCTGTTTCTCGTCGGACTAATGTCCACTGCACTGCCGCTATCTCTCGGACGAGTATTACGAGCAGACGGCGCGACCTGTGATTTGCAACGCTGGTGATTGTACCTTATCGTAAACGTAATACTACTATTGGGAGGATCTTATGTCTCCTATTAACATGCACCCTCAGCTTCTGTCTGATAATGCCCAGGATTGGATACGCAGCTATCATCGGTATCACAGAGTGCCCAGCTAGAGCGACGGCCCAGACCAGGGTGATCGGGTAACGCTAGCTTTGGAGCATCCTATGCATGGACATGCATTGCCTCTCGACTCTCCTGTAGCCTACATGTGCTATCATCTATTATAAATGTTTCGTCCTCTTCTTAGGCATCCTTAGATCCAGGTCACGACAATTTCAATTCGGGAACGTTTGTTGATTTCTTCCTGCATGCTGCCGGTGAAGCATTCGAATGTTAGACACCGAAGCGAACATGTCGGCAGCCAAGTATTTTGAAAAGGGCCCCCCGGAGCCATCTCTAGAGAATGGCTCCCCGGGAAGCATCAGCAACAACGACACTGTCCAGGGCGTTTCCGAAACGGCTGGCTCCCAGGCCCTGCACCGTCAGTTGCGCGGGAGGGAAGTTCAACTGTACGCCATTGGTGGCGCGATCGGCACCTGTATGTGTTGATATTCTCTGAAAGGGAGAGGACAGAGGGAGGGGATTGCAAGAGAGGGGGAGAGGAAAGGAAGCAAAGAAAGGACTGACATTGAATTGTGTAAGCTCTCTTCGTTCAGATGGGTGCCGCGCTCCCCAAGGGAGGACCGGCAGGTCTCTTCATCGCCTTCCTCATCTGGGGCGGCATCATGTGGGCCGTCAACGAGTGCTTCGCCGAGATGGTGTCGTATCTCCCTGTGCCGTCCCCCTTTATCCGATTCGGCAGCGACTTCGTCGACGGCGCGCTCGGCTTCTCCATGGCCTGGAACTTCTTCCTCAACATGGCCTTCCTCGTACCCTTTGAGATTGTCGCCATGAACATCATGATCACCTTTTGGACCGACGAGGTGCCCGTCGAGGCCGTCATCGTCATCATGATTGTTCTGTACGCGGGTCTCAACTTCGCCACTGTCCGCTACTTCGGCATCGCGGAGTTCTACCTGTCCATCTTCAAGGCCGTGCTCATGATAGGTCTCTTCTTCTTCACATTCATCACCATGGTCGGCGGGAACCCGCTGCACGACGTCTACGGCTTCCGCTACTGGAAGGAACCCGGCGCTTTCAACTCGTACCTCGAGCCGGGAGGCGTCGGTAAATTCTGCGGCGTCCTGTCCTGCCTATATCAGGCCAGCTTCTCGTATGCTTCCTCGTCCTTTCCCCCCTGTCTGCTTCCGCTCTTGATGATGACGAGAAGGAAGAAGGGAGAGAAGAGCAGGAGAGAGAGATGATGGGAAGGGTATACTAACATTGTCACTGCTGCAGTATAACTGGTCCCGAGTATTTGGCCATGCCTGCGGCCGAGACCAAGAACCCTCGCAAGGTCCTGCCTCCGGCCTTCCGCTCGTTCGTCTGGCGTATACTCGTCTTCTTTGTCGGCTCGGCTCTGTGCATGGGAATCGTCATTCCATCCGACGACGAGACCCTCATGGGCATCCTCGACGGCGACATCTCCGGTAGCGGCACCGGTGCAGCGTCGTAAGTCTCACAGGAAAGCCCGCCCACCGACACTATCGGCATCTACTAATTGGCATGTCATCACGCAGGCCCTATGTGATCGCCATGAAGCGTCTCGAGATCCCCGTTCTGCCCCACATCGTCAACGCCCTCATCATGACCTCCATCTTCAGTGCCGGCAACGGAATCCTGTTCTCGGCCACTCGAACCCTGCACGGCATGTCGCTCGAGGGCCACGCGCCCGGCGTCTTCTCCCGCTGCACCAAGAACGGGGTACCGATATGGGCGCTGGCCTTCTCTCTGTGCTTCTGCCTTCTCGCCTTCCTGCAGGTGAAGAGCTCGTCGGCCGTGGTCCTGACGTACCTCATCGACCTCGTGACCGCCTGCCAGATGCTCAACTACGGCTTCACCGCCTTCACCTACCGGCACTTCTACTCCTCCCTCAAGGCCCAGGGAATCAGCCGCGACAGCCTGCCTTACAAGGGCAGGTTCCAGCCGTACACCAGCTACGTCGCCATGGGAGGCACGCTGTTCATGCTCCTTGCGGGCGGATACACCATCTTCCTCGATGGGAACTGGAGCGTCCAGGACTTTTTCCTCACCTACACCATGATTGGCTTCTTCGTCGTGGCGTTTGTCGGGTGGAAGGTCATCTTCAAGACCGAATACGTCCGTCCCGGGACAGCAGACCTGAGCCTCGGCGGGATGAGGGAGGAGATTGATGCGTACGAGGCCATGCTTGTGCCCGAGCAGAGTGGTCGTGTAGGGAGGGTCTTGCGGAAGATCTTCCACTAGTGTGGTTCTTTCTCCTGTTCAATCGTAGCCTTCAATCTTCTCTTTCTTCTGCTTCTGATAGTATCATGCGCTCGTCTACAGGTCATCACTACAATAGGCTTGGTGGTTGTAGATATTCCACAAAAACAAAAACAAAAAAAAAGGGCAACATGTAGAAGTACATGACCCGTCGTTTCCAAGCTCAGATCCTGAAGCGGGAACGGCCCTCGCAACAAGCCTCAAGAGGTCTGAACTGTGCGCTGATGGTTCTCTGGCAGGAAAGGATCAACCTTTTCACTGCACCACTTCCAAAAATCATGGGCTATGCCTGATCCGCCCTGCTCCTTGGACTTTGCTGCGTCCGTCATGTCCTTGGAGATGCGGTCTGACCAGAATCGACCCCAAGGAGCGACTGAGTCGTCAGACGAAAGATTTTATCAGCACATTGAGAATTGATTTTTCCCCCCCTCCTTTCTTCGCAAGGGTCCGGTCCGGTCCGGGTTATAGGGGAGGTGAGGGACTTACCGTGTGAACCTGACTTTTCGAGGGTAACATCAGGCGAGCACGCGCAGAAGAGCTCGGTATAGGCACCGTAGACGGAAGGGTAGAAGAAGGTAGAGCGGAGGAAGGCGTAGAGCAGACGGGGGAGGTCCCGCCACAGATCCGAGTCGAGGTTGCCAGGGTTGGCGGACAGCGACACGATGCCGGCATCCCTGTACATGGCGGCGAACTCCACGGCGTGGAGGTAGTTGCCCACCTTGCTGCAGAAGTACTGGCGGCTGATGTAGAGGTCCTTGATGCGGTCCAGGGAGCTCATCAGAGCCTGCGGGGAGAGGCCCTCGGCCGCGGACGACGAGACCCACACGACGCGGACGCTGTCCCTGGGCGCCGTCCTGGCCGTCTCGCACAGGACGGGGGTGAGCAGGCGCACGAGGGCGAAGTGGCCGATGGCGTTGACGCCGAACTGCAGCTCGAAGCCTTGCTTGGTCTCCTGCGCCCTGTCGAGGAACCCCACGCCGGCGTTGTTGATCAGCACGTCCAGGCGCGTCTCCCTGGCCAGGAAGGCCTCGGCCGTGGCCGAGATGGTCGTCAGGTCGGCCAGGTCGAGGTAGATGAAGTCTATGAGGCCCGTCGATGAGGGGTAGGCCTCCCTGATCTCCTCGATGGCTGAGCGCGACTTGTCGGCCGACCGCCCGGCCACGTAGACGCGCGCATTCTTGGAGTATAGGATCCGCGCCGTCTCCTTGCCTACTCCCGTGTTGCCGCCCGTCACGATGTAGACCTGGATTTGCCACCGGTCAGGGGGAGTGGTCTCTCTCAACGTATACCTCTGCTCAACGACGGAATCCTGGGGCATCTTGTGTTACCTTGCCGGATAGGTCCGCGATATTCTTTTCCGTGTATGCCGGCGTTCCCGGGAACAGCTGGGGCAAGATGCTCCACAATGTCTTCCTCATTCTGTGCAGTTGTGAATTGATCAGCTGCTTATTTTCTGATATTTGGGTCAAGTCAAACGCGATAGCAGTGGGATGATTCGACGAATGCGTCAGCTACAATTGAAAAAGATGAAATTGCTCAAGAAAAAGGAACGACTGGTAGAGCTGGACGGTGTAGGGAGGGAGGTGAGGGGGGGGGAGGGGGGAGGTTCCCGGAGGCGCGTGCGATCATCAAACCCCGTTGTTTACTGCGCCTCAGATCGAGTGGAGCCAACCTGGAACCGAATTCCGTAACGGATTTCGATTTCGATGCCAACCCCATGTCGGCCAGGATACGGTCACAGCATAGGCACATAAACAATGATTTCATGCTATATGTAAAAGGTAAAGAGATCAGGTGGATGGTGATATCGTCTTGTCTGTTGCCAGTCACCCCAGATCCACCAATACCTTCTCCCAACACAACCACATTTCCCCTTTATTCCTCTAGACAGTCAATAGCAGACACGGACGACATCGCTACCAAGCAGCTTTAGCAAGCCAAGACCCCGGAAACTTGGCGACCAAAAACTTCCTCGCCTCATCCAGCACGATGAGAAATATTCCAAAAGCAAACGGGAGAAACCAATGCTCGACCGGAACAGGGGTTGTGCCCAGTATAGGGTAAAGCTGGGGGATATATAGCCACATGATGGCCATGGCCAGGGCAAACAAGATGGCCGGGAAGAGGTACCAGTTCTGGGTGCGGCGGTTGAACAGTGGGGGGTGCTGGAAGATGCTGAGGCGCCTGGTCCTGGTGGTCATGAGGTTGAACCACTGCATGACGACGAGGTTGACAAAGTAGATGGACGACGCCTCGCTGAGCTTGCGCGTGTAGTACTCCTCGTCGATGCCGGGGGGGATCTCGCCGAAGCCGAACCACAGCTCCTTGAAGGGGATGCCCTTGCGCTGCAGGTACCAGTATGACATGGCGAACGATGCCAAGGTCTGGATGATGCCGATCAGCCCGTACGAGTGCAGGATGAGCTGCCAGTTGACGAGGCGGTCCTTCTCGACGTTGCGGGGAGGGCGCAGAAGAACGTCGGCCTCCGGCTTCTCGTACGAGAGCATCGTGGCGGCTATGCAGTCGGTGAAGCAGCTATGCAGATTTGAAAGTTTTTCGGAGAAGACAAAGTCAGCAGAGTCTATGTGTCATGTGCATTTCCCTTCCGTACGTACCAGATGATAATCATCAGGAAGGACGACAGAATCTGCGGAAGACCAAAGAGAATGTTGGTCATGATGGGCCAGAACTCGGAGAAGCTACCGGCAGGTAAGAGGTAGCAGATGACCTTCTTGAGGTTATCAAACACAACTCTGCCGTACTGGACGGCCGAGAGAAAGGACGAGAAGGAGTCCAGGAGGATCATGTCGGCCGCCTCTATGGCGATGTCGGATCCGCTGCCGAGGGCGACGCCGACGTCGGCCGCCTTGAGCGACGGGGCATCATTGACGCCGTCGCCAGTCATGGCAACGACGTTCTCATTCTGAAACTCCCTGACGATGCGCAGTTTCTGCTCCGGCGTGGTGCGCGCAAACACAACCTCTCGGTACCGCGTCAGCGTCGACCATTGGTACTCCGTGAGCGAGATGAGGTCCGGGCCGCTGAGGACGATAGCCCCGGGGTGGCGTATGATCTGTGGCGCGGCCGCTGTCGACTTGAGGTCCTCGTCGTCGGGCGTCCGTCTCAGGTCGCTCGGCCCGTCCACTGTTTCCGAGGTGACGATGCCGGCATCGCGGGCAATGGCGAGCGCGGTAAGGGCAAAGTCACCGGTGACCTAGGCAAGGACAAGCTTGTCAGGATTTATCAAGCAGTTCAATGGACGGGATGATGAGGAGGAAGAAAAGGAAAGGAGGGCATGTATGTACTTACCATAGCCACGCGGATTCCGGCGCCGCGAAGAGTCCTCACGACGTCAGGGATCTCAGGCCGAAGAGGGTCCACGATGGCAACGAGGCCGACAAGAACAAGACCGGACCTGGAGTGCTCCAGGATGGAAGCCTCCTGCTCGGTGGTCCTGGGTTCGCCGCAGACCTGGTCCAGGGGGACGACCTTGCGTGCGAGCAGGAGACACCTCTTTCCCTGAGACGAGTACCGGTTCTTGAGGTAGTCGATGCGCATCTTGATGCTCTTGTCGATAGGCGCCATGTCACCCGTGGCAGTCACGTACTGCGTGCACCTGTCGACGATGACATCGGGGGCACCTTTGATGGTCAATAGCCTTTTTTTTTGTCGCCCAAAGTCAGTCCATACGTTCATATTTTGACACGATCAAAGAAGAGGAAGAATATGGAGAAGAAGAAAGAGGTAGCTCACATGTCCTTGTCGCCAAAGGTACCGGCTTCGAGCCGGGAGAGAGTCTGCGGGAGGCACTCTGTCTTCGCAATAGAGAAGCACCGAATCATAAACTTATTCTTACTGTTGAAGCCGAGCTCAAAGGTCATACTCCAGCAAGCACGGAGGTATGCCACGCCCCCGGACTCGACGGCCTCGGCAAAGCGCAGAATGGCCTGGTCGGTAGCGTCTCCAAAGATCCTTCTCTCGGTCAGGGGCAGGCTGGAGGTGGCGGCGTCCATCTCACCGGCGTTGCAGAGGGCTGACATGGCGCGTAGCTGACGCAGGGAACTGCCGCTCTCACGAGGAGCAGAGGCGGCATCGTCCACCGACATGCTGTTCAGTCCGACGACAGCCTCTGTAACTGTCATTGTTCCCTAGAACCGAAAAACAAAACAAAAAATCAGGTTTTGTCTTCCGAGAAAATGGGTGACGATTTCAAAAACGGAAGAAGAGAGGAAGAAGAAAAGAATACATACCTCTGTCAGAGTCCCTGTCTTGTCCGAACACACGACCGAGACGGATCCTAGCGTCTCGACCGTCTTGAGAGACTTGCACAGAATCTTCTCCTTGCGCATCAGGTTGGCCGTTATGGTCAGACCGGCCGTCAAGGCGACGGGGAGACCCTCTGGCATGAAGGCGACAGTGACGCTGACCAGGCTGACGATGAGAGTGGGCACGTTGATGAAGTCCGGGTGGTCCTTGTGAAGCCACGCGCCCCTATAATGCCATAGAGGAGGTTAGGATGGAGCGAAAGGGAGGATATAGACGAGCAGGAAGGAGACATATTCTCACCACACGGTCACGGCAATGGCAGCCATGGTAAACATGACGCAGCAGATGAAGATGACAAAGTACATGAGCTCCCTCTCGAGGGTGGTCATCTTCGTCTCGGGCTCGCTGGTCAGCTTAGCGATGCGTCCGAAGACGGTCCTGTCGCCGGTGGCAACGACGATGCCCATGCAGGATCCCACGGTGCAGTGCGTCCCCTGCAGGCCTATGTTGAAGGTCTCGAGATAGTTTGTGTCGGTGTGGTCGACGGTGGCCGGCACGGGACGCGACTCGCCCGTCAGCACGGAGCGGTCGAACTTGGCGTCGGACGAGACCTGGACGAAGCGCATGTCGGCAGGCAGCTTGTCGCCGGACTTGGCCCTGACCAGGTCTCCCGGGACGATCTCGGAGGCGGGAGGGCGGACGACGACGCCCTCACGAATCACCTCGCACTCCTCGGGGAGCATGTGCTTGATGGATGACATGACGCGCGTGGTGGACCAGTCCTGAAACATGTTGAACAGGGCTTGTATGACGAAGACGGCCAGAAGGACAATGGCCAGTGCCTTGCGCATGCAGTCTGTCAGCTGAGGGGTTTGACGTGACGCGGTGCGATGCGGTCAGTTAAGGGGGGGTTGGGGGGGAGAGGTGGCTCACCAGGTTGGCCACGGCTGGCGGATCGCCAAGAGGCTTCCACGAGATGAAGACGAGGATGCTGGCTACTAGGAGGACGGATCCGAATCCCTTGAAGAAGTAGCCCATTACCGTGCTGAACCAGCGCGTCTGGGCGGGAGATGGAGCGTTCCTGCCGTATTCCGCCTGGCGCTTCTTGATCTGTTCCGTCTCGAGACCGGCTGTTGGCGAGGTGCGAAGGCGTTGGGCTACTTGGTCTGCCCCGATGGTATGCCACTCGAGGTCCGTGAGGTCTGTCGTATGTTCCCGTCATCAGTCTTCATCCACAGATAGAGGTATGTGCGAGAGGGCTCGCGAGTTGCGTGCACGTTACCTTTGGCTGCATCGACCTTGGCCTTTTGAGCCTCTGCTCGATCCTTGCCCTTGGACTCTTCTATCTGGAAGGAGCTGAACTATCTTGTCAATACCTGTCGTTCCCGAGATGTCCTCGTCTCGCCTGCTCTACACCGTCAATGCAACTCACACGGTGCGGTACTGGATGGGAAGGGCGAGAGCAGCATCGCGCGAGTGAGCCCTCGTCCTCACACTGTTGATCGAGTCGGACGAGATGGCACGCCCTGGCCTCTCGCGCGATGTCCTCCTTGGACGTCCGCGTTCCTCGTCGTCCTGGAAGCGGATGCGCTCTATGAGCACCTCCTTGTCGGCGGTAGGGTTCATTCCGAGGTTGCCCGAAGGGGTCTCTCCCGCCAAATCCGTGATTATTTAACAGGACAGAGAAAACAAGGAGATAAGATAGAGGTGGTAGTGCTGGATGGTATGCATGCTCCTGATACTGCTGATTATGTGGGTGAGGCCCAGGTATTTATACGAGAACAGAACAGAACAAAAAGCTCTTTTCTTCTTCTTCTTCTTCTCCTTCTTCTGCTGCGACGTTCCCGTCATGTGCAATAAGGGTCGGTGAGATCGACGGGCTCCCTCCTAGGCTGTGCCTCCCTTCCTAATCCTCCGGTGCGATGGATGATGTATGGACTCTTCTCGACCACGACTCTACCCTGACGAGCGCGTGTAAGCGGAAGAGGAAAGGCATGGCAAGGCTAAGATGAACGTTCCGGGACTAGCAGACTAGCTCAAGGGATTTCAAATGTTACGCCCGCCCTACCCCTGCCATGGATCGCGGGAACGAGAGATGTTACGTCGTGAGCAGTGAAATCATTGTCACCTTGCTGCTGTCCGGTCCTCTCCCCTCTCCACCCACTTACACGGTTGTGGGCAGAGACGGAGGGAAGGGGTTCACCGCGTACCCGCAACTCACGGCATGGGACGACGACGAAAGGGACCAACAACGGTCAGCAGAGAGAGACTGGGACGGAAAATTAAAGATCAAACATTAAAAAGGAAGAGAAAAAATCACTCGTCCGATAGACCGTAATATTGGTTGGGCATATTTCGTATTGAATCATGATGGTGTCTGCAAATCTCTTCTCCTCCTTCAAGGCATGACACTCGACCAATGTATCCGGCATGTATCGAATCCATGCAAGGCCTATGAGCGATATATATGCCGGCGACTTGAATCCCCTTGCCGTTTACGGTAGGCCGTCCAGGATATGAGTGGAGGAGAGCCAACGAAGGATCCTTGCAAGCCCTTGGAGAGCCCTAGAAAACCCTTTCGGGGCTAAGGTCTTGCCAAATGCCGTTTAGCTAGGACATAGAGGCCGCCCATTCTTCCTCCTATGTAATCATATCTAATACGTACCTGGCAAGGTGACGGACGGCCCACGCAGTCATATACAGATAGAGAGAGGGGGACTACTGCATGGAGGAGTACGGACTGTGACTATGCACAGCCGAGGGAGGACAGGCGCATCCCTCTCTCTTGTTGATTATTTTCAATGCCGGTTAGTCCATCATCGTATACCTGACTACCCTTTACGCTGGATCATAGCCATCTCCAGACTGTATATGATACATGCACTCGTAGCAAAACGATACCATCCCGATTCGGTAATTTTTGGGAATGACGACAGCTTCACATAAATAAGATGGACCAGGCCAGAGCCAAAGGAGGCCTCCCTCACCCTTCTCCGGCTGTTTCTCCCGTCCCCTCCGTCCCCCTCTCGCTTTGCAACACTCTGCTCTTCTCCTTCTCCTCTTCTTTTGTTTGCTGCTCACACCCCTTCCAATTCTTCCCATCTTCGCTTTTCCTTCTATCCTCTCATTCTTCACATCTCCTCATTCGCTAGGGTTTCTCGGAGTCTCATTCCATGTACTCTGTACGTGCCATGTGAGAGCCGGTGCGCATGAGTACGTGGGCTTCATTCCAGTCCGTTCATTCATCTCGTAGTATCTACACACAACCCATCTCAAGCTCAGAGACTTCCTATACTTGTAATCATGCAGAAGGCAATGAAGACAGGAAGAAAAAGTAAGAGAGACCGGAGTAATTGTGAGGGTGTCTCTCGATACCTGGTCATAGCACCACCGTATGTCCCCCCACATTGACACCATCCACCAGAACTGCAGCACCAGCTCCTTTCCCGTCATCCACACGCAGCTTCATCGTCTCCCCAGGCCACAATGTCACATAATTGTCCGACCAGATGACGGGGGTGACATCACCCCCATCGGCATCGACGAGGTTTAGACGGATGAAGAAGGCCGGCACCGTCGACGTGTTCTCCAGCGTCACAGTGTACGAAGCACCGTCGCGCTCGGTCGCGTCCTTGGTAGTCGACGTTCTCGCTGCCAGAGTATTCACGTGCGCCTCGTCCATGCTAAACAGAGACGTCAGGTCCGCGTACCCGTCCACTGGCGTGTGGTACCATGTCGACGCAGTCCAGTTGAGGCGGTCGACCGTCGGCGGGATCCAGTAGACGTTGCGGCTGACGACCTCGTCCTCTCCATCTCCTGAATCGCAGAGGACAAGGCGCAGGAACACCGCGTCGGCGGTGCTGGTGTTCTGCAGCCCCGGCACCGCGCCCACCCTCGACGACTTGTTGGGCTTCGTCTCGACCTCAAACTTGTCGCCCGCGACTCTCCTTCCTCCAAGGTCGACGACCTCGGCTTCGATAACTCGCCTGCCACTTCTGCTCAGCGACCGGTTGATAACCCACACGTCCCTGTCTACGTAGTTGTACGCTACGTGCTCGGCACGCGCCCCGGTCTTGCTACCAAAGTAGCTGCCGCCAGGATGGAGATACTTGTCAAACTGGCTCCAGTGCAGGCTAGGCCACGCAGAGTTCAGCATCCAGTACACCAGGCCGGTGGCGACGCGTCCGGTGCTCCATCGTGAGGCAAACGCCTCGTGCTCGGCGCGCGTGGCTTCGTAGTCCATCATCTGTGCCTTGCGCAGATAGTCCTCCAGGGACGTCGGTTTTCCGTAGCGCCGATACAAGCCCTCGTTGTAGATGTTGCGGTTGTAAAACTGCGAGACATTGGTTGACATGTGGTACAGTCTCTTCTCGGGTCGTTTCCACAGGTCGTCCATGTCCCCCTTTGTCAGGAACTTGCGCAGGCTACCGATCTCGGGCGTGCCCACGCCAGCTCCCAACTCGGACCCGAAGCCGAATGCGGCGCCGTACCGGTCCTCTGATGGCTCCGTCTCGTACCAGTAGTTGGGCGGCACCCAGTCGTACGGCCCTTCCATCTTCATCCCTGACGGGCCGAGGCGCTCAGGGTATCCGCGCTTGCTGGCAGACGCGACGATGGGAATCTGTAAGCCTACGTCCCAGAATTCGTCGGCATAGATGTCTGTCGCACGGTCGTCGGGCCAATAGTCGCTGCCTACCAGGAAGGCGAGCATGCTCGGATGCGTCTGCAGCATGTGTCCCTCGTGCTTCGCCGCAGCTCTCGCGTCTCTATAATCGGCAGCGTCCCAGTAGTCAGGCGGGTCGGCAGCAACGTCTTCGTTGTGTTTCCAAGTTTCCCCTGCCCCATGCGTTAGACATCGGCGGTCATGAAAATGGCACTCTGCAAACGAAACAGAGACAGAGAGGGATGGAGAGGAAACTCACATTTATTGCAGCACTCCCATCCAGCCATGACCATAAGTCCATACCTATCAGCAATCTCATAGAGCTCTGGATGTTCATTCTTCCCCTCGAGACGGATAGTGTTGAGGCCCATATCCAGCATATACTGGACAATCGTCTCAAAGTACTCGGGGTCAAATCGAAGAAACATGTCGGCGCTGTACCCTGACCCAATGACTTGGAACGGATGCCCGTTGACGGTAAACACGCGGTCGTCATCCTTGTTGACTTTTGATGTGACACTTCGGAGCCCAAAAGTACCGTTTACGCTGTCAGACACTCCCGAGTGCGCGGCAGTAGATATGCTCAACTCGGCCGAGTAGAGCGGCTGGTCTCCCCATTGTCTCGGCCACCATATTTCGGGGTCATCGAATGTCTGGTTGAATTCTATAACCCTCGACTCTCCCGGCTCGAGTGTGATGGTCTTTTCCAGTACATACTTCCTCCCGCCATTGGGTTCCTTTATAACAGCCGTGGCAGAGATCTCGGCCTTCCTGTCTTCGATATTCTCAGCTGTCGACCGCAGCGACACGTGCGCCGGCTCGATTGCGACCAGGGCAGTGAGCGGACCGAGCGATACAGGACCCGTCTGCCTGATGACCACGTCCCGCCATATACCTGTTCCGTTGTCGGGCTGCAAGGATTAAACATCAGCGTCAACTGTGACCGCAAGACGATCGATGCCATCATACCGGATTTGGATTCCAATCAATGAACCCAAGCGCCAAATCATGGTAGTAGTTAGTCGGATACACCAGGATAAGCAGAGCATTGTCCTCGGCCACGAGATGCGTAATGTCGAATTCATGACCCGCATACGCACCCGACTGCACGCTCTTGTTCGCCACAGGCTCTCCGTTGAGGAATATATCCCCACGCGACGTGATGCCATGCGTCTGCAGGAAGAAATGCCTCCCATGGCTGGGTTTGAGCCCAAACTCGCTGCGGTACACCCACGGCACCGTGAACTGTGCCCAGTCAAACGACTCGAGATTGTCCGAGAACCACAGCTCCTGGTCGTTGTAGACGCCAATCTCGAGAAGGCATGCCATCAATGTGCATTTCGATACGGATATCTGGTGCCACGATGACGTGTCGGTCTCTCCAGGCTTGGAAAGTGATGCAATGGCATCGGTCTTGATGTCGGACGACGACGAGAGTGCCCAGCCAGGGATTGCCGCTTCTTCACCAGGCTCCGACACGAGTATGTGGCTGGAAGCGGTCGAGATTTGCACGCTGGCGAGGGTGGTGACGAGTAGGGACAGGGGCCCCATTCTCATGATCGGCAAAGTTCCAGCCGGCTCTGCTGGATGGATGGATAATGATACAGAAGAGGGGAGGCGCGCGTGGATGCCGGGTGTAGCTGCGGCGGTTATGAAGGTCGCTGCTCTTTTCGGAAGACAGGCCTACAAAGCCTCGTCGCTTCTTCTTCACGAGAGGCTTCGCTTCCCGAGTTCGAGAGAGGGAAGGATTACGAGAACAGCTTGGATATGGCTCCATGTCGATTGCTCTTGATTCTCCCTCTGCCGGGGCAACGTTGCCTTTTTGGATGTCTCGTGTGAGATTGTGAGATGGCAGGAGCTACCCCACATTGTCATCTTGGCAAGTGCTGCCTTGTTTTGCGGATCCCGCGGTCGATCAGTTTGGGATAATTGGTACCCCCCCCCCCCCCCCTCTCTCTTCCATGGATTCGATACATGTGCATCTATTCGTACGGGAAAGGAGCAGCTCAGCGATGAATGGCCGATAACAATCCAACAGGACTGTCTAGAAGACCTGCATTGTGCGCGGCATCCTCCTCCGCTACAGTCACGCAAGCTACACCATAATCTCCAGGTCATCGAACCCCTTGGCGAGCGCCTCCTCGCCGCCCACGGCGTCAATCTCATACTCGATGTCCGACTGCCCCTCCCTGTACAGCACGTTGGCCTCGCTGGCCATCCTGAAGTTATATGCAGCCTCCTCGTCGCCGATATACCTCTTCCCGATGCCGCTTGCCGCCGCCGCCTCGGCCTGCAGCTGTATAGCGCACGAGTTGTCCAGCAGGCCAAAGAGGAAGCCGGCCTCGGCCACCGTCTGTCCCACCGTGAGCAGGCCGTGGTTCATCAGGATGGCAGCCTTGTTGTGGGTGCCCAGCGAGCGGGCAATGTTCCTGCCCTCGTCCCCGCCAAACACGATGCCCTCGTACTCGTCGTAGACGGTGTGCGCGCCGTAGAAGGTGCACACGTCCTGCGTGATCATCTCCAGAGGCCTGGCGAAGACGGACCAGGCCCGACCCGCGATGGTGTGCGCGTGGCAGACAGAGTGGGCGTCCTGTCGGGCCCTGTGGATAGCCGAGTGGATCCAATAGCCCGCCGCGTTGACCGTGCGACCTCCCGTGCGCGGATTCCTCCGGCCGGCGACGATGCGGCCCGTCTCGATCTCGACGCAGAGCATGTCGCCCGCTGTCAGGCTGCCAAAGTGTCGGCTGAGAGGGTTCATCCACATAAGAGTCGGGAACTCGGGGTCTCGGATGGAGATGTGCCCGGATTGTCCCTCCGTGTAGCCCCGCCGGGACCACATGCGGAACGTCGCCGCCATCTGGATCAGATGGTGCCGGCGCTCCTCGCGGTACGAGGGGAATCTGGGAATGTCTCGAGGGGTGAGTTAGTCGCCGTCCGACCTCATTCCACTCCGCGACTTCGACATGTTGAACCTTACCTGGAAGGACATCACCGCGGGAGATGGCCGCGTTGGGCGTCGGTTCTTGCTGCGGGGCGTCTTCCCCTCGGAGAGATAGGGTCGTGTTGGCCTCGGCCGTGGCAGTTGTTGATGAACTGCTCAGAGACATTGTGTTCCTTTATTTTCTGCGGGGGTTCTTGTTCTCTTTCGTGGTCTGGTTCCTAGAGTACAGTGTATGGGTAATTGAATGCCGCCGACATGTGAGGATTTATATATTTCCAAGCAAAGATAAGCATCATCTACCAAACGGCGTCGGGCATGTGGAGAATGTACCCACACACTACGCCCTTTGACAGTATCGAAACGGCCGATGTACATGGATTTTCTAGGTTGTCTGCAGGTTTATCATTATTACCTACTCTTGTCACAGTATCTATCTGTATTATCAAAGCGTACGAACGTCACGTCATATCGTTCGTAGAAGGCTAATTTCCTTCGCTTTTTAACCTGGCAAAGGTTCCTCCATAGATATACATCATCCACATATACAGGAGTCGATAATGAACCATTGTCCCGATGGCTCTCAACCTCATAGACCGTCGTTACGTATAGAGAGGAGATGATCAACGTCGGAAGGCGTGATACCCTGACAAAGACCTCAAATCTCAAGTCAAGGTAATCATCGCGCTTTACGAGTACGCATGTCAACGTGTGAGTGAAAGACGCTAACATCACCATAGTAATATTAATACGTCTCCGATTTTCTTCTTTTTTTTAAATATATGTATATATATACAAATAAAGAATAAAATCAAAAAAGAGGAAGGAGAGCCCAGAAACTAGACAGTCTCATAATTTCCAACGCAAACCCCCCAAACCCCCGCACCATGTCCAGTCGCCGCCGCCAAGTCCATTTCAACCCCTCCGCAGCGTCATGGATCACGACATCCGCACCGTCAGCGCACATTTTCCAATTCCACAGGCGTCTGCCCCGATATGAGCCCACCCCGCTGATAAGCCTCCCCGACGCCGCTCGGGAGATTGGCGTAGGACAGATCCACGTCAAGAGTGAGGCTGACCGTCTCGGTCTGCCCTCATTCAAGATCCTCGGCGCATCATGGGCTACCTTCCGCTCTCTTGCGGAGAAGCTATCCCTGCCTCTCGATTCGAGGATCGAGACGGTTAGAGACGCTGCTGCTGCTGCTGCTGCCAGCTCTTCCTCCGGCTCCGAGTTCAGGGTCTACTGTGCCACGGAGGGGAACCATGGCAGGGCTGTCGCGAGGATGGCGAGCATCCTGGGCGTGGCCGCGGAGGTGCATGTCCCCGGCCATGCGCACCCTGTCACAGTTGAGCTTATCCGCTCTGAGGGCGCCACCGTGGTTGTGTCGAGGGGAAACTACGACGATGCCGTTCTCGAGGCGACGGAGGCTTCCGCCAAGAATGAGTCTGGTATCCTGGTTCAGGACTATGCTTACGGTGACTATCTCCAGATCCCACAGTGGATTGTGGACGGGTACCTTACCATGATGTGGGAGACTGACGAGCAGCTGGGCGGGATGCGGGCGGATCTGGTCGTTGCGCCCGTCGGCGTGGGATCTTTTGCTCAGGCCGTTGTCTCGTACTTTAAGCAGCAGGCCAAGGCGTCATCTGTCCTCGCCGTCGAGCCTGACACGGCTGCTTGTCTGTGGAAGAGCCTCGAGAAGGGCAAGCTTACTTCTGTGCCCACTACGTCGACAATCATGGCTGGCCTCAACTGCGGCGCTCCGTCGGTCATTGCATGGGATGTCCTGAAGAGTGGCGTCGATGCCAGCCTGACAGTCTCCGACTACGAGGCCCACCAAGCTGCACTCTACCTCCAGGCCCAGGGCGTCGCCGCGGGCCCGTGTGGCTCCTCTACCCTGGCTGCGCTCCGCCGCCTGACTGCCGCCGACAAGTCTGCGCTCGGACTCGGTGAAGAGTCTACAGTTGTCATCTTCTGTACTGAGGGCGCGAGGCAGTATGATGCTCCCCATGACGTATCCAGCGACGATCCCGCTATCCTGACGCGGACCCTGGTTCAGATTGACTCTACCAGCCCCAGTCTCGGGTCTGTCCCCGGTTCTGGAGAGACAAGGATGGCCGAGTACGTCTCCGCCTGGTTGGAGCATCGCCACCTGGAGACCCACTGGGTTGAGCCTACCGAGGGCCAGCCGTCCGTCGTGAAGGTCGCCCGTGGCACAGGCGAAGGGAAATCCCACATGTTCGACGGATTCATCGACACCGTTACTCTCCAGGGATACGACGGTGACCCTCTCGACGGCAAGGTCGTACATGGCCGTCACCATAGTCGCGGTGCTGCAGATGTAAAGGCTGGGCTTGCCGCGATGATGGGAGCCCTATCTTCAGCCGAGACGCTCAACCTGTGAGGCGACGCCATCCTCGCAGGCGTTGCGGATGATGAGGCCAACAGCATCGGGATCGAAGATGTTCTACGCGCCGGCTGACGTGCCAGCACTGCAATGATTCAGAGCCTAATAACTTTCGAGATCATACACACACGCAGAGGCTTCGTCTTGGTTGACGTGACGGCCCATGGCCTTGCCTCCCCACGGCTCCCTAGCTGGCGTCGGTGTCGATGCCATCATCAATGCGGTGTGCTTCTCACCCAGCTGCGCGCCTACGAGAAGAAGCTCCGCGACGGCCCCGCTAACAAGGTCTCCGGGGAGCACAGTGATTTCAAGGTCGATGTGGAAAAGACGCTTTCGCGTCCCCCCACATGACTCCCATCGACGTCATCCTTATGCGACTAGTCAAGCGTTGCACGACGCAGGAGATCAGCCAATATGCCAAAATTTGTGGAAGAGAGTACTGGGCTGATTGCGCTCGTTTGTCTGCCAAGAAGCGACTTCTTTCATATCGCTACTTGCCCGCCCTGTAGTTGCGGTCCGAATTCCGGGGTGCATACACATCATGGGGTGAGAGAGCTGGTCGTCTAACAGATCACCTCAATCCTCGACTGACTATGAAAGACTAGATAGAAGGGTTGTCTAGCATACTACCTCGAATTCAGTTCTATCTTGCGAATGCCACGATAGCTGAGTCTGCCCAAGTACGGGGAAGATGATACAGCCATTACAGCCCCAGACTCTGTCTATATTGCTTGGGGTGAGAAATTCACATGTCTAGTTTGACGCCGTTGAATGTTCAGGACCGCAGGGTGAAATACCAAGGCACGTCTAACCGCGCATTCACTTTTCCCCGCAGCATCAATCATCTGGACCCATGGCGTCGCCCACCCTCAGACGTCCCATAATCGAGCACCTTGGTGAGGCTCAGAAAATCACCGGGTGCGCTTCGCCGAGGATATCATGGCGTTTCGTCTACGATGCGAACACCGTTTCATCACGGACGCAGACGGCCTACGAGATTGAGGTCACCGGCAAATTCGAAGCCGATGTATTCGCGGTATAGACCTCGGACTCGGTGCTGGTTCCTTGGCCACGCACCCCTCTCGCCCACAGAGAAAGCATCTCCGTCCGCGTCCGGGCACGTGGGTCCGTTCCGGAAAAGCCTGGAGCACGCGTATCGCCTTCCTCTACGGAGCCCGAGACTGATGGACCGTTGCCGTTGAAGCCTGCAACGTACCAATCTAAACCATCATCTCCAACGGGCAACCGATCAAGCGGCGGACACCCAAGTTCACTTTTCACGGCTTCCGCTACGTTCAAGTCGACAACTGGCCCGATGCAGCGGGGCCTCGGAGAGCAGACTTCACGGCTCTGGGAACCCATACCGACATGCGCCGTCGGGGGCTCTCTGAATGTTCCAACAAGAGTGTCAACCAGCTCCATCGCAATATTGTGTGGTCCACGAGGGGGAACTTTCTCTCCATCGCCACAGACTGCCCCCCCCCCCCCAGCGTGACGAGCGTCTGGGCTGGACAGGCGACCTGCAGATCTTTGCCCCCCCTCCGCGACCTTTCTTTACGACACGGTTGGAATGCTAAGAGGTTGGTTGCGGGACGTGGCGCTGGAGCAGCTCGAGGAAGGAAAAAAGGGTATACCCCGGCTGGTGTGTCCGGACGTACTCCCGCGGAATTGGCCGCATAATGCCCCGAGCTGTTTGGGATGACCTCGTGATCCTGACACCGATGGACCTGTATCGGCTTAGCGCCGACAAGTCCATTCTGGAGCAGCAGTTCCGGAGCATGGAGACATGCCTATACACGGGTGTTGATAGAGACGAGGACGGGCTGTGGAACCCCGATCGCTGGCAGCTGGCCGACTGGCTCGACCCTGCCGCCCCGCCAGAAGACCCTGGCTGTGGAAGAACAGACGGCGTCTTAGTCGCGGACGCGTGCCTTGTGCGGGTGACGGACGGCTTTAGAGCTGTGTGCCTGGCGCTGGGGAAGGACTCAGCTGCCTGGAAGGTCAAGAAGGAAGCCGCAAGCCTCAAGACGGAGTTTCAGAAAAAGTACATCGCCCCCAAGGGAAACCTCATGTCCAACTCACAGACCGGATCGGCACTGGCCATCCAGAACGGCCTGTATGAGGCGAAGGACCAGTTGGCCGTGGCCTCGGCCGCTCCGGAAAAGCTGGTTCGCTCCGCGAGGTTCCACATCTCGACTGGCTTTGCCGGCACTCCCATCATCACTCATGCTCTGACGAGTGTGCGCACACCACAGCTCACGTATCGAATGCTGCTCGAAGGGACGTGTACAAGCTGGATGTACCCAGTGCCGATGGGTGCCACCACCATCTGGGAGCGCTGGAACAGCATGCTCGAGGATGGAACCATCAATCCAGGGCAGATGACGAGCTTCAGCCACTACGCCCTGGGGTGCCGTGGCGGACTGGCTGCATAGTGCAGTGGGTAGCATTGCTGCGGCTCAGCCAGGCTGGCGGCGGGTGCGCATCAGACCTGTTCCGGGCGGGAATATGACGGGCGCAAATGTCAGGTTTGAGGGTCCATACGGTTGGGTTTGAGTGCCGCTGGGAGTCCAGTGGAGGAAAGTTCGACTTGCACATATCTGTACCGCTCAATACCGTGGCCGAGGTCACACTCCCCTCGGGGTTGAGCCGGGGTCTAGACGAGGAGGATGAGGTCGAAGTTGTCGGGTCTGGTGTACACCATCTCTCGTGCGCTTGGAAAGCTGAAGCGTGGTCGCCAACTCCTATCGTTGCGCCAAACCAACCGAAGCCGGCGAGTGAGACCGTTGCAGGATGAATCATGCTTATTCGAGATGAATGTCGAGCAGTCGGAAGGTCTGAATCGTTGGCACAACCAGAGAGATCGGGTCGAAAAAGAGGCACGGGAGAAACAGACATAACATGCATTGTTGAGAAAGACGCTGCCTTTCAACCGCCGTACGTCCACCCGATCAGCAGTCCTGTTCAATCCTCCATGCCAACCATTGGAAGGGACTCTTTCCACAGTCCCTCCTCACGGCCTCTGTACGATACGTATGCGCGGCATACCCCGGACTGCACGGCTCAAAGCCCTCAACTAGGATGTAGTTAGCATCGGTGCTACCCCTGAACCTGAAGATTTCAGTCCCAAATCCATCAGCATGGTAGCTGACCGATAAGACGAAAATATGAAGCTTGGAGAGTAACAGAAGGATTTGATGTGTATGCCAAGGAACAAGTTAGATGGTTTTGTATGCGTCTCTATATATGGACGTATCTCGATTGCATATATGTCATGTACAGCAGACATCGGTAAGTACCAAAATACAGAGTAACGAGGTCTCGGAATTTCTAGCCGAAACAAAACATAAAGAGAGAGTATACGTGGAGCCGTACAGAATAGTGTATATAAAAGAACAAAAAAAATATAGAGAGAGAAGATAGAGAGACAGAGAAAGAGAACAGAGCAGAGAAGAGTGTGATGACGAAAACAGAAAAAATCATAACTGATCCACCTCGGAGACCTAGCTCACAGCCAGAGACGCAATTTCCCAGAACCTAAGCCATTCATTGCCACTGGGGCCCAATCGGTTGGCAAGATGGTTGACTCCATGGACGAACTCAGGCGGAGGAGCGCCAGTCGCGGATGCTGGTGTAGCCGCTCTCGAGGCCGCGGCGGTGGATGGCGGTGCCGTTGCCGAGGAGGGAGTTGGAGTCGAGGTCGAAGCAGTTGGTCTTCTTGTCCTGACGGCAGATGTCGAAGAGGGTCTTGGAGCCCATGTCGCAGAAGAGGCCCTCGGTGGTGTGGACGAAGTCGGGACCCATCGAGGTGTCGGACTGGCACAGCTCCTTGGCGGAGTGGCTGGCGGTGTCGGAGAGGACGAGGGCGGACGAGGTCCAGGCGGCGCGGCGACGGCTCCTGGCCATGGACTGGGTCGACTTCCTCTGCTTCTTGGTCCAGAAGGTGACGGTGTTGGGGTCGGGCTCGTCGCGGATGCCGAAGTCGACGCCGTTGCAGAAGGTGTTCGGGTCGGTGTTGGACTCGTCGAACTCGGTGCCGGAGTAGGACGGCCAGTAGACCTGGAAGCCCGTCTTGGGCTGGTCGCCGTTGCCGTCGATCCAGAAGCAGGCCGGCTGGTAGTCCGAGTCCGACGACGGGAACATGCCGCTGTAGTACCAGGTGGCGCCGCACTGCTTGCCGAAGTCGCCGCTGACGGCGTACTCGTTGCCGCCGCGCTCGTCGCTCCACGTCGTCGTCACCCACGCGATGCAGATGGCGTCGTTGTTGGCCGAGAAGAGAGTGTACACGCCCTGGTTCTCGTGCTCGACATCGACGGTGCCGATGTTGCCGTCGCCAACGGTGCCGGGGTCGGCTGTTATGCCGACAAAGTCGGTGTATTCGTTCCAGACACGGCTGTTTGTCGTGGGAGGAGGTTTCTCATGTCAGCCTCTAGGATGCCTCTCATCGTATGCTCGTGATTTTTTTTTTCTTTTCTTTCCTCTTTTTTTTCCTTTGCTTATTCTTGAATAAAATATCATGCACTTACACGTCGGGGAGGTCACCACCGGCGTTGTCGGTGCCGCCGTTGGCACCGTCGAGAGCGACAGCAACCTTGAAGCTGGAGCCTGGCCCGGGTTCGGACGCAAAGTTGTCGATGCCGAACTGGACAATGCCCAGAAGTCCGGAGACGATACCAATTGCTTCAGCAACAGCAGCCATTATAACTTATATTGGTAGAGATTGATGGAGGATTCAAAGAGTGAAAGGGGGGGAAAGAAAGAAGGAATCTTCAGAGATTATCTGGAGCTGCTGTTGATGATTGGAATCGGTGCAGTGTTCTATTGAGCCTGGGATGTTCAGAAACCAGAAAGGAAAGGAAGCGAGCATGGTTGACTTCTTATACTCTTTCGATCACGACCCATTCTGCCTCCTTCATTCCCACTCTCTCTGACATGATTCCACGAAGGATCTACAACCTTGACGTCCCAGTTTTCCCTGTCAAGGAGAAGCGTACAGCGTAAGCGCGAGTGCGCGCTCGCAGTATGTTGCCGTGTGGTTCCCCACGGCTGTAGTCGGTGTGTACGGAAGAGCAAACGAAACGTCGGGGTGCTAGATCTGCTGACAGGGATAAGAAGGTGGTTCCGGATGCCGCCAGGCTCCCCATCACCTCGTAGGTCGTACAATATCACGGTGTACGCTGTGGTATAGCGCGCACGGGTGCAGGCCAGTTGGACATGCTTACAGGATCAGCTTATGCACCGGCATGGGATGAGAGCACGGCCTTCGATGACAGCAAGCTAATTTCGACGCCATGGATCATCCTTGTGGAGGCTCCATGGGGAAGTCGAGTCACGAGCATGAGCTTCATCCCTGCAACAGGGAACCCTGAGGCAGGACGGATCCGGAAACTGGCATCTGCTCTCTTCCCTCTCCGACTTCTTCCCCCGTCATGAGACAGACGTTCGTAGACGTTACTGTAAGCTGTCGATTCCATAACAAGCAACATGTAGTTCGTGCCTGAAAATGATTTCTTGCCGTCGAGGCAGGGTGAAGAGAGATATGCAGCTTTGGCAGTAACGACGAGCAAACATGCAAGTGTACCGAGACTACATGCGGTGCCGGAATGGACTGCATCGTAGCCGTTCTCCATATGTTAGGCTATTTCTGGGGGCTGTTTTGCTGGCGTGGAGGATCCGGCTTACATGCAGTCATGCAGCAGGTTACGGCGTATCACGACTTAGAAGGAGCGACACCCTTGTTCCAAACCCCTGAAGCCCATCTTACGTGGGGGCGATCGTCGGTGGTGGGATTCACTTGGAGCAGCAGGATGGGGTCGCATTCTGGGCAGGAAAGGGACAAAAGAGAGACGTTGCTGCTTGCGTCAATCGACCGAGTAACGATACCTGCTCGGCCGTACACTGGCCCCAAGGATCCTAGCGCTGCAGATCCGTTCATAAGACTCGTGGCGTTCCTGGTTGGAAGACTTGGTTCGACTCAGAAGAGCTTACCAGAAGACCGCCCGGCAGCGATTTGTAGTGAATACGGACCGGCCCCTGTCCCTCGTCTACCTTGGCGTTGCAGATCAGTTCGGAACTCGTAGCGTTCCCCTTCCTGGCTGTATTACTCGTAGGACGTTATCACGGGCGCCGCCGCCCTGAGCGCTCTCCTCCTCACACACAACATGATGTGGTTGCCGCGCATCGTTTCCCCTTTTGTCTTGTTCCTCCGGTAGTAAGCAGAGCTGGCGGAAGAAGATTTCTAAGCTTGATGTGTTTCCGTCATGAGTCTTACATGAAGTTCCCATGACTTTGTATGTCAGAGGAGAAGATGAAGCCCAACAAGACCCACAGCATCGCAGTATTCGGTTTTTTTTTTTTTTTTCGTTTCCTCAACTCCACCATGTCAGACGGATAAGCGAGGTTGATGATACGGATACTTCCGTCCTAGAGGTAATATCCAGAGTATATACGTAGCGAGTATTGATCATGCAGGCAATATGTGTCAACAGCAATCCTATTCACATTCATACAACTACTGCTTCATAACGACTATGGCAGCTCTTTCACGGGGTTAGATACTCCGTATAGTACCTATCGACAGGGGAAGACGGCAGACCGTGAATATCCGATAAACCTGGCAGCTCTATTCATCAACAAGGCTTGGCTGTCAGCTAGAGCGGGTACGGGAGTCAGATCTCACGAGTCACAGAAGCTCCAGTTCTTCTCTGCCCCCATCTTTGTTCACATCTCAAAAGCCGAGACACTGAATGCAGAATTCACACAGATAGATTAGTCCAGAAATTTCCTTTTTTTTTTTTTGGTCTGTTGACATGTAGGTAGTGCGAGCAGATTACCCCCCCCCCCTTTATACACGAGACGCTGATTTATTTCATCTATTCCCAGCTATGGTGTCTCGCGTAAATCCTTCTACTCGTATCCCTGACCACCAAAAATCAACGAGGCAGAAAGGTTGAACATCTAGAGCAGCAGCGCCTCGAGTTTCAGGTGCCTTGCATGAGAACGCCACATGGGCAGTTGCAAACTATTATCAGGGGCTATTACTAGTTTCACCTACAGCCAAAGCAGAACAGAAGAACAAGAGACAACATTGAGGTGTGGACGGACGATGTTGTATATTAATGTCTACATGTATTATTTATTAATAGTAGCTAAGCTAAGAGCAAAAAAAATTGAAAGAAAAAAAAAACCAGGACTGCGTAATCTGGGAATCGAACCCAGGGCTCCCCGACGCTGCTCGGATGGCAACGGAGAATTTTACCACTAAACCAATTACGCTGGTAGGGGCTTCTGCGTAATCTGGGAATCGAACCCAGGGCTCCCCGACGTTGCTCGGATGGCAACGGAGAATTTTACCACTAAACCAATTACGCTTTGATGTCTCCGCTGTCGTTTCTTCAGCCTCATGTTTCTCTCGACCGTTCGGCTGAGATCTGGGTGTTGCTGTCGGTGCGCCATGAGCTTATACCGTTGTTAGTTCAATGTCATTGCTAATTGATGGAGCAGGTCATGCAAGCAAGCCGTTTCTACCGTTTTTCCAAACGGAAGAAGGTGAAATAATTACTGATAAAAACATGCACGGCGGCTATGCACATGATTGACGTGCTGATTCGCCCGCCAACCGTTTCTTTTTCTAAACTGTACACACACACACACACACACACACACACGCACACACACGCACACACACGCACACACACGCACACTACCAACGCCACAAGGCGTTGGAAGATCCTGCTTCTCTCTCTGCCCTGCGGCTGTGATCGAGATCTCTTCCTTGCCCTCCCGTAAGCTTATGCAGTTAGTCTCCACACATGGTAGGATTATTATGTGTGCGTGGCAAAGAAGCAAGGCTGGAGACGACGTCGTTGTCCAGTTACCCGGTGTCGGTGTCAGGTGGTCTGAAGTTGGCAACGATGCATGTGCATGACTGTGTTGGACTTTGAAATCTGTAGGGCTATCAGTCCCGTGCTATCATTCATACGCCTTCGTCTTAATCTCTATCCTATAAGCAAAATTCGGAGGAAAGATGATCGCAGTGATAACACGGAGGAACCACGAAAGTTTGAGGTGCTACCACTACTCCGTACTACTCGTACTCATCGGTGCGTTCATCGGAAAGCCCCGCCCCGCTTTCCAATTGCTTACGTATGTCATGGGAAACAGCCAAGCTTGCCTGTCTTCCGCGTCGTCATCACTCGCCTCTACGCCATGGCCACCCGACTAAACTTCACCCACTGCGTGGGCAACCCCTCACTGAACCCAGGAGAGCTCATCAAGGACACCGAGCGCCAAATAGCAGCAGCAGACCTCCTGGCCAGCAACGATGACCTGTACGGCGCGAGCAGGGTGCTCCTTGGCCTCCCCGACCCAGACACATACACGTACCATGCCATGACGAGCGTCAAGCTAGCCGAGGTCCAGCAGGTTATCAACCTTGGAAACGCCAAGGGCCTCCACGCGTGGTACCGGCATGAGGACCGGTCACCGGTAAGAATCTCTGATACGAGGACGCCGCCTGCCGCTCGTGGTACACAAACACGCGCGCGCGCGCAGAGAGAGGGAGGGAGGGAGAGGGAGAGGGAGAAGCTGAGATTATGCCGTGCGACAGATGGATCCGCCACCGCGGGCCGATGTGGAAGCGTACGTCTCCATCTTCAGCCCCCAGACCCTGACGACGTCTGCCCTCAGGAACTTCGGGACGAATGCGAAAAAGGGCTCGATCCGCGCCGACGTGGCGGCTCGGCTTGGATCGAAGCGCTTCCTCCACCCCGGCGCAGTGACCAGGCTGAGCATCCCCAAGGCCAAGAAGCCCCGCAGCGCGAACCCGTACCTCGACTTCTGGGCCTGGTCGTGCCGGTCGCTCGAGTGGTGCGGACCCTGCGCGGCCGCCGAGCGGGGTCCCATGGGCCACCACGTGCTGCCCATCCTGATGCACCACTTTGGATGCGCGACGCCGTCGCACGAGGCGCTGGAGATGTTGAGGATCCTGGCCGACGGGAGGGCCGTCGCTGACATAGGCTCCGGGAATGGCTACTGGACCTTCATGCTGCGCCAGTACGGCCTGCAGGTGCACCCGGTAGACAACATGCAGAGCGAGTGGAGGGTCAACTGGGTGAGCGACACGGTCGTCTCTGACGGCGTCCGGTGGCTGCGCAAGAACGCAGACGGCAAGGACATGGTCCTCCTGCTCGTCTACCCCGTAGTCGGGGGTGGCATCGCCGGCGGTGAGGAGGGTAGCTTCACGCGCAACCTCGTCAAGGCCTACAAGGGCGACACGCTGGCCGTGGTGGGCACCCAGAACCGCAACGGCTACACGAGCTTCAGGAGCATGACCATGGACGAGTACATGGAGCGCGAGCATCCGGACTGGATAAAGGTGGTGCAGATTCCCCTGCCTAGCTTTGGTGCTAAAGACGAGGCCCTCTACGTCTTTCAGAGGGGCGGCCGAGCACCCAAAGAACAGGCATGAACCTGAGCACAAGTGAAAAAGAAGCGGGGGGGAAGCAAATACATAAAGAAAGGGCAAAACACAGAGAAGGAGGAGAAGAAGAAGAAATGGCCATCAATGAATGATCATATCTCTATTGACGTGCAGGTAGCTTCCGGATCCAGTCATGTACTACTCCTTGTATCCGGCTGCTGTTCTTCTCGAGAAAGAACATGTGCCCGTTACCGTGTACGCCCACCTCGCCGAGCTCGAGGTGCTCTGTCCTGTGGCAGCCAGCCTGGCGGAGAAACTCGACAGTGCAGTAGTCATAGTCCGCATGGTATGACGCCTCCCCCGTGACGACAAGGATAGGTAAGGGGGCCAGGTTGACGAGCTGTCGCGGCGGCGGGTCGTCGGCCTGCAAGACTCGCTCGGAGAACCCCTCGCCACGCGCGGGCAGGGTCTGCAGAACAAAGTCGGATGGGTCATTTACAGGCGGCGAGAACGTGAGCGGAATATCTGTCAGCCCCCACGGCCGCGCAGGGCCCGTGTAGATGACGGACTGGCGAAAGGGCGGCCCACGGGGCTCGAGAAGCACGAGGGCGCGTGCCAGCCCCGGTCGGGAATCAGCCATGAGGAGAGGCATGGAACCTCCCTGGCTGTGGGCGACGAGGATGGCAGGTCTGCCTATGCGGTCCAGGAGGGCTGAGCCGGCCTGCTGCATGGTCGTCTGGTGGCGCACATCGTCGCCGTCAAAGGGGACGAAGGCGCTGTAGAAGGCGTCGAAGACGGCGTCGCCCATCCGCCCCGTCCCGGGCCACTGCGTATGCTTGGCCGCGGCCGGCCACAGGTCGTATTCGCTCGGAGCTGTGAAGTGCTTCTCGACCATCTCGGCCGTCATGCTCGACTCGGCAGACAGGGCACCCGAGCGCCCACCCAGCGTCTGGTCAACCAGGTAGACTTCGTAACCCTGGCTGATGAAATCGGAAGCCCATCCACGGCCGCCGTCGGGCTTATTCAGAAAGTTCTTTTTTCCATATATGCCTTCACGTTTATTTTCACTTCTTATATAAATTGAGGGAGAGGAGTTGCACGCATATTAGAAGGGGGCAGGGGGAGACGCACGGTGCCAGTCTGGGACAGGCCATGGATCAGGACGATGGGCGGCTCTTGGGTTGGGCCGCCGACAGGGAGCAGCTTCTCGACATACATCTGCTCACGGAATACGTGAGCCTCTTTTCCATTTCTGACGTAGCCTCCGCCGACGTAGAAAAAGGTCCTGATGTAGGCCTCCTCCTCCTCCTCCTCCTCCTCCTCTTCCTCTTCCCCCTCCCCATCTTGGAGTATAGTCGCTGCCATGTGATGTGAAAGAAACGGGGCGTCGTGACCCTCAGAGAGAGATAGACAGCGAGTGGAGGGCGGTAAGCTAAAGAAGGCAAAAGGGAGGGGTGTTGAGAGAGGCCACAATAGCCGGTTTTATCCACTTGCCTCGGGCCGTCCGTTGCATGATGCCTGCCACCCCTCATTCGATCGACGCAGACGTGAGATTTCATCACGACGCAGTGATAACTGACACACCCACGGCTCTTAGCTGCGGTAGGGCTGACGACGAAGCGTACCGGAATATACTCGTGCGCTCAGGAGTCAGTGCGCGTCGTAGGGATCATTTCCGCCCCAAGTCATTGTCTCGCCTCTACCCCCCTCACCCCCTCCCTCGTTATCTTGCTGGACAGACCCGTGACGTGACAGGGGTCATGCTGACGAACTGAAAGTCGGGAGGCGGGTCTCAGCCAAGAGGATACGAGGGCTGTCGACCTATTGGTTCGACGGCTACCGCGCGCTCTGCATTGAGGACCACTTGGCACTTGTACAAAGACGTGACGAGAGACGGAGACGTATGTGGTCTCTCTTCATTTATTCTTGTTCCAGGTCTTCCAGCTGTCTCGTCTTCTCTTCTTTCAATCTGTCCAGAAATCAATTCCCTTATCCCCCCCCCACCCCCTCTCTCTCATTCTATCATTGACCACCTCCTTTTGACCCCAGTGACGCCATCCCGCGCGGGGAAAGTTCGAAAGGAACCCCAACCCCAACCCCAACCCCCACCACTTCAAGAACGCGCCACACCTCAAAACCATAATGTCTCTCCACGTTGGTGACGGGAGCGACAGCCGACGTACCAGGTCGAGATCTCGCGATCGTCGTTCCGGTGACGAGACGAAACCCTCATACATTGACTCGAGGGATTCAAGCTACGCTTATCCCGAGGCCGACCTCGACGCTAAGTACAGGCCCCGTCACGATGAGCCGCTCTCCAGCTCTGCTAGAGCTTCCTCTTCGGGCCTGCCATACCCTGCCGAGGGCGAAATTGACAATCTGCTCCCCGGAGATCAGTCGCTCTACAGCTATGACTCGCACCACCCCATACGCCGCGCCACCTCTCCGGCGGCAGACCCGCCCTACCGCAGCTCGCGTGACAAGGTTGCCGACGCACCGTCCCACCGCAGCTCGCGCGACAAGGTGGTGATGAGTGACGCGCCACCGGGTGCGCTCCCCAGAGAGGATGATGATTCCGACGACGGCAAGGGTGACGACAGACGAGGTGAAACCAAGAAGGAGCGCAAGGAGCGCAGACAGCGCGAGGCCAAGGAGAAGGAGAAGGGGTCCAGTCAGTACGCTGACGACAACGAGAGGCTCGACAAGTACCTCCCCTCCAAGTACAGCGCCAGCGCCAGCAAACGCCGCGACGACTCCGACGACGAGCGCCCGCCTCTGCCCGACCGTCGCGGCCAGAGGGCCGAGGAGGGAGAACGTAGCAGAGTAGACTACCTGCCACAAAAGTACAGCAGCGCTCCAGCCGACAAGCCCGGCGCAGACAACAGACACAGCTACGGAAAGGACAGGGTCCAAAAGATCATGAACCTTCCGCAGAGATACCTCGGGCGATACCACGACAGTCACGACTCGTCCTCCTCGGACCAAAGCAAATCGTCCGACAGGGAAGAGCGCCGCAGGAGGAAGAAGGAGCGCGACGAGGAGGACCTGGCGTACGGCAAGCCTCCGGGTCCACCTCGCTCGTCCGTCCGAGACGACCGGGAGACGTGGGGGAGCTACATGTCCGGCTCGAAGTGGGAGGACAAGCACCGTCAGCGCCCCGGGCACGACGACCCCCGCCGAGAAGACTACCGTCGCAGGGACGACGTCGTCCCCGCCAGCCCGTCGGGTGCTCGCCATCGACGCGGCAGCTCGTACGCAGACGACCCTCGCGGGCCGCGGCCCGAGATTCGCACGGTCGAGCCGGGTAACAGGAGGCGCGACGACGAGCCCCCGAAGAAGCCTCCCCGCCCCTCCGATACGTTGAAAGTGGGGACCACGGCCGGTGGGCGCGACAGATCCCGCTCCAGGGATTCACGGCGCGAGAGCGGCCACCGCCGTGAGAAGTCGGACACGCTGACAGTCGGTGCGGCCGCCGGCCGCAACAAGTCCAGGTCCAGGTCGCGCGACGGACGGCGCGACAGGTCACCCCAGCCGCAGACGAAGCGCATGTCGTCGCTGACGGTGGACACGGGTCTACCGGCCGCCGCATCCCTGTCCGCCGCCTCCGGGTCCCCGATGCTCGAGTCGTACCGCGGCACGTACCAGGACTGCTCGCCAATGCCATCCCCGCTACTCCTCGCGTCTGGAGGACCTGGCGGTGCCGGCGCCAACGACGACGTCAGGGTGATTGAGGCGCTGTCGCCCGCGGAGTCGGACGTGGACGCAGACGGCAAGAAGCGCACGCGGCGCGCCCGCTTCCACGACGCCGAGGACATCGCGTCGCGGCTCGCCGTGGCCCTGCGCGGCGACGGCCCCCCGCAGCGCGAGCCGCTCGTGGAGATCCTGCCGAGCCTGACGCACGAGCAGGTCATGCAGCTGCGGGCCGACTACAAGGCCATCGTCAAGACGGGCAGCCAGCGCAAGGGCGTCAACATAGCTAAGCACATCCGCGCGCGGCTCAAGGACGAGAACCCCAACCTGATGAAGGCCTGCTACGCCGTGGCGCTGGGCCAGTGGGAGAGCGAGGCATACTGGGCCAACTACTGGTACCAGGGCGACAAGACGCGGCGCGAGCTGCTGATCGAGTCGCTCATGGGCCGCACCAACGCCGAGGTCCGACGCATAAAAGACGCCTTCACCGACAAGAAGTACGACAACAGCCTGACGAAGTGCATGAAGACGGAGCTCAAGGAGGACAAGTTCAAGAAGGCCGTGCTCATGGTCCTCGACGAGCGGCGCATGGATGAGGTCGACGACCAAGGACGACGCCTCCCCCTCGACTACCGCCTCGTTGACAAGGACGTAGACGACCTCTGGAAGGCCATCAAGTCCGAAAAGGGCGGCGAGTCCCTCATGATCTCCATCGTCGTCCAGCGCAGCGACGCCCACCTTCGTGAGGTACTAAAGGAGTATGAAGCTGCTTTCCACTCCAACTTTGCTAGGGATTCTCTAAAAAAGAGTGGTAATCTTGTTGTATGTCTCTCTCTCTCTCTCTTTCTCTCTCTACATCTCTCTGTCTCTCCCTGCCACCCTTTTATATCCATATCTCTTCTTTTCTCGATCCAAGCAAAACTGACCCAAAAACAGGGTGAACTCCTAGCCCACATCCTAAACGGAATCATCAACCGTCCCGTCCGCGACGCCCTGCTACTCCACCACGCCCTGACGGCCTCTAGGAAGGACGAGCTCCGCCACGAGCTCCTGACATCCCGTCTTGTCCGGCTGCACTGGGACGCTTCGCACATGCAGGACGTGCGGAGGGCGTACCTGGACCGGTATGGCGTCGAGCTGCAGAACGCCGTTCGCGAGGCCACCAGCGGGCACTGGGGTATGTTTTGCGAGGAGCTGTGTATTGCGAGGGTGCCGTCTGCCGTCAGGACGTTGCATGTTGCTGAGTGATGGGGCGAGTATATACTGAATTGATTAAGATTTGTCCGTTTTACGAATGAGGTTGAATGTATTATCTTATGGGGGAAAAAAAAAAAAAGTCTTGTTCTTTTTTTTTGGTGCATGATGTGTGTATTCAAGTAATGATACAATACATTGCTATGTGAATGATGTGCTCATTTCTTCCCTTTTCCTCTACCTTTCCCTCCTCCTCCTCCTCCTTTACCCTTACCCCCTCCCCCACCAGACGTCCCGCCAGTCAGCATGATCCTCACCTTGCCGACGGGAACACTATTGACCACGTCCTCCGGCTTGAGAGCCTTGATGAGCTCCACCTCTCGCGGCCACATCTTGTCCTTGTTGCGCGACGTCTCGTCGACGACAGCCCTCTTGCCGCTGTCAATCTTGATACGCTCGAGTATCTCCTTGACGGCCTTCCCCTTCTTGGTCGACCCCGGCTGCATCTTGACCTTGTACTTGAACTTGCCCATGGCGTTCCACGGCGCGCACACGGCCAGCACCTCGAGGATTTCGTCGCCCGGCATCGGCGTGCCGACCAGTTCGTCCAGGGACGTGGTGCGGTGGGCCTCATCGTCCGCGGCTGCCGCCGCCGCGTCGCCGTCACCTCCAGCGCCAGCCTCCAGCATGGCACGCCGCCGGACCTCCTCGTGCTCGGCTGTCTGCTTCTGACGCTTTTCATGCTGCGCCCGGCGTCGCTCCTTGGCCGCTTCCAGCTCTGCCTCGCGCTCGGCCTTGGCCTTGGCCTCGGCCTCCGCTTTGAGTCGCCCGGCTTTGGCGCCAATGAGCGCCTCTGCCGCCGCCCGATCCTCCTCATCCTGGTCTTTGTACTTGGCGGCAATCTTCTTGGCCTTGCTGCGCTTACCACGCTTCGGCGGGCCCTTTGCCGTATCGTTGTTTGTCTTGGTCGAGCGGGTGCCTTTACTCGGTGCCTCGGAGGGAGCTGCAACAGACTCTGTCACATCGGCTCCGTCCTCAGAATCATCGTCACTACCCTGGGAGGCTGCTTCTTTCGTCTCGTCCTTTTCGGTGGTGGCTCTCGTCGCTTTGCTAATGTTCTTGTCTCCGAGCAGTATGTCTGATACACCGTTGCTTGCCGCAGCGACATCGCCGTCTGACTCCTCGTCTTCTGCATCGGCCTTGTCTCCGCCTCCTTGGAGAGGGTTCTCGCGCACATCGCCATTCAAGGATTCGGGTGCGGACTCATCCCCGACGGCCGATGCGTCGTCCGCAACGCTGTCCAGCAATTGCTCTGCGGCTTGAAGCTCGTCCTGCGTTGGACGCTTCGCAGACTCGACAGCCGTCCCGTCGTCGCCGTCGTCGTCATTCACGCGATGCTTGAGGTGCCGGGCCTTGCTTTCGTCACTGATGCGGAACATGAAACCCAGACCGATGATGAGCGGGTTGGGCGGCAAGAAGTTCTTCTCCCCGCCGATGTTGAAGACGCCTAGGGGCAAGTAATCTCCCTTGGTAGCCGCCGACTTGGACACCTGTTCCGCATTTACCCACCATACACCCATGCCGGCCTTTGAGTCCCAGGCCTCCGAAGTGCAAACAACCAGGGACCCGGCTTGGGACAGGGTGGCCGGAGGGATGGGCGCATCGGGTGTCTTGGGGTTGTTCTTGATGACGACGACCGAGGCGCCGCTGAGGTCGGCATGGCAGTAGACGTCGCCTTTGCGCAGATGGCGCTTGTACATGATCTCGCTCTGGGTGCCATCCTTGGCGCCGATGACAAGGTAGCCATCTGACGAGATGAACCAGAAGAACTTCTCGAACCACATCAGTCGTCGGATGGGCTGCAAGAGGTCCTTCTCTTGCTTGAGCCCCTTCTTGAGGTCAGCTGCGATCTTCTGTTCCGAGTTCTTCAGCGCCATGGACGCGGCCAGTTGCGTCTTCTCCTGTTTGATGGCGGCCATCTTGCGCTCGCCGTAGTACTCCCGTGCATTGCCCCAGGGCGTCAAGCCGAGGTTGATTTCAACTGCCAACGCATTGGCATTGGCAGTCGCCTTGGCCTTGGCGTCGCCGTGGGCATCGCCGCCCTCTTCGTCGTCCGATCCTTCGTCTGTCTCATACGGGTCGTCTTCCTGCTCTTCAGCGAGATCCTCCTCCGACAAGATCAGAGTAATGATGTTTTCCTCGAGCCTGAGCGGGGTCTTGATGATTTCGGCAACGGGGTTGTGGCGCTTCTTCTCCCGCTCAACCAGCTTTCCAATGTCGACCCAGTCCATGCCCTGCGCAAGCAGACCGTTTACAGCATCCATGGCCTCTTGAACGCGCTGCGCATTGGCCTCGATGGCAGCAGCCTTACGGAGGTTGGCTGCCTGGACTTCCTGGAGGCCTTCGATGCGCTGTCTCTGCTCTCGTCTCACGCTCTCCAGCTTCCTCCGTGCCGTAGCTTCGCGCTCGGTGAGGCGGGACTCCAGCTTCTGACCCTCCAGTGATGAGAAGAACTCGTCAACCGTCTTGTTGTAGCCCTGAAATTCCAAGACGGCGACCTCATCATTTCGGGCAAGCTTTTGCGGTAGGAAAGGGTGAAAGTCGTCGTAGAGTAGATTATCTCGCTTCGACCGCTCCTTTTCTTCATCGTTCTGGTCGTCGTCGGCCACCTGTGATGGAGCTTTCCGGTATTTCGCGAAGATGTATCCCTTACAGGGGCCAGAGGAGGTGATGTTCTCGACTGTCTGACGAGCCTCGACGAGTGACTTCAAGAGGTCATCTAGGAGTGTCTCGCTTTCAAGTATTTCCGGAAGCGACTTGGTCAGGTCAAAATTGTTTGCTTGCAGGGTGTGGTCGACCAGCACAGGGGGCACCTCCGTGATGGCGACACCGAGGCTCTTTCGCAGGTCACCGCCAGCCTTCACCTTGCCCTTCTTAGCCGACGCCGCACTCTCGGAGGCCTTGTCGATGCCCTTTTGCAGGGCGTTCCGAACCCTCTCCTTCGTCATGGGCGGGATCCCGCGATAGTTCTGCCTGTTCTCAAGCGAGTATGGAACTCCGAGACGCTGTGCCTCCTGGTCTCCACTTTCAGCGACATTTCGTGAGATTGCCAGAATCTTGAGGCTCTCGTCGGTCAGAACGATGTTGCCACTCTAGAAAACCACGAGTAAAGACGTTAACGTAGGCATACGAAGAATTGGGGGGAGGGGGAGGGGGGGGGTTCTGTACGGCAAAGAACTCGAAGAACAGACGATACTGTCCATCGCTGAACTGGAACTCTATAATACGATCAGTGCCGATCTGCGAGACCGACGTGACCCTCCTCGTCTTGAGGAATCTGCGGAGTCGAGCGACGAATGGCGACGGAGCTCCCGTGGTGGTGCGGCCAAATTCGGTCAGGTGACATCGGAATCCGGTCTCGATGACGAGCTGCTTCTTGTTATCGGGCTTGGCGAACTTGAAGAGGAGGATCTTGGAGGACAGGTCGTAGATGTTGGACACGCGCAGAGACGTCAAGGTCTCCTGGAGCTCGTGAGCGATGACCTAGAGGTAAGAGTGTGGTCAGTATGAGGAGCGGGGAACTTCCGGGTGTGTCGCTTTCGAGGATGGGAAGGATGGGAAGGTTGGTGAATGGAAGAGGGAGCTCACCTTGACGTCCAAAGATGAAAACCTCTGCTTCATGTTGACGACAAGTTTTGCGGGAGGTCATTGGGGGGGGGGGGGGGGGGGGGGGGGGGGGGGGGGGGGGGGGGGGTTTGATGTTGCAGTTGGAAACTCCAAAAACTCCAACTGCAACAGATCATCAAAGTATTGTTAGTAGTACGTGGGGCATTTTGCCGATGGCGGGGTAAAATTACTATGGCACATCAGAGACGACACAGGACGAAAGAGTGTTGTTGGAAATTATCATATTGTGAGATTATGAAAAATCACTCTTTCCGCTAGCCAACTTCACTGAATCGACTGACACGATTTTTATTCTAAATTTCGCTATAGCGATTGTACCACGGTCTGCGTGTATATCGAAAACACGATGTCTTGTGTCTTGAACATTTTTCACCTTTCAGTCCAAGCAAGGCAAGGTATTAAGGTAGGAGCCATCGTAGACAATAGCACGTTCAGAGAGTAGTTTCTCCGCCGACATCATATGTGTCACGTGCGGAAGAGCAAAGACATGAATGATGAGGATAAAGATGTACGTATGAGTTGGTGATTGCTGGAGAATGCTACTACTCTTAACATTTGAAAGAATCGGTCAATGCGCAGGTCCTTTCTTTGGTTGCTTTTTTTTCCCTCTCTTTTGTCTCTTTTTAGGACGTCGTCATCTACGATCTCATGTTTGTATGGGTTCAGGGTATAGCTGTCGTGTGACGAAGGGTCGGTTGGTCAATATCTAGGCACATCTGTAGCAATCGCATGCCTCTGCATCTACGCTCAACCCCTCCATTCGACGCCCGCCATCATTCGCAGCAGCTCCTTCTTGCCGAACTGAGCCTTCAGCCCCTCGAGCTCCTGCATATCCCACGTAGCGATGACGAACCGTCCCATGAGGAAATCTGCCCGATCCGTGCTGAGATACCCGGCCGTCGCCAGTGGTAAGTCGGGGCTGACATTCATCATCTTACGGATGCCTGGGGCATATCATCTTTCGAAGCCTCTTTCGAAGCCTCTTTCGAAGCCTCTTTCGAAGCCAACTTCGTCCTCGCGCCGCCGGGGATGCATGGCCACGCAGCGCATACCGCTGCCATCTTCCAGCTACTCGTGGTCCACGTGTTCGGTAGACGTTCATATCAGCCTTGGTCATAGAGCAGCACGAGAGGCCCGGGATATGCCGCCAAGAGGCGTTTGGAGAGACATTGATGATGCAACCATTCGTCTTGGACTGCTGCTTCAGGACGCTGATGTAGGTGCACGTCACATTGCACATGCCGTGGATGTTGATGTCCATCTCCGTCGCCTGCGCCGAGAGATACGAGTCGGCCACGGGAGCGGCGGCATGATGCACGAGGACGTCCGGGGCCGAGGGAAGGCTGGCGAAGAGATCATTGACGGATGCGATGTACACATCCGTGCCGCCCTTGACGATCACCTTGCACCCAGGCGCGAGAGAGGCGATGGACCTGGATGTCTCTTCGAGGGATCGGTCCCGTACGACGAGAGGCGATGACGACCCGCTCGGCACCGGCCCGGGAGAACTGGCACGCGACGGCTCTGCCGATGCCCGTCCCGGCTCCGGTGACCCTGATGGTCTCTCCAGCCACGCCGCCTCTGAGCTCACCGCATGCGTCGACGAAATCGTATGCGTCCTCCCGGCTTGGACTGCACAGACCAAGTTCCATGGCTGTCGTTATGGATAGATAGAAAAGGCACATGAAACAGATACTGTGATTTCCCTAACTCCGGGGTTAGCCTGTCTAGAGAACTCTACATCTTCTATTCCCGTGCGTCGTTGCTAGCCGTATGTAGGCACAACGGTCCATGTACCGTCAGACACAACACCGAGATTCGTCCCCAGGAACCTCTTGACCGGCCAGGCGAGATATTCAAGATATCTCCCGTCCCGAAGAGAGGCCATAACTGGATCAGCACAGCGAAATGGAAGAGGCGGCACTATCAACAGAATTGCGCCCAATGTACCACTCTCCATAAACCTCTACTGCACTGCCAAGGTCTTCTTGTAGGGTCCAAAGGGTGCCTAGAAAGGCGGCTGGATCTTGAGAGCTTGCAGCGGGCGCAGAGTGCGATGGCGGTAGGGGTGCTACGGGGTGGTTGATTGCCATTGGGCGATGGATAGATCGACGATTGAGCCAGGTAGGCCAGATAGGGAGCGAGACAATGCGTCGGTCGTACTCCGTAGCCGAGGCTGTCCGGGATATACTCGTGAGTTCTTGGGAGCGGTGGCGTGAGGGATTGCTAGCTGCGTGGATACTAATATTAGATGGATATAAACAGAGATGGATACATCTTTTAGCATGAGTCGTAATAGTCCTCTCCATGTGGTGGTCCATTCCACAGATCGGACAGGTGCCAAAAGGAAGCCTGCGGGGAACACAGGCTCTCCACAGAGATAAACACGAGTACGTAATCAACGGTGGGAAATCAAGATTGTCAGACGAGAAGCAGCTGAAAGAGAGAGGCGGCCGAGGTTGATAAGACAAGAGAACGCGGGCACGAGAGAGAGAGAAGGCGCCGATGCTCGATGGGAAATGAGCAGCGACGGACGCGTCGCGAGAAGAAAAGAATACACACATCAGACACACTTCGTGTCAAGGTCGTGTTAGACAAGGTACATGGGTGGGGGAAGAACCCAATCAATCGCCTGTGGGCGATGTTGTGATTGATGGGTGGAGGGGGGAGGATGAGATGACACCCGACGATTGGAGAATGGCGTCTCCGCTGCCAAGATATCCACCACCGAACAGGTTAAGATCCCCCCTGGTACAGCCATGTTGCCACGGCAACCGGTAGGTTTTCTTATTACGACCTACCACTAGTAGGCTACTCCGTATCTGTCTCTCCAGCCCCTAAGATTGCATCGGGGGCTCAGCCGCAAGGGGGGTTGCTTCATGTGGCAGAGCTGATGATGAAGATGGGCGGAAAGGAGAAGAAAGTCAGCGAGTGAATCGCAATTGAAGGTACATGGCAGGTATTACCCCATCCCAAGATTACTGGCTGATCCAGTAGAACGACGGCGGGTACGAATAACGGCCAGAGTGTGAGACATCATGGTTCGCAACTTTCTATCACTTGAGAGGGGGGAGGGGCGGTAAGGCTAATGTGTACATAATATATGATATAGTACGAGACTACTCCGCACGTGAACAGTGGCCCGTGGGTGGCAGAAAGATGGAACCTGGAGGCAGGTAGATTGCGATGTACTTTACTATTTGACGCTAGTCTATATTTACACAGCTGTGGGGAATCGTGCGCTATAACCTGGAACACCAAGCTCGAGGTACCTATGTACCGCTCTGTGCCGCCTAGCGTCCGGAAAGAAGAATTATATATCTATATTATATATATACTACACGGATAAGAGTACAGATTACAGATTACCTGCCTCAGGTTTTGTTGCCACCCACCGTAAAAATACTCCGTACAACCAACTACGGGTACATTTTTAATTCTTCGTTGATCGTGGCTTTTCTGACACCACGACCAAAAGAGTCTAGGCTACCGTGGGTGACGTCCAGCCGGGATGGAGCAGATAATTTCACGGCTGGGCCGAGACTAGCAGTGCCTACCGCAGTTGGCAGAGCGAGTATGGACGCCAGTAGTATTGATACCGACTACTATTCGTGAGTAATACCTGTACCACTGTGTACCACGAGGTCTGGTGCATAAATATCAGCACAATGCCCCACCAGAAGTGGAGATCTTTATAGCGAAAGTGTTCTAATAAAACAGGTCAAACGTGTAAGAGTGCATGATTTATTACTGTGCAGATGTAATGTTCGGCTTACTGCTAGATCAATTTAGTAATAGGATATTGAAAGCAAATCGACCAAATTTGAAGAGGTCTGATATGATCTCGAGATTCTCCGGATTTTGTAGACATTTTCAAACTCTAATTGTGGGCATATCTCATGGCATTGATATCAAGTGGGTCTACGGAGTAACGACCGAGGTATAGGGTAGATTTCCGTACCTCCAGTGGCCTGCAAGATCCCATATTTGCTGGGCAATCAACGATGTCTGCAAGGATTAAATGCGGGACTTTATGCTGCTACAGTGCTGCTTATGCTTTAGACCTCGTACTCGTACGTCGTGTATGTAGTGATATTCACTCATGTGAGTACGGATTGCGGATACAAGCGTCAATACTGGTCCGATTATGATGCTACCGTACTATGCAAGTACTGTTACTAGTAATAATATTACCAGTACCGTGCGTTGCAGGAGCTTGCAGCAAGGGTAATACGAGCACGAGCAATCGAGGGCTAGCAGTTAGCGACAGGATGCAGCAAGCAAGAAGAAAACCAAGTGGCTGCAGGACAGTACGACATACATGATGCTGATCAAAGGCCAATGGCTGACGTGCACGACACAACTCTGGCCAGCCTCGTCAGGTAGGATTTACGGAGGAGGGTACTCGAAGGGAAGACATGTGAATTATTATGACTCGTTTTGCACCCTTCGCATAACGTTGGAAAACGCCTGAAGAGGTTGGTGTAATCCGTATATGTGTTGCAGTATTACGACGGCGTGACCTCGTACGCTCAATGGACTAATACCCTGCCCCCCGTATAACTAACAGTATTACTACAGTCGCCGTTTTACGAGTACATGGATAGTCGCAGCGTAGTATCAGTCCCGTTGCTCTCTCCCTCCCAGCCACCCGCCATCAACAACAACGGAAGGTGCAGGGCGGCTTGGACTGGGAGTACGCGTAGGGAAAGAGCACCCGTCGGGAGGCCTACGACAGGCCACCGTTACAGCCAGAACAAGCCCAGCCACTGTAAAACAGCCCAGCCCACTGTTCCGATACAAGCTACGAAGCTACGACTGCCATGAGAGGGATCATCAGCAACTATTATCACTATTACTCGTACTATTATAGCCCGGTACAAATACAACTACTCGTACATGCATCGTATGTACGGAGTGGTGCGCAGTGGCAAAAGAAAGAGAGAGAGAGAAAAAAAAAGGCAACATACGAAGCTTCAAAGCTGCATACGAGCTCCTCCCAGATTAAAACCGCCTTGAGCCAGCTGGTAGTGGAGACAAGAGCGGGGAGTTCAAGCCTGTTTTGGCCCGAAGTAAACACTAATGGACCCACACGAGGTCTCACCTCGTCAACAATCAGGGATCCGTTCGATCCATTGATCCATTTTGACCTCTGATCCTGGTCCGCCCATGACCTTCATCGGCCATCCTAGCCCATCCATCGAGACACGCCCCAGCAGCCTCGTGGGCGGACCGTATCTACCGTGTGCTGCGTCTCGGAGGGGGGATGGGGGGGGGGGGGGGTGAGAGTGAAAGAGAGTGTTTGAGGGTCTAGCACTCTCCGGGTCTGTCCCCAAGTCCTCGGCTGTCCTGGAGAGAGAGGCAGAGAGAGTGTTTTACTCGTATGCGTGAGTGAGAGAGAAAGAGCTCACGCACACAGGCACATGCGCAGACAGAGAGATAATATCCGGCGCAGACAGACAGAGAGACACCCGCCCCCCCCCTCATGTTTTTTGTTGTTCTCGCCCTCTTAAGGACCCAGCGCTCCTTTCTTTTCCCTTTCCTCCAATTAACCTCCCCGAGCACAAAAACCCACCCCCATCGACAACTTCACAACTCTTTCTCCTCCGTCCCTTTCAACCTTCACATCAATCCTCTCCAGATTTAGCACAGAAAAGAAGAATACAGAGCCCTGTCTCTACTTCTTTTCCCTGCCATCTTCGACTTTTGTTTCTTAGGAACAAGAGCCAGAGGAACTCTTCTTGTCCTTCCTTTCGTCGCCAAGAGCCACGGAAGGTTGTATGAGAAGCCGTTTCTCTCGCGCCAGCAAAAGTCGCCAATCTGGACTTTGAAGCCCGCGTCCCGGTCCCCTTTAGCATCTTCCCCTCGACCTACAAGAGCACCGAGGCCCAGACCCAGACCGCTCAGCAGCAGCTCCAGCTTCCCCAGCCTCAGCAACCCGGACGAGAAGGTCAATACTCTTCTTACTCTGGTGTAGCTGCCGATATCCAGCAGCAGCTGCCGCAGCCTCAACAGCCGCAGCAGCCTGCCTTCAAGCAAGAATTCCACTTCACCGCAACTGAAGAAGAGCGTTACCCTCGTCCCGGTATCCAGCAAGAGCAGCAGCCCCAGCACTTTCACCAGCCTTCGCTTGCCAGCCCTCAGTCCTACGTCCAGCCTCAGCACGACGTTGCTCGCCCTCCCTTCGCCGCCGCCGCCGAATACGAGCCTCGTCGGTAAGTTGTCTGTTTCTTTTTCTGGCTGTCTCGGCTTTAGATTATTTCCCCGTCTTCTCGTCTCATGGCCACTGCACACCCAATCTACTCATCTCCACTGCGTCGACTAGATTCTATCGTGTATCCCCAAACTTTTTTTTTTTGCCCTCACACACCGCGAATATGACGCGTTCCCCCCCCCTTCCCTTGACTGCTCACTCTTGTCCCATTTCGCCTTGCTTTTTCCCCCCACTCCCAAGGAGGAGGCGCTTGCGTCTCTTACCGCCCAATCCCTCCCCCCCCCATAATACCAGTACACACACCCCTCCCCCTCAGCCCCCCTACTTTTACCAACCACCCTGTCATGGTCAGGGGTGAGTGGAGAGGGTGGCTGGGTGGATACGGCCTCGCCTCCTCTTCTCCTGGTTGACCAAGAAACCACTTCCCGGCATGTCTACCCAAGGCGGCCCAACCCGTTGCTGACTTTCTTCTCTCCTCAAAACAGTCCCTCCGTTCCTCAGTCTGAGTATTCTTCGTACTCCCAGACCAACATCGAGGTTAACACTCCCGCTGCCCAGTATCTCAGCCCCATTGATCGTGCAGAGCGTCAGTATCGTGAGCGTCTCCGCCCTCAGTACATCAAAGACACCGTAGACGCCCCGTCTCGGTCACAGTTCAGCTTCAGCAAACCCACTCCCGAAGGCTACGCCGTCGACAAGAACGTTTCTCGCGCCTCCTTCAGAGACAGGACTGTCTTTGAAGAACGTAGCGAGCCAGCTGTCACATCTCGCGCTCAGCAAAAGTCTAACATGGGCTACTACGACGAAGACGGTGAGTGCTCGCATATCACCCGATCCCCCATCTTGCACCCACTCCTTTCCCCGTCTCCTCTCTCTCTACTCCCCCCCCCCTGGTGCAGCACGCGTCCAGGGGTGTATCCCCACTCTTTGCCTAAACAACAAGGCATGAACATAAACAAAGGAAGAAAAAAAACAAACCGAGATGGTTACTAACCTCTTCTTTCTTTCAAAAACAGGCCACTACCACTCCTTCCGTCACGGCGTCCACAAGCTCGCTGACCGCATTGCCCACCCTCTCGGCCACGAGCACCACCACCATCACCGTGAGGACGTTGGCGCTGCCGACTTCAAGGCTCCCCCTCCCCAGGCCCCCGCTCCCGCTCCCATGGCTTCTCCTCCCCGTCCCCGTCCCGGTGACTCGGGTGAGGCATACCTGCCTAACACGGTCACCATCCCCTGCCACCACATCCGTCTTGGTGACTTCCTGATGCTCCAGGGCCGCCCCTGCCAGGTGATCCGCATCTCCACCTCTGCTGCCACCGGCCAGTACCGCTACCTCGGTGTCGACATCTTCACCAAGCAGCTGCACGAGGAGTCTTCCTTTGTATCCAACCCTGCTCCCAGCGTCGTCGTCCAGACCATGCTCGGCCCCGTCTTCAAGCAGTACCGTGTCCTCGACGTCCAGGGCACCTACGTCGTGGCCATGACCGAGAGCGGCGATGTCAAGCAGGACCTCCCCGTCATTGACCAGAGCAACCTTCACACCCGCCTGGCCAGGGCCTTCGACGCTGGCCGCGGCAGCGTCCGTGTCCTCGTCCTCAACGACAACGGCCAGGAGCTCGCCGTTGACATGAAGGTCGTCCACGGCTCTCACCTGTAAAGCCGGCATGGACAGAGTGACTTGGACAGTGCCTGTCGCTTAGGAAGCACCCTGTCTTTCCTCTACCTCCATGTTTTAATCCTGTGATATAATGGTCTTGACCACTTTTCTTTGTTATATTTTCATTTGTCAGGCTCTCGTGCTTCTACCCTTGGCCGTCCTTGCCTAATCTCCTGTCCTTTTCCCGGGCTTTCTTAACATGGTCTGGTTCACGGGGTGAAGGTGATTGAGCTAGGTGGGAATGGGTTTATGTCTCGAATGTTTGCTATGTCAGGATCAAGCTTGGATTTCCCACAATGAATCAGTTATTTAAGAAGAGAACATATTGACTCATCTTTTTTTGGATATACGGAGGAAAACAAAAGCCCAAGTGTTGAAGTAGAACGACTCGGACGTTCTTCAAAAGTAGTAGATAGGAAAGGAGGAAGCAAGTATAATGACAGATGTTGTATAATTGTTATGTTTCGTGCCTTATTGCTCGTATTATCGCTGCTGTACGTTTGAGAGCTTGTCGCGTGATGTAGTCTGGTCGATTGGTGTTTTGCTTATCAGTCCATCAGGGTTCTCGCCAAGGCCGCATGACGTTGGCAAGGTCTGATGACCTTGTTGACCCCAGCATTGCATCATTTTTTTTTACCTTGAAGCATACCCAAGCCTACTTTTTTTTGACAAGGAAAAGACATGATATATCTGCGTTGGAAAAAAGAATCTAGGGTTTGGTAGAAGAAGAAGAAAAGAGAAGGAAAGAAAGTTCTCAAGAAGAAAAGAAACACATGGTCTTTCCAGCCATTACATACCATCGGGGGGGATCATGACATATTCGAAAAGAGTAAGCAGTAGTGATTTGTAGGGTGGTGGTGGGGTAATGGGTTAGTCGGGGACCATGATCGGGGGACTTCTTTATGCGTTCCAGCTGAGATGATGTTATCTGATCCCCCGGTGTATGTACCTGTAGGTGTGTTTTTTCATAACCAAAGGCATTCCTTATCCTATATCCTCTAGTCCTATCTTTCCTTCCTCCTCCTCCTCTTCTTCTTCTTCTCCTTCTTCTCTCATTCTGACTTTCTCCTCCCCCATCTTCATCTTCCCTCTGTTGTTATCCTTCAATCTACTAGATCGCCAAACATGGGTGGACAACAGCAGTCCAAGCCGATTGTTGCTTCGGAGCATGAAAAGGCTCGTATGAGGGCTATGCGTGCTCAGGAAGACGAGTACGAATATATCGAGGTCGGAGACGAAAAGGATGGGCGGCTCGTTACGGAGAGGCAGGCCCAGGGTCTTCCCGTGAGTGTTCTCGAGACTTGGAAGACGAATGTTCTCAAGGATCCGAAGAACAGGTGAGTGGATTTCATCTTCCTCCCTCTCGTCTCTCCCTCTCCAATCCCAGGACGGTGCCAACGGTCAGGGTGTGAAAACAGACTGGCGGTGACAGCCATGAACTCGCTCAACCCAAAGCAAGTCTTCAAGTCCCCGGCGGCGGAGCAGGCGGACCAGCAAATCTTCAACGTCAGGATCCCGTTCGAGGGTGCGCCGGTGACGAACCAGCGGTCGAGCGGGCGGTGCTGGCTGTTCGCGTCGACAAACGTGTTCCGGGTGGCGCTGATGAAGCGGTACCGGCTGGCCGAGTTCGAGCTCTCGCAGGCCTACCTCTTCTACTGGGACAAGATCGAGAAGGCCAACTGGTTCCTGGAGCAGGTCATCTCGACGGCGGGCGAGGACCTGGACGGGCGGCTGGTGCAGCACCTTCTGGGGGACACGGTGTCGGACGGCGGCCAGTGGGACATGGTGTACAACCTGGTGGACAAGTACGGGCTCGTGCCGCAGGCGCTGTACCCGGACAACTGGAGCGCGCAGCACACGGGGACGCTCAACGACGTGGTGGAGACGAAGCTGCGCGAGTTCGCGCTCCGGCTGAGGGCCATCTGCCGCGACGGCGCCGGCGGCGCCGGGGGGGCGGCGTCGGCGACGGCGGTGTCGTCGGCCAAGGCGGAGATGATGCGCGAGATATCGGGGGTGGTGACGCTGCTGCTGGGACCTCCACCCAGCCCCGACTCGAGCTTCACGTGGGAGTACGTGGACCGGGACGGCGTGGCGCGGTCGCTGCGGAGCCGGCCCCGCGAGTTCGCGCGCGACATCGCCAGCGCGGAGCTGCGGATCGACTCCGCCGTCATCGATTCGATGGTGTCCCTGGTCAACGACCCGCGCCACGACCGGCCCTCGCTCCTGACCGTCGACCGGCTGGGCAACGTGGTGGGCGGGCGGGCGGTGACGTACGCCAACGTCGACATGGCCACGCTCAAGGCGGCGTGCGTGGCCATGCTCCGGGCCGGGCTCCCCGTCTTCTTCGGCTGCGACGTTGGGCAGTTCAGCGACAGCTCGTCGGGCGTCATGGACCTCGACCTGTACGACTACGAGCTCGGGCTGGCGGGCACGGGCATGCTGAGGATGAGCAAGGCCCAGCGGCTGCGCACGGGTGCCAGCGCCATGACGCACGCCATGGTCCTCACGGCCGTGCATGTCGACGAGGACACCGGCCAGCCGGTCAGGTGGCGCGTGCAGAACAGCTGGGGCCCCACGCCCGGCGACAAGGGCTTCTTCGTCATGACGGACGCCTGGATGGACGAGTTCGTCTACCAGGCCGTCGTGGATCAGAGGTTCCTCACCCGCGACGTCAGGCAGGTGCTCGGACAGAAGCCTACTGTCCTTCCTGTCTGGGATCCTATGGGGTCGTTGGCTTAGGAGGAGGTCTCTCTACGGTATCTTCTTTATGAGCAAATGAGAGTGAACTTGTTCAGAAACTCCCCAGTGACATCACGCATCCCCCCCCTCCTCCCATCACTGTGTGATACCTGTGATGGGAAGAGGGGACATCCCCGGTAGAACAAAGGCCTTGGGACTGGACAATGGATCACTCTCTAATTATGAGAAAAATTTTGCCAAAAAAAAAAAAGAAACAAAAGAAACAAACCAAAAAAAAAGGAAAGGAAAGGAAAGAGATGTGACTTCATATGCGCCCCTTACAGATTGGAACTGTATATGATACGGTTGGGCTCTCGCGTGCCCGGGGTGTCGGTGCAACTGGTAGGACAGGGTAGCCCTTTCTTTCACACGGTTGGGCGTCAATTCATGTTATTTTTAAAGCAATAAAGCAAGGGGGGCGATGGTTAGAATGGAATGGAATGGAATGAATGAATGGATGAATGACGAGACAGCAAGACGTTTTCCCATCACACAGTCTTACAAGGGTGAGAAGAGCCAGCTTCTCAAGAAAAACAAGGCATCGGTGGCGAGGCAGATAGACGAGGAGGATAGATAGAGAGAGAGAGAGCACTTTAGTGGTAAATCTGTCGCACGAGCCAAGACATGGATGACGTCGGGCATCGAAGCCCAATGAGGCAAAGGAGAGCAGGGAACCCCCCGTCTCTCTCTCTCTCTCCCTCTCTCTTCGTCTTGACCTGCCAGTTGCGGGCATGTTCCGAAGGGGTCTCAAAGAAGGGGTTCTCTGATTTCGTCACTGTTTCATCTTATCTGGGTGTATTATTATTATTGTCATCATTATTTGATATTATTCCCCTTTTGCTGAGGACCTGAGGGTATTATGATTATGTTGGTGACGAAGAAGGCCACGACGCTGACGTCGTGTCGGTCATGATACCTGATAGTACCTGCAAGTACGGATAAGGCTATATAGCAATAGCAGTGCTAGTAACTAGCCGAGACCTAGAGGTATTATATGTACGAGTACTTTGTATGTACGAGTACTGATGATAGTAAGAGTCGAGTAATAATACTGTCGTAGAGCATCAACCGGTAGAAAAGAAGAAGAAAAAAGAGGGGGGGAGAGAGGGGGTAATTCACCATGATTACTGCTGCTGCTGCTACTGCTGCTATTACTGCTGCTATTACTGCTATTACTGCTATTGCTACTGCTCTTACTACTACTATTACTACTGCTGCTGCTGCTGCTGCTGCTGCTGCTGCTGCTGCTACCACTATTCCGTAATACTTTAATTAAAAAATCCCATATATACCTATAGTTCCCTCCCCTCTCCCATCACAAACCTGTTTGCAGACTTGAACACTTCTATTCGACACGCTCGCATTGCATTGCATTACACTGGGCTGACGGTTCTACAGTCTACTGCAGTCTCCCCCGCTCCTACCCACCAAAAAATCTCACTGTCAGAGAGAACTGCCTGTCTGTGCCCCTCCTCCTCCCTCTTTTTGGTCATTGCCCCTCCTTCCGACCTTTCCATCTGATTCTCTCCGTCATATTCTCTCATACATACAAACCACCAGCCTTCTTCTCTTCTTGGGCCCATCAAAGCACACGAGATAACTGCCTCTGGGCATCTCTGCCTCTTCTTGGCGGTGGTGGCGTATTATCTTTGGGATGAGAAGAGACTGTGAGAAAGAAGAACGAAAAGAAAGAAGAAAAAAGACGGACAGGCAGCCTCGTGGTCACGACACGCAGAATGACGGACCGTCATGGTATCCCCTACGAGTATCCTGCCTACACCGGAGGCCATCATCCTCCTCCTCCTAGGTCTCCCCCCTTCACCAACCCGGCTAGGTCGTCCATGCCGTCGAGCATAGGCTACTCCTCCATGTATGCCGGCGACATGCATGTGCTGCCATCGTCCGCCGTCAGGTACCCGTCCGCCGCTCCGCCCAGAGCAAGTCACGCCACCCTGCCGCCTTCTTCGTCGGCTGCTCCCAGCGGCGGCGGCGGCGGCGGCGGTGCCCCCGTCTCGACCTCGACGCGCACCTACACCCTTGGCCATGACCCGAGGGGCCACCCGTCCGTCGCCGCCCGGGATGTCTCCAGGTCTCGCCGCTCGACCGTAGACTCCGCCGCCAGACCGCCCCCCGTCATCGTCACCACCACGCGTCCGTCCCATACGTCGTCGTCCAACCGCAGCCCCGTCCGCGGGACCCCTCGTGCCAGCGACGGTCACGTCTACACCCAGCCGGCGGCCTCGTCTGCTGCGCACCCCCGCGGCCCCGCGCCCTCCCACGGCGGCCATCACCACCACCACCGCCACCACACTGACGATGATGATTACGTCCGGTCCAGGGACCGCGAGCGCGAGCTCGAGAGGGAGCGTGAGCGCACCGACGCCGCCATCGCTGCGCGTGACGCAGACGCATACCGCAGCGCCCGCCCTTCGGTCATCTACACCAACGACCCGCGCCACAGCAGCAGCAGCAGCGCCGGCGGCGGCGGCGGCGGTGTCGCGAACAACAGTGGCGCTCCGACCGGCGGCGGTGCCACCACGACCATCAACTATGGAGATGACGGGTACCACTACACCAACGCCGGCGAGATGGCGCGGTACGACCTCGACCACCCTGGACCGAGACAGAATCGTCACCGTCGCACCGAAAGCCTCGATCAGGGTTACTACCGCCCCAACGTCAGCTACAATACCAACCAGCGCAGCATCAACGTCAACACGTCCGACGACGTGAGCCGCAACTATGCCATGAACACCAGCCGCATATACAACGGCGGTGCCCGTGGGGGCCCACCGCCATCCACCCGCGGCTTCGACCGCATCAACCGGACCTTTGGCGCCCCGGTTGCCTCGGGTACCCCGGGTCCCTCGGCATCGTCCCCTGCATTGCGCGACGTGCCGCCCGCCGCCCCTGTGCCACCCTCCCCGGCCATGGCCGCCCAGACCCAGAGAGGGGAGCGTGACGCTGGCCCCCCTCCAGCCGAGGCCCGTCGCGGCCGTCCTGTTTCCCTCTACCAGATTTCTGCTCCCCGCTCGTCCCACCACGAGGACTTTCACCGCAGCCGCGAGGACGAGCGTGTGATGAGGGAGTCGCGCGACCGCAACATCCGGGAGCCTGGTGAGAGCCCCACTCGGTTCCGCGACGACAACGTCACCGCCCGCGGTTTCGGCATCCGGGCATCCCCTCCAGAGCACGAGCTGTCTCCTGAGCAGCTGCGTGAACATCGCTCGGAGGGAGGCCGGGAGCGCAGGGGAAGCAGAGCTGGCAGCGACCCGGAGTCCTCGCGCATGCGTGACAAGGTGGCCCGCGGCGTCGGCGTCGCCGCCGCCGCCATGGGTCTCTCCCCGAACGTGGCTGTCGTCGATGGCGACGAAAGTGACAGGGGCAAAGGCAGCAGCTCGGGACGAGGCAAGAGCTCGCCCAAGGAAGACGGCCCCAAGCCCAAGGCGAGCAATGGCCGGCCAAAGACTGCCAGCAAGGATCGACGCCCTGCAGAGTCCGAGAGGGACCTGGACCGCGACCGGGAAGCCGGCGGTTCGAGCATCAGGGTCGAGTCCGGCAAGGACCGCGGCGCTGAAAAGCCAGGCAGCCTCGATACCAGGGGGGCTTCCGGCTCGGACACTGAACGAGGCACGCAAGGTGCGCGACGCGGTAACGGTAAACGCCCACCGGGCACCTTCAACCCGAACGACGCTTCGGACATCACCATGCTCCGAGAGCAGCTTGCCAGCATGAAGACGGACGGCAGCAGGGAACCAGAAAGGACGGCGGTAGCGACGTCGGCCATGCCGGGAGGTTACGAGTCTGATGCGTCGACGACGATGGCGACCCCTTCGTCGCGCTCCGCGTCTCCCCCGAGAAGCCGGAGGCGCAGGAGGTACTCTGACGACCAGAGCGAGGACGACGAGAACTCCTCCTCCTCCTCCTCCTCGTCGTGGCGGGGCCGCGACGTGGCCCTTGTCAAGCCAGAGAGGACGGTGCGCGTGGTGTCGCCCCCTCGCGAGAAGAAGGACGAGAAGCCGCTGAAGGGCATCCTGAAGCCGCCCAAGCCCAGCTTCCCGGAGGAGGACAGCTACCCGCGCGAGGGCGTGGCGCCGCACAAGGAGGACAAGAAGGCCAAGGAAGTGCCGCCGGGGGCGAGGTGGACCAAGATTGGCCGCAAGTTCGTCAACCCCGAGGCCTTGACGATTGGCAAGGAGAGGTTTGAGGTCAGGGACGACTCGGTCATTGTGCTCAGGGTGTTGAGCAAGGATGAGATTCAGGCGTATGCCACGGCTACGCAGAAGCTCAGGGGTGAGTCTTCTTCTAACATCTTACCCCCATCCTCTCCGGACTCTCCTCTCCCTTTTTCTTTTTCTTCTTTCTATTTCTCCCCCTCCTCTCCCCCTCCCTCCCTCCCTCTCTATCTCTGTCTTTGCTCTCGCCTCCTCTTCTCTTACCCTTTCCCTTTTCTCTTCTCTTGACTCCGTCTTCTTCTCTCAAGTACGTCTCCGGAAGAATGGTTTTCATTAACAAGTTTACAGAGCGTCGGAAAGGCCGTGATCGTGATCGTGATCACGATGATGACGATCGCGAAAAGGACCGTGCCAGACGCAGCAGTCGACGCAAGGTGAAAGAGTATGACGACGATTACGACCACGACGACCACGATGATTATTACGACCTTGAGTATGAACGTGAACGGCGACCTGCATGGAATTGACTAGAGGGATCTTGATACTAAAAAAAAGGACAAAAAAAAGGACAAAAAAAAGAGAGCAGTTAAGGTTTGAGAGGGGAAAAAAAAAGAAGAGAAAAAAAAGGTGACAAGAGGAACGAAAACGAAAGTTTTGGAAAAGGAAAATGGAAAAAGGAATGAAGTCAAATGTGATGAAAACGAGCTATGTGGATACCCTATATCGACGACAACTTTTTTGTCTTTTTTTTTTTGTAGTTGATTTTTTTATTTCTTCTATGGCAGCCTGTTGTATTCTTTTGGGGAGGATTCTGTAAGTTTGTAAAAGGGGATATGATGATTTGATATTGTGTTTTTTTATATACCAAGATGTGAAGAGGGTCATATTTTGATGTTGTCTAGTTATATATATAACCGTCAGTCAGATGAGGTGAATACATGACACATTTTGATCTGGTCATGTCCTGGGTGATTACCATTGATATGGTACTTTATCCTTGAGTGGCTTTTGTTCTTGTTTTGCGCGGAATGTCTTTTTTTCTTCTTCTCGAGTTTCCTCGAAAGTAAGCATCACCGCTAACCCCTCTTCTTTCTTCTTTCTTCTTTCTCTCTTTTTTTTTTTTTTTTTTTTTTTTTTTTTTTTTTTTTTTTTTTGAAAAAAAAAAAAGCAAAAATGGTACGTAGGGGGCGTTTTAGACAGAGGAGTTTATTCAAATACTCGGACATTTTTGTCCATCTTTTTCTCCTTTTATTATAGTTATTTAAAAAAAAAACTTTGATATGATAACTTTTTTTTTTAAGAGAAAAAACTCCCTTTCTCTTTATTTCCTTCATCTATACATGAGAGAGAAGAAAAAAATCCTGCCAGCGGCTACATGAGGTGGACATTATCTATATACACACGGACCTCTCTCGTCACTTGACATGTTTAGTCTGCTCCGTACATGCATAGTCGTTGGTGATGTATCTTGCCTGATTGGAAGAAAAGAAAGGAAGAAGAAAAAGAAAGAAGAAGGACGAAAAAGAGAGAAGAGGAAGAAAAGGAAGTGGAGAGAAAAGAAGTCGAGAGAAGAAGCTCTCGAGAGGAGAAAACTCAAAGAGAAGAGAGAAGAAAGGTGTATAGTCAAGGTGCTGTATATAATTACCCTTTCTTCTTCTTCTTCTTCTCTCGTCGTTTCTATCGAGTGACAGACCAAGTGACGGTTTAGGAAAAAGAAGGGAAATGACGGGGAAAGAAATATAGAGAGAAGAAAAAATGACGTGAAATAGGAAACAGCTGTTGTGTTGTGATCAAGAGATGGTGATACTCTATAAAACCAATATATACAACTAGGCAAAATATCCAAAACACAAGATTCAGAATATCTCGGCTACAAGAGGCTATTTTCTTCTTCCTTTACTCCCCCCCCCCTTCTCTCCCTCTCCCTCCCTCTCTCTCTCTCTTCCTTTGGACACTATTGTATAACATGTTTTTATGTATTACACGTATGTATAGACTGTATATACTCTGTAAATGTGTATATGCTCTGTAAATGTGCATATGCTCTGTAAATATGTGTATATACTGTATATGTGTATATATATTCTGTATACATGCATATACTCTACATGTATATATAAATACCCCGCGTACGTGCACATAACCCGTGTACATATATACCCTATATGCATACATCTCAGAAAAAACATCCATCTTTGCAATGAAAATCATCCAACAAGGGTTAGTACTGATGATAATATTACAGGCGGTACGGTACAGGCAGCATGTATCGGCAAGGCTGCCCAGGCAAGGCAGAGTAATACTCCGTACAGGTAAAGGTAAATCCCCCCCCCCTGGGCATCAGCATGTTCAGGTTCCGGGGGTGGACAGGAAGAGTAGACGGGTTGACAGGCCGGGGGGGGAGAAGAGAGAGAGGGGAGGGAAGACACCGCGTCAACCCGCTCATTCTTTTTTTCTTCTCCTTTTCTTTTTCTCTTCTTTCTTTTTTCTCTTCTTTCTTTTTTCTCTTCTCTTTTCCATCTTACTTTTCTTCTAAACGCGACGGGTGTGTAGAGATACTCGTGCGTACCAGGGAGATGTGTGTGTGTGTGTGCGAGTACGGAGTATTATTATATTTAGACTGTAGTACTGTCACTCGTACTTTGTAAACCCCATGTCATCCCATAATGTGTGTCCCCCCCCCCCTGATGATTCCCTGCTCTGTCCCGAAATCCTCAGGCTCCCCCCCTGATTGTTCGAGGAAGAAGGGGAGAGGAAAAAAAGGACGAGAAACAGCAACAAGGAACACATCGTCAAGATGTGAGGTTCGTGGAATAGGGTCATTATGGCTCAAGAATCATGTCCCTGCAACCAAAAAAAAAAAAAAAAGAACAAAAACCTGGGACAGGTATCATTGTGCAGGTATCATCAGTAGTGTAGTGTAGTGTAGTGTAGTGTACGGAGTATTGTCATCATTACATTATTACATGTGTATATACGGAGTATATGTATATATATATATATATATATATATATATGTGCGCGCCAACTGTTGCAGATGTAAATAGTTCCAAAAACCAACCAACCAACCCCCCCCCCCCCCAGAGTGTGTATGACCTCAAACATGGAGAGCAGTACTCCGACCTAGTCATAGTAGTTTAGTTTCGGGACAGACACATGACGTCTGAATGCCATTACTACGCCTACCTAGTAAAATAGGCTACTCGTATCTATGCGTCAGGGGGGGGGAGGGGGTTGGTTGGTTTCTTTTTCCTTCTTCTCAGTCTTTTTCTCTCTCTTCTTTTCTTTTCTTGTCATCACCAACTTACGAGTATGACGTCTCGTAGTGATAGTGATAATACTCGACAGTCTCGCCGTAAAACCTCATAAAAAAAACTCCCCCGCAAGTCGGCATCTCATGATTGCCTGATAATCATCATCACTCTGCTCTCTGACTGCCTTGACTTTTCTGAGCTCCGATTTTTTTTTTTCATGTTTAATATCCCAAAAAAAGTCGTGATGGTGATTATGCTCCGCCGCCTCCTCCTTTTTTCTTCTTCCCATTCTTTCTCAGTATAGGTATAGATCCACACCCTCTGTTCCCCAGTCTTGAAACTGCTGGGCAATGATAACGTTGGGTATTAATACTGGGTAATGAGATGAATACTGGGTAATACTGGGTAACACTGGGTAATACTGGGTAATACTGCATACTATATCACTATCCGACTTCCTCATGCACAGAGAGTCGTCGAGTAATCATAATCGCCCTCAACATGTACGATATCAGTCTGCTGGATGATGGTCTGTGATGCTGTGTGTGTGTGTGTGCGTGTGTCAGTCATCATCCTCAACATGATGAATGCTCGTATGTGTATCATAGATACCGGCACGTATCATGATGGCGATATTCGTGATACATGTTGTACGCATAATACATATTATACTCGTGGTACGAGACTGGATGATGATGCTGAGGAGCAGATACCTGTATCATCACCCCCGTACTCGCCGGCCACCAACACCCCTCGATAGAGAGAGCTACGGATTATCAGATGACGAAGTACTGCGGAGTCAGTACTGCGGAGCTATCACCTGCACAGAGAGGGAGAGTAGAGAATGAGAGAGAGAGAGAGAGAGATAGAGAGAGCGCACGGAGTACAGATTGCTCCGTGCAGAGAGAGTACGAGTCCGTAGGAGATTATATATACACATCATGGTATATTTTACTGTATTATACTGCAATGCTGTATTGCATCTTATTATACGCATCTTAGCCAGGTAAAATTTTCACATCACAGATGCGCTGCATTCTGTATCCGTCTCCTCCGTACACACATGTACTCGTATGCAGGGGGAGGTGGATCAACCCGGTGGCAGCTCGTCAATGTGTTCCCCCTCTCCCCGTCAAAGGAGACGTCTTTGCGAGCTCACAGGATTCGCGCGTGATGCAGGGCATTGATACGACGACATGATGTATCCCTGCAATCCCAACAGGTCAAGACGTGCTCAACCTTTGCAGGAAGAAGAAAAAAGAGGGGGGTGGGCGATCCCAGACGTCTATCCGTGCATGGGATCACGGTCAGAGGTTGTGTGTGATAAACACCAAGGCATAGTACACGTTTTTATTATTGCTCACTCATACCAGAGTATTACCTGTGCCAGTACGGATTACATGTGTGCATCATTACTCCGTATCATCTAGTCGTAGTATAGAGCACACTCTTATTTACTCGCAATGTTGTACTTTTTATTTGTTCATTATACACGTTTATTTTATTTTTACCCTGTATCTGTAGATCTTCTCTACTCTCCCTCCCTCCCTCTCCCTCCCTCTCTCTCTACTCTTCGTCTTTCTCCTCGTCTTCTTCCCATCTTCCTTGCCGGTTCACGCATGTACACATGATGATGGGTTTTGCACGGTACGACGCAGAGTTGCGGATACGTCGCTCCATCAGGTATCAGAGCTTGCCTGCCTGCTCACTGTCACCGACCTTTTCTCCTCTGCACCGATGCCGCCTTCGACAGCGGACAGCGGACAGCGGACAGCATACAGCTGCAGCGTGCAGCATACAGCGTGATGTACTCGTACTCTTGTATGTATTGCATTAGTCAGCAATCCGGATGGATGAAGGCAGAGAGAGAAGAAGAGAAGACAAGAAGACCAGAGAGACTCTTTGGTGTTGATTGCTCGTCGCTCGTCGACATCAATAATCATGACCTGTTGAGATGATCAATTAGTTCATACTGGATGTCGTGACCCCAAAAGTCATTTAGCCACCGGGAGCATTGACGTTGGCTTCAATCCTGTGCCCACCACCCCTCTCTCACTTGATCGTCAGTCTACTGCGGAACAGTAATTTCGGGGGAAAAAAAAAAAGGGGGAAATGACACGAAAAAAAGTTACCTGCACAGGGTGCTTGGGAGTAATCTACCAGAGTATTAATATACATGAATTACTCGTAGCATTGCCGTAACTTGTTGACATGATACTGAGAGTCATTATACTAACAGTCGTACTAATACTAGTAGTCACTGGTAGCGTACT